CTGGACTTCATTGTTCAGTCTCGTTCCACCCTAATAAAATTTAATGTTTAACGAAATGCATGTTCTTACCGTAGAGTCCGTAAGCACGGCGGAGACCTTACTATGGGTTTACTAAGCTTCGTTTACGACTATGATACAATAGGGAACAGATCAATAGAAGGCGCGTTGATTAATTAGTCATCGTGGCTAGTGGCATAAAATCGTGAAATCTCGGTGTGTGTCGTGCTTGACAAAACTAATAATTTGGAAGACGTAATTTAAAAGAGTGTGGTAGTGGTGTCCCTCTTTATATTAGAAGCCGATCTGATATATATATATATATATATTAGATATATATACGTATATCCAATTGCACTATAAATACGATACTTTTAAAGAAAGACAGCCTGAGGTAGCTTCTTCTTATGCATTATGATTAACTGAAATAGTTATCTCACACGCAGTAGCAACACACCGGATCTATGTGTTGTTCTGTCTGACGATTCTTTGAATTTTCGCAGTCATCATACGATACGTAATGTTTATAATATAGTTTCAGTTACGAGTGACTTCCGGTCGCCTAAGAGTACCTAGTCCATTTCTTTGATCTAGCCAAAATCGCATCCCGCGCCACTTTGTGCGGTCTTATTGTTTTTAATCGATCTTATACTTAATCGTCCGGAATCGTTCGGAATTGGTTTCGTCGATTGCCTACGTAGTCGGGCGCAGGAGGAGTTTGTTGAGGGTGTGTACAATGAGAAACGGAGAAAAAGAACGCAAGCAATTCGTCATTTGCTGCGACATTTTGCGGCGTAACTGTTATCAATACATTTGTTGCTAAAGATACTTCTATGTGCTTGACACATAAACGAGTGACGGGATAATTGTAATGGATATTTTCCGTTCCGTTTTTCTCCGGTATGAACTAGCCAGGTATTATTCCGCCAGCAGCAGACTGATTTGAGGTACCGCTTGTAATGACAGCGAAGCCACGATAGCCGCTATTGCGGCCGCCCTAAGATGACACCGAGCTTCGCAGTTGTCTCGCAGCCACTTCGTATTTGTCCCGGGTTTTGGCAGTCCTTTGGCTGGGTCGACGGTAACCGGCAAGAATGTGTCAATCTAAGTGAAACTTCCATACGTTTAGGTTTTGAAATGTAATATTGCTTTCCTGACGCGACTGCCGCTGTGTCCAGCGGCTTCGCTAACGACAACACCTGGTGCTGTCACACGGCACTAGTGAAGGAGGCAAATGGATAGGACCGAATAGTAAACTCGATAATAATAGAGCGGGCCTCCGTGATCCTGTAACGCTAAGATAGGAAGATTACGATCATTGAAAATAATACGTCGTCAGTTACAATGTAGAGGAAAATCACTTTTCTGTAAAAAAAAAAAAAAAAATGTATCTGTATTGCATTATATGTCCTTATTGAATTGAAAGACAGTAATCAGTTGCCGCTTCTTCTGTGTTTGCACGATGTGTGAGCTGCATTTTGAATTCGGCTTTCTCCTTGTTAGTTTTTCGCGACTTCGCTTTGTGTTTAAGCGGAATTCTTCAGCTACTTGCTCAAGTAAGTAAGCAAGCAAGCAGACACAGCGACCTATTAGAATCCTAAGGTATTTAATAATTTAGCAAGGCTTAAGCTGTCGTCGCTCGAGCTGATGACTTGTTTCATTATTTCTGCTTACTTCACCTGTCATCTATGACCCGTAACAAAAGTACAGGCCAAGGCGCGATCATAGTCAGCTTGCACAGCCTGTGACCCAGAAAGACCGCCTTAGTTCTCGAAGAAACAGGTGACACTCGAAATGGTATCTTTTCCCACGAGAGAAACGGGACGTGGCCTCACTCCTTATAAGCTTTTTCGCTCATCAAATGTCTAATTCACTGGTAAAAAACGCTCTGGCAAATTAAATCGTTACGACTTTCTTTGCCGTCGATGTTCTAGGTATCGGCGTTGATTAAAGGACATTCCGGCTTTTTGCACATGACACCCACATGTACCACTAGATCGCCCTAGTAACACCTCATTGCAGTAGGCTCTAGCTATACGCCGGGGCAGTCAGACTTCCTTCCTGACCGACCAGCTACGCTTCTCCTGAACTCTTCTGTAACTAGCAACGATTCCACGTCGATTTTCAGGTGGAAACTTAGGAGAACAGATTGTTGATGATAGAATATAATAGGACTCAATCTATATTTACACCCCACGATATCGCTGGCAACAACAGTCGTCCTGGTGACAACAGCGAGACTTCCGCGGCAGCAGCCGCCGGCCCACGTTCTCTATATCAAATGTCTATAAATTTTTTTTGCCTATGTTGCTCCTGTTGTCCCTAAGGTCCGCGCTCTTCACTGCATATTTGTATTTTACTAAGATCGAATCGGCTGGCGGCGAACGCCAAACAGCAGGTCGAGTCAGGTGGGGTTTCATAGCTGACACTGTGGCACTTGACCTCTCTGCCTGATTGAAGTAACTAATGAATAGGCAACGATTGATATCGTTGATGTAAGCCCGGCTCATGTGATTTACGTCTATGCGTTTCGCCATATTGCTTGTTGCGAGCTGCCGTTTGCGCTGTTGTTCGAAAGGCAAACGTAGCTAGCGCGGATAACCCTGAAGACGGACAGCACTGCGCACTTGGTATTCTCGTATAGACGCGCCATGGCCACGACCACGAGAAGGCAATGGCCACAATAACAACCACGACCATGAAAACAACAACAACAGCTGCAGTAGCAGTGGGCTAGATACAGGAATATATATATAGTAAAAGGTTACAATTCGGACACACTTTTGCTGACTGTCTGCTGTAAAAGATACCCGTTGATTCGATATTTTTGAGATGAAGGTCAACTATTTATAGATCGAAACGCCGAAACGTTACGGTAAAAAGACAGCGCGTCGCTTCAGAATTTGAGCAAAGATCAGCTATTATCTAATATGTTCAATATTTTAAGCTTCCTTTTTGCCCAAATTTGACGGTCTATGATATTGCCACTTTTCACACGGTTTCTGAAAAATGTGGGGAAGATTTGAAGAGACAAGCCGGAAGGTATTTCATAGAATCTAGACTTAAAGGATTCGAGAAATGATTAAGATAGTCTAAAAAAAAAGCCCATTTTTGAGCTGGATTTTTCATATATGAAAATTGACGATCATTTTGAAAAGCACAATGTCAATTCTTGACTGGATCGTGTAGATAAACTTTAACGGTTAGTGATTTTGAAATTTTCTGCGTTTTTGAATAACTGTTGCATGTTTGAGTAATTGCATATTTGGACTTTCGGCCTGCTATCGGCCCACATTTAATTGCTCTGAAAATAAGTGACACCTTAGCGAGTTTACATCTATCAGTATCGCTTAAAACATAATTATTATAAAAAGCTATTTGTGGATTTTGAAGATAACTAATGAGTGGTCCAGGTGCCGAATCGAAGTTGTGATCGCGGTTAACGATAATTATATTAAGTAAGCATGACAACGAGAAATGATACTGCGAGAAAATGCAAAACATTCTTTCTAGAAAATTTTAGAAACAGCTTGTTCTTTCTGTCTGGAAGCAAAATCTCGTATAAAAATGGATTTTAGCCTTGTTACAGATTTAGCGCGACTTCGCCTCTAACCAATAAGGAAGCGATTCACAATAAATTTGGGCAACTGGCTGTGTTTAAGGTAGCAGATTTTCGTGGGATGATCCTATCCGCTAATAAAGTTGAACGTCAATAAACAGCTTAAAACATTTAGAGACGGAGCCACCTTCACTTATGTTAATCTTGCCCTAGCATATTTCTTTAACACACAATGTGTGAAATATGTATTATGAACATAATAATAAATGGCCTTCGATTATACGAACTCAGCTGCACACAATTCAACCATATCATAAACCTAGCCCGACGCAATTGCGGAGCCGTTGCAGGCGCAATGACCGATTCGAAAGTGTAACCGAAACGTCCGTTTGAAATTCTATCTCTTAGTTTGACGGGTCGATTTCATTCGCATTTTTAGTTTACTGATATGCATCTCCTATCAGATCGCAGCGGACAATCCACGATGCCTAAATCGGTGTCACATGCATAGACAACCTCAAAAAATTTGCTCCGCTGACATTGGAGTTTACATAAGCGTTTTACTTGTTCGAATGTCAATCAATGTAACATTTGGTAGGAATTATGGAAAACATTAAATGTCTTGATTTTTCTAGATATTTACATAGAATTAAACTTGTCTACACTGATAGCTTTTAAAAACACGAAGTTTGTTGAATTCAGAATAATCTTTCGCTGTTGAGTATGTTAGTGGAAAACAGTGAATCTACAAAATCGACTCTTCGCAGATATAGGGGAAGCTAAAGAAGCACCCCACTAAATTTGTTCCACGTACGCTAGAGACTCTCGAGGTAAAGGATATAGGCCCATCTAACGACCATCTTCTATTAACGGTGGCTTGAGGCAATCTTCATCGGGCTCGAAAGAGTTCTATACAGTGTTTTTCTATACGGAGAATATCTTACTTACTTGTCAAGTTACTTTTAAATGGTTCTTCCAGCTATTGGATCCTTGTTGTACACTGCATATGGATCCCGGATTGTTTCTACAGCTTTCTGATTTCGGTGCAGTATAGATAACAAGTACTGTAAGTGCTGTTTTATCCCCTATACCTCTCCAGGTCGAGTCCAAACTCGAGAGAAAAAATTTCGGACCCGAAAAAAAACGATGACAACGACGCGCAAAAAGGGCTTTTCAACGCAGCACTAGCAATAAGCGAACAAAAACAGTCGTTTTTTTACCGAAATACGAAGTAGGTTGAGAAGATTTGCCATTATAAACTCTAGTAGCTACGTTTATTATTATTGTTATCATCGTTTGTTCGATAGGGAAATTTAGCGATAGCTACTACGGCAGGGGAAGACCAGTGGGCAAAGCTGTTTTTAGAACCGTACAATCATATCTAGCATATAGAACAAACAATATATAAATGCCTTAATTGTCACCGTTGTCTTTCCATGTTCAGCGGACTTAACTTCCTCGACCTGATGACGCGCCTGGGTGCCATCGACAACCTTCCCAAGGCACCATTTACCATGGGATGCGAGCTTGCTGGAGTTGTTGAGGCTGTAGGCGAAAAAGTTGAGAGCTTCGTCGTTGGGCAAAGGTGTGTTATGATTGCCTAGGTACATCTCTGTGACAACATTGCTAATAAATGAACTAAGTTAGTAAATGTATAAACTAATGGATTGCCTCTATCAACCCGAATTGGTATTTTATGAGATATTTTTGACGGTCCACGTATCATACATCGAATAACGTTCTTTGCTTCTAGATAAATTCTTAGCTCGCTTCTTATATACTTTTGCCTTTATATTTATCTTACCAGGTTGAATCCATAGCTTGTTAAATAATAATAATAATGATGATAATTACTAATACACTTGTTTTATAACGGTTTATAACGATCGTACCAAGCAGCGAATCTGTTGTAAGTAGATAATCCGTTTTATTATAGCATTATTATACCGTCTTAGTTTGGCTCCTCTGCTGAGATAATACTCAAGTAGCCGGCACAATGTTTCGTCCTCTGTATTATTGATAATGCATTTGCCATATACTACTTTTATCTAATATTGTTACATTTTTTTTCTCCGAGGCCTCGATTGTCTTATTTCGTGAATGATTTACATGGATCCTTGCATATGTACTAAACGAACCAACATGTATTGGATTTGTGGGTAGGGCTGCGTACGTGAAGTCACTTAACACAGAGTACGTTCTTATTATATAAATAAAAATAACGCATATTTCTAATAATAACAATAATAGTAATATTATCTTATTTTATAAGAACTTTTTTTTAAAAATGAGCGTCGTTTTGAATGATGGTAACTACAGTTGTTATTTACAAGTAATTAATACTCGAATTGCAAAAATTTACGCATAATGTATATATTTTCCTTCTACCGTAGATGTTTTCAAAGTATTATCGCTGACAATGATGGGCTATAAACTTACGAGCTGCTAGCTTGCTGTTGTGATGCATCCTTGCAATTGCGTCTCTTAAATCTTTATCGTTTTTCGGGCGTAGATTCTATCTTCCAATTCTTCCTATAAAAAAATCCATTAGGAGAATAGACAAGGTATTTTATGGGGCTTCGTCATCCAATTCATCTGTTTAAAAGATTCTAACTAAGATATGAGATCCCATCGTGACAACAGTGTGCATACGTCCGTTGTTTCCGAAATAAAACTTGCACTTTTTTTCGAGTTTCATCGAATCATATTGAATTGTCTGGTAAAACAGGTTCTTTTAGTAAGTTCAAATTGGTCCAATTAGTTCTTTGCTAGTATTGCCGTTTCGGTCTGTAATTAATTCTTGATGAATTTATATGACGTCACACGGGGGTTAAAGATGCCCGATAAGTATAATTATGTGGGTTAATCGTGCTAATTAGTTTTAATGTAGCTTTATTGTTTGAAACAATCTTTCTTGAAAATGGTGTATTCATTTTTTCTAAGAGATTGTTTTCCTCTATCCGGATGATATATTACATGAATATTACAGTGAATATATACATTGTTCGAATGTAACGTTTCCATTTACAATTTAAAATATAATGGACATTTAATTTGCTGATGGCAAGTTTAGTGCTTGCCTAACGTTTCCTTTGTGCTTGCACGGCATCACGATCGCAATTCTTACTTAATTTTCTTAAAATTAATTATGGTCTTGCCATTGTTATTTTCAACTAATGACACCCTGAGAAGAAAGAATTGTCATATCGTTCTAGCCTCTTTAACAGTATGTACATGTTGTATCTTACAATGTACGTGTTTTTCGGACGACCTGTAGAAAAAATGTATGTATTCTTGCTAAAGTTTTACACTTTAAACGCAGAGGTACTTCTTAGAATTTGCTTAGTGGCTATCCAGTGCGGAAAATGTGGCCGCTTTGCACGTAGCTAGGAGTCAATGGTAGAGGAAGGATGGCATAAACAGTTTACAAAAGGAGCGAGTCAACACTTGAAGATAGAACACTGAGTGGCGCTCGAGTCGCTGCAGCTCACCTGAACTGGGTCTGCCCGAAACTGACGGCAGCTTTAGCGTATTTTTTGTATCAACAAGAAACGCATCGTAATTTGGATGCTATGCAATTTTAGTATGTTCTCGCTTTGACTGAATCTTTGATAGCGATGTGACAAACTAGTCTGTGACTTTTTAAACACAAAGTGTTCGTTTAGCTAGTTACCGGAGTCGAATCCTTATAGTAAAACGTCTGTTAGTGGGCCGCAAAGAAACTATTCAAGTACGACTCGCGTAAAAGCCCGAGAATTCCATATGTTTGCGACAAATCATACGTTAATAATGTAACGACGTTATATGCGTGTGTTAACGGCAATGCTGCTCGCACGTTCGTGCCGCCGCCGCCGCCATAAGTGCTGCTGCTTCCGTTGCTGTTGTCGACATTCCTTTAGAGGCGGTATGTCGTGGTCGGCCAACAAATTTATATTATCTTTTCTCGGTTGGATAATCACATCTGAATAGAAAACGAAACAGAAAACGAGGGTAAGCGGACTGAGTTGACAAACTCCTCCCTGTCTTGATGCCGACACAAGGCAACAGGCGCGCAGTGGCCTAAACACAGATAGATGAATTGAAGCATGATTTGCTTTTTGCCATCCATACATGCCGTCTTATTTGCGAAGTCAGTTTGATTCGCCTATTTCTTTTTTTCCTTTATCGCGAATCTTTTTCCGTACTTGGTGACGATAATAGTTCGTCTGCGTATGCATACATTTGATGTCTAGTCTAATTAGCCGTACAAGTCTGGCATGGTGCGGGTAGGTAGTATGCATCTGCTTAAGCGTGTTGCCATGGCAACCACAACTAACAAGCGTGCTGCTACGGTGGTTCGAATCTCAGCATCGAAAAGAACCAGTTATTAATATTCATGAAAGTAAAAAGTGAGGGAACAATTAGAAGTCGGTATTATTAGACTAATATATAGTATATATATATATATATATATATATATATATATATAGTATAGTTGCCACGTTGTTTCATAGGTCTGTGTTCGAGGTTCTCGTGACAGCATAGTTGGTAACGTATTTGCCTGGCAATTTTAGGAATACGTTATGGTCTAGGTTCGTAGACCGTGGCATTAGACACACTTCATTTCGTGCTCCCAGGTCAGCCATGTGTTGAAATACCAAACCGGATGTAGAATTCGAAACACAGGTCGTCGTCGTCGTCGAAAGAACTCATAGATACAAGTCCAGCAAAACCTGCTTTGGTCAGACTCCTAGTGGGGCATGTCCTTGATGGTACACCTAAATATAGAAAATTCCCAGGATTGACCACATAAATAATACCTAGAATAGAATAGAAGAAAGGTCCAAGTAACGAGCTTATCCAGCGTGTAAGCGCTGCTAAAGGTCGCATCGCGACACCGCAGTTCTTACCGACGGCGCTGTGGCTGATGGGTATTTGTGTTGCCAAATCCAGCTTAACTTAAAACATCCACCGTAATAAAATAGATCATCATTGAACTTAAAGCGATCGCCCCTTATTTATAGGCACCGATCGCCTTGGATGGTTACCGTAGAGAAAAATTTCAAAAGACGAAGAAGCGCTCCGGGCCCTGTGCTCATTTATTTGCTACGTCCAACAGACCAATTTGCTATTTGCATTTTTCTAATTTTGTTAGTTAGTTTCTTCGAACTGATTCGGACCTGTTCTCGTAACAACTTTCATAATTTCGTCATTACGAAACAGTATTTCGGCGACGACAATATTTCTGCATATATTGATCATGGTAATACTAAAGCTTATCCGGATACGGGGAATACGTTTCATGACCAGATTTACTAGATTTAGTCTAGCATATACTATTGACTGCCAATTAAATTCGTGCCAATCGACGTGTGAAGGATACATCAACCGCTACCGCTGCCGCTTCGAAACTAATTTCACAAATTTTTTGTTTTTCTGTTACAACACTGCTGATGATGAAGTGACTCGCCGTTCGAAAACGCACTTCAAGCACGCTGTCGAGTGCTTCTTTTTTAACCGCGTTATTAAATATTCTCTTCTCAACCAACGGCACCTTTACAGAGAGGGTTTCTTCGAACTTCGATACGCAAACGATTGTATGCTACGCAGAAACTAATTTTATCGTTATTTATGCGAACTTTTCACATGCGCAGACACTAGATACCTTTGTGTCTTTCGGCCGACGCTTAGCAAAGGGCATATGGTATGCTTCAAATTACATGGGCGTCTTTTCGCCACCCGAGGCAAATAGTCCGTACAGATTGTGAAGGAAACGATGTATACGCTGCAGATACGGAGTATATATATATATATATATATACTTGAAAATTAAACTTGACATCAATTATGATGGCCGTTTGTTCGTTTTATTAGCAGTGCCGCTTGGGAAATGATGTAGGGTTACAAAGCAGTACTAATTCTTTCAGCATCATTCTTTTGGGCCCGCGTTCCACCTGTCATCGACTACTCGTCACTATACTGCCAAATAGCAAAAACAAACCTCTATCGTCCCCTAATAAACAAACCGATTCTGAGTCGCCAGTTGACTAACAAAATGGACCAATTCTGCAGGAGCACTACAGATATTCCGTACATATTCGTGTTACTAAAGTTTATTCAAGGGTGATCTTCTTTCTTCTCTGACTTATAATCGATAAAAAGTGAAAATACGCTCGTCGTTGCCAGGAGCAATGAGTGAGCAGCTTGCGATTAGTCATTGCCATAGTGCTCGTTTTCCTTTTTAGAGTATTCGGCCTTTCCCTCAAGTTCCTGCCTTTTTCAGTCTCTCTAGTCTATTTTTCACCAATGCACACGCTCTATTATTACGCCGGCGCTCGTTCCGATCCTGTTCATGAACTACAAATAGTCCCCCGATGGGGGTTCGACTAATTCGATTCGTAGCCATAAAAAATGAAGAGTTGAATGTGAAGAATTCGCTTTGGCGATTACGTTCTATAGTCTTTCAGTATGAGAGAAGAGATGGCTATTAAGAAGACATTAGACGGGTGTCTGAAGATCGGAGAGCAGGCATGTCAGTATTTCTTAATTAACATAATTAAGGTATTCATATAGTTAGTGAACGGTAGGCTGAAGGGTCTTATTTGTTTTCTCGTTGAAAGTAGAAAGTATAACGTGTAATAGATAAATGTGGGTGATGACTGTTTCGTTTATGCACAACGGTTTGCTTCCTAAAAATTCATAGAAACACGCCAGGTAGGCTGGCTGGCTGGTTTCAATATTTTACGAACATTTTTTTTTGCTTATTTTCTATTGTTGTTGACGTGTTACTGATACTGAAGGGTTCAATCGTTTTTGCAGGGTGTGCGCCATCTCCGACATGAAGGCATGGGCAGAACTAGTTGCTGTGCCAGCTAAACATTGCTATCCAATTCCCGATGGAGTCTCTTACCAGGTTCGCTCCTGATGTTTATATGACGAGGGTTTTACGTCCTAATTGGGCTTTGTTTTCTATTTATTATATCGTTCAAGGTATCTGCAAATGGAAACTGTTCAATATAGGCGAATAAAATCAATTTAAATGTATTTCTAGCGCCCTGTCTCGGCTCTTTTTAAAATCTTTTTGTTATAATTGATGTGAACTGATGCCAATTGTAATGTTCCGTAGGATGCGGCCGCTCTCCTGGTGAACTACACCGTAGCTCACGCGTTGCTTTTCGATGTGGCCAACCTTTGCGAGGGACAAATCATTCTCATACACTCTATCGGTTCGTATTGTTTGCTCTTTATTCTTTTTACTTTATTAGTTGGTTCGCGCTATATTCATTTTGAGCCCCTGAGACAAATTGTGATTCACGTAACGGGGTGCTATCTCACAAGTGAAACTGGTTGGTGTATGACAAACGCATAAGCTAAATTTCTAGCAATTAAACTAAATGAGAATTATTATGATAAAGCGATACAAGTGCAATTGGTGAGATTTTTAATGTTGGCATAATTTAGGGGGCGGTGTGGGCCAAGCGCTTGCCCAGCTCAGCAAGATGGTTCCTGATGTCACCGTCATTGGAACAGCCTCGAAGGCCAAGCATGAGCAGCTCAAGGACGTCTGCCAACATCTACTTGAGCGCGAGAGCTGCTATGTTACCCAGGTAGGCGATCGCGCCCTTCATTTGACACCACCAAATTTGTATAATTTTCTATGGAAAAAGAAGAAAAAGTGAGTGAATCACTCGGTTAGGTGGCACTTTACCGCGCTTAAATATTTATCCAACACAGCAACACTGAACAGAAACAATAATTCTCATTCGTTGAGATCTTCCTATACTCGTCTATATTATAGATTGGTCAGTAAATCATGCTAATCTATCAGCTTGAGAGTTTGTTATGGATTTCTAATTTGAAATTCGGAGATAAACAGGTGTCGACGTGGGTAGAACGATAAAGAGAATCAACTTATTGTACGTGCGTAGTAACGTGTCTTAAAAGTCGATATTTGATTTTTCTAGGTTAAAAAGATTGCTGAATCGGGAGTCGATCTTGTTCTAGACTGTTCCTGCGGAGAAGACGTCAATAAGGTTAGAGTTTAAAGGGAAATTTGAGTTAAGTAAATACATATGACCTCTCACTTTCGAGTTCTGCACTCGGTATCATCGTTGGACATCCCAGCAGACGGCTGGCTGGTTCCCAGCACGAAACAGGGCAAATACGTTACCCCCCTAAGCTATCACGGGGACAAATACTTATAACCAATGAATACAAAACCTGCGCGTCGTAGCTCGAAAACGAGCTCTTGCGGAGATCAACCACTATCTGCTCGTATACCTAATAACGTGTTCATGTGATACACGAAACTAGATCACTTGTATAAAACCGAGTGAGGTATGTTATCTCACTTTGAGTGTTCTTACTAACTTATTTCTTTTTTCTAAGCCTGTTAAACGACTGACGTTTACGTCATTATACCATTAGCAATGCTAACTGTTTGCTGACTCATCTACTTTACGTCAATCCATATGCATTTATTAAAATGGAAAATAAAAAATTCAAGGGGAAACGCGATGCTTATTAACGAATGATTATTTCTTTTCCTTTCCTATTTTGCTGTACCTCCAGGGCTACGCTCTACTGAAGCCTATGGGTCGTTACGTATTATATGGCACCTCGTTTTTCGTGTCGGGCGAGACCAAGAATCTATTCTCGTTCGCTAAGAGTTGGTGGCAAGTGGACCGTATCAACCCGATCAAGCTCTACGATGACAATAAGTCCATCAGTGGTTTCAATCTTCGTCACCTTCTATTCCAGCAAGGCCAACACGAGTACGTCGCTCGTAAAGTCCAAACCGTATTCGAGCTCTTCAAGGCCTCGAAGATCTCGCCTGTCATTGACTCCGTTTGGGCCTTCGAGGACATAGCTGAAGCCATGCAGAAAATGCACGATCGTCGCAATCTCGGCAAGCTTTTGCTTGATCCTGCTCAAGCGCCTAAGCCTCGGCCCGCAGAGCCCGAAAAGCCCGTCAAGGTCGGTAGAAAGGTTCGTGACCCCCCCCATTATCCTCACCTACCTAGTCCTGCAAAAATCCTGTGTTTTGTGGCTACCGATTAGTGTGTTTGTCATTTGGCCTGTGATTCTAAGGGAGACCCTCGTGCATCGAGTACAGTTTGATTGTATCAGCATCGTAAGATCGTGCCTTGCTTTATTTCGTGTGTAGTGCAGTGTGCCTATGCGCTGGGCAGATGCTGTATGAGCTTGTTGCCCTTATGCAGCCATCCACGAATCAAGTTCTCCAGCATACCTTCTATTCCTGCCTGCAGGGCCTAGTTGATGTATTACTGTGCAAATATACTATAGTTCAATAATACGACACATTATACTTGTGAATTTATTAGGTGGGCGAAAATCGCGCATGATATTTGCTTTCTGGTTGATCTATGTTTTTACTTGTAATTATACTACTGGATTTGTCTAGTTTTTATTTACTGTCCAGCGAAATTTTATGAAATTTGATTTTTAGTGAAATTTGCTAATAAGTTTTTTGATTGATATTTAGTACTGTGTTATCTAATTCCTACCAAGATATAGTCCTATATGCATGCATATACAAAATACTGCTCACTTGGCTTGAATGTATATTTGAACTGATATTGCCACGTAGCGTAACTAACATTTTTATCCTCATCTACATTACTGAATGCTCATTTAGGAGAGCAAGAAAGAGAAACGCAACAAGGAAAAGAAGGAAGCCGACAAGGAGAACGGGGACAAAAAGGATATTAAGGATAAAAAAGACGAAAAGACTGAAGGCGATAAGGACAAAAAGGAGAATGGCGATGCCAAGGATGACACCAAAAAAGATGACAAAGTATGTAACTATGTGCTCTTCTACATTTTTTTTTGTTTTCCCCCTCTCTCAACTTTTGACGTTCTAAGATCGTCGAACGTCTAAGAAGGAACCGGTTTCTAATAAGATGTCATAATTGTTACTATATGGGCCGGCATCTCACGAGGTGTAAGATGTATTGGCATGACATCTGGTCTCAACAAGCGTGTCGTACACCCTTCGTGATGCTTATGAACAATCGCTATTTTTTAATTTTAGGCAACTACCAATGGCGAGGCAGAAAAAGACGGCGAGAAGAAGGAGTAAATTGGGACACCCTAACGCAATGATGACCTTGCGGGAGGTCTTGGGGCTGCCCCTCGCGAGGCTCAAAGCACTCTCTCAGGACCGCTATTCAGACAAACAATGAAAATGGAACAATGGTAACCCGGACGAAAATGTAGAGAAGAGCAGTAAACAAGAAGAAGAGTACGGTAAAGATGTTTAAATGTCGACCGTCGAAACATTTTTGAAGCGATAAAAAAGGAAACTATAATTAGGAGCATTTTATTTTTAACTCAGCAACACAATGACCGATGTAAACAGCGAGATAGACGAAGGACGGAACTATTTACTACGATGGACGGACATAACAAAAAAAAAACGGAAAAAATGAAAATAGAATAAATGAGAAACTAAAAGTTGCTTGAACTGTGACAAGCAGAAAAAGAGAAGCGCAAATATTGTGGAAATATGGGAAAAAAGAGTGCGGTTGATAGAGAGCTAGCGATTTATAAAGATATAGAGAGAGAGAGAGCGAAAGATATATATATATATATAGAGAGAGAGAAAGAGAGAGAAAGAGAGAGAGAGAGAGAGAGAGAGAGGCATAACGATTGTTGATGGAGCCCCGTTGAGAGTAGCACAATTTTATCGTAAAACAAGAAAACACAACTCTAAAGACATGGACCTCCGGGTCTCAATACAATGTTTCAAGAAAAGAGGCGGCGACAGACTGTAGTGGTCCAAAACAAAATTAGAAGCGGGACAGCTAGTTGGAATAATGTTACAACTGGGGGGTTGAAATGGTGGAAAGAAGCACAAACTGCATGCAGTTCGGTTAAGATAATATCGTTCGACGGGGATGACCCGTTTAGCGAATAACGGAAATTTGTCGTCAGTGTTATAAACGTCAAACAACGCGGCAAGGCTAACACAACCCAGCGCAGAATCCCCTATCTACGACTATCGCTTCACCTTTCCCATAAACGTCCTCATACCATCCTGGCAAATTCGGTTGAGAGATCTTTTTATTACACACCATACTACCAGTATTAGCAGTATAGTGGAAGAGACAACGAACAGTGAGATTAAAAGTGCTGTTCGTTATTATTAGTTTTAGAAGATCTTGTACTTTGTGTACGTACTTTCATTGGATACAACATCGCTACGGATACCGAGATTGATGATAATAATGATAATAATAATAATAATAATAATAACAGAAATAATAAATATATTGTAATTTTAAAAAATGACAACATTTGAATGCGATTGCATGGGTGTGAAGTTTTTGGCGACATAACCTACCTTGACCTAACTGCGTAGATTATTGTCAGGTCTCCTAATCAGCGGTAAACAGGGCACATGTAGGTTTCTTTTGAACAGGAACACAGATTTCAAGAAAATCGAGATAAACCAGAGACGGCAAGTGCGATACAGATCTATCATCAGAACAATTTTAAATCAACGGGTGACGTAGCTTTCGTTAACTAGTTGGCGCTCATGGAGATGTTTTTAGCGTGGAATAGTGGGTAAACGGCAGTGTTCGTGAAATCTTTTACCCCTGATGAGGGAAGGTTAGGGTAACTGACAGAAGGACCGTTCCTTAAAGTCAATTGGAACCGACAACTAGCTGAGGGTACACACATCTATGATACCATCATGAAGGAATGAGCTACAAACGGTACTATGGTAACATTTGTTTCGTTGTTAATAAATATGCTAACGATGTTGATTAGTCCAACGAGGGTCGCCGCCCCTTTGACTATTAGACCAGCAGCAGTCCGAGTGCGAAGCAAGAAACGATGTGGTTGAAGGTGATCAAAATGAAAATGCTATAAATAGGAAGACACGAGTAGAACATTACAAAGACCATAAAAAAGCTATATATAAATGGATGAACTAGGTAAGGACAACAGGTGAAATGATGCTGCTCGTAAGTTATTTTTCGCTAATTTTGTTGGCGGGAAAAATCTTCTATACGCCAAAAAAAAGTTGACAAACTAGACGAAGCGCAAAAACTTAAAAAAAAAAACAAAAAAAATTACCATATATTCATTCGTCTGTATTATTTTAAAAAAAGCCGCCTCAAATCACCTATTTGCTTGACTGACATATATATATATATATATATATATATATATATATATATATACATATATATATATATATAAAAGCTATTATAATGGGCATGTGAAATTGGACTTATTACGATTACAATGATTATTGTAGCTGATATGATGATGATGATGATGATGATGAGGACGACACGAAGTGTATAACGAAATGTTAAAGCCAGACGTGTGAGGATGCTGACATTGATATGGCTATTTAATCGTTGACTGGCTGATATCGATATTATTGTGGCAATTGTATTACGGTAGACGTAGGGTGCAAAGGCAGGCAATGAATAACGGAAACAGTGAAATTATTATTACGCTTACTATATAAACAGGTACGCTAACGCTACATAAGCGACATGAAGTTGACGGGAAGCGTAAAAAAAAAGCGAGAGACAAGAAGAAGGGTTAGTATGAGGTACACGTTTTCGAGATGATGATGATCTGCGTTATTTTCGAAGCAACTAGACTAGGCGACAAATCGGACTACGATAAAGAACTGTCGAATACCGAGTAACGGCTCGTTCAGTAATTTACTCGCGCTGTGCTAAAAAGTGCTCCTGAAACCCATCCAGATGAGCGGCTGGCGTATTGGACTCGTATCAACGAACCATCATATTCCATTGTTTTCCTGCTCATCCTTACAACCATCCCCTTTTAGACATATGTACATCAAATAGAAAGAAAAGTCTTCGTGTTATAAGTGCATCATTTTGAGGGTAGAAGATACGCTAAGGAGGCACGCTAGACACCTTGCACGTTTCCTTGAAGCCACTGCCAATTCTGTAGGGCCGAGCGATTTCCACGAAATGTTACCGATGGTAGTGCAATTGCTCATTCGGCTTTTGTAGTAACTGTAGTTAAAATTGTGTGTAAAATTCTCCCCCGAATCTCAAAAAGCAAAAATCAAATTTCGATAGAGACCTGACTAGCATACGCCAATGGGAGATAACGATTGGCTTCTCTCTAATAGCTACGGTAGCAACAACACAGTCACAATAAGATAAAATTTGAGCCAAATATAACAGCCATTCATTCTTGAATGTTTGAACTGGGCTTTCCCCGCAACGGCGTGAGTATTATAAAAGGAAAATGATCCAAAATTTAGCTAAACCTTCCTACGATCCGTACGTTATACCAACGACCGTTTGTGGACCGAGTCTAACTTATCCGACAATTGCCGTCTTGTTGACAACAGAACGATGGACAACCACGAGATTTGAGCTGCCCGCAGCCGCTCCAACAGTTGCAATGTTTTTCTTCTCAAAACGGAGGATACGAACAATAAAAACCTAAAAAAATAAGGGATTGGATAGACGTCCCCTCAACTCAGGACGCCGCACATGACACACGAACAGACTCATCTACTTGTGTCCATTCACAAACAGACAGACGTAAAATGGTCATAGACTAATGCATACTATTATATACCAAACACAGATCGGATGCTTATATATATATATGTATATATATATATATACACATATATACATATACATATATATCCATATATATATATATATATATATATATATATACATATACATGCAACAAAGTATACAAAAACATCGCGCGAACCCCTGCGCGCACATATATCAAAACAAAGTGAAGCAACGACAGCGGAACAATAATCGAGGTGATGACCGAGGGTCGTCAACCACCTAAAGTTGAGCGGACCTTGTGACGATGTGGTCGAAAGACCGACGAGCGACTGGCTGCCAACAGTGCTTGAAGCGTGCCGCAAGGTTTCACCCCGCTACGATAACTCGCCAACAACAATAGTAACAGTATTAAATTATGAGACTAGGGAAACATCTCGAAGGGTCCTATTTACAGTAATAAAACCCGGTAACGGAAAGGCGCATTTCCGCTGTTTCGCAACACAACATTTGCGAGCCTTCCGCCTTGATCGTCGCTCCTTCTTTCCACCATAAAACGATGATAGATATTAATTATAATAATAATCATAATACGATGGATTATCAAAGGCTAGCAATTATGTGTCCCATATTTCCTAAATAGGTAACTAGTGTTTTACTGTTTTGCTTTCTCGCGATGTAGATGACCGTGACCAAAACAATGACGAAAAACATTGATTACATTGACGGCATCAACAGTTCCGTCAGAATAGGAGCAACAAACTCGTACTGGTAGAACGGGCACATCGAGAGCTAAATGGATGCGCCTACATCTTTACGAGCTAGACACACGCCATTATATACCTTCTAGACAGAAGCTTCTGTGCAAGAAACCGTCCGTCGTCTCGAATCATGATCAGTTATATAATATCATACTAGCCTTACGCGTCCATCTCATCTATTGCGTCGTTATAATCGTCATGTTAACTAATCACATTAACCCATAATGTTCAGTTCTCATCTGATGTCACGCGTACAGTGACGCCGAAGGCGACAATACCATATCCCGAATGGAGTTAAAATACGTAAATTGCTGCAAGCCAGCAGTTGCTTTCTAGACTGTGCATCGTATTGATGGGGTGGCAGCCCGTCATTCAAGATGGAGTTAGCTCATAGTTTCGGGTTCGCACAATTTTGCTATGCTATTACTACAAAGAAGCTTGAATGCCGAAGAAAAATGTAAGCCTATTGAATTCAAGATAATTTAGCTAGCAAGCGCCAAATGTGCTTGCTAGTGCCCTTTGTGAAAATTCCTCCTCGTATTTACTCTAGAGACACAGCAGGCAACGGACACTGTTTATTCTCGAACACACAACTTTTTTCGCTCGTATTGTACAGACATTCTCGATTCCCATTTTAACCTTTCAAATTGCATCATTGTTGTAACTCTTTCGTGTGATAATCGCAGCCTCCATCGCTAAGCGGCAAGAGTTCGCTGGCTGACTTAAGCGCCGAAGAAAAATCCGACATGCTCGTAATCGTTTCCCAGATCAAACTATAGTAACTGTTGAGGACATCGTAACTCTAACCGTGAGGCCTACTACACCACTAATATGAATATATGTATAACCATGATCCTTGCGATGGCCAGACCATGATGAAATTGGTTTGTGGATAGTGTGTAATGCATGCGATGACATTCTTTTTTGCCCTATTCAGATTTAGGGTCGTGTGTGGAGAAGAAATGAATGCTAGCGGATAAGGCCTTAATATTTGATGTGAAAAAGGAGTTGAAAAAAGAAATAGCGAAAGTAGGGTAAAAAGTGCGTCACAGGAAAAACGGTAAAAGTAATTAACTTCAAATTTCTGTGCGACAACGACGAAATCGTGGTATTGGATGTCTGCAATTTGATCAAAAACTGAATAACGTAAAAACTACACAAGTTTGGAGCGTCACACACATACACGAACATATACGCATACAAGTGTAAACCGCAGATAAAAATACACAAACATATATAATAACACAGATACAAATCTACGAAAATATAGAGAAAACGATCGAGATGGATAACATGAGTGGACATGGAAGCAAAAGATATTACACTCAGCATTAAAATGAACAAATCCTGATTTGTGTAAATACTAAAGTAACGTGGTGACTTGTGAACAAATATTATAATCTCAAATAAAAGTAATATGTGTACTCAAAAGAATGGCCGCTTGATTTGTTTCCTTAAATTAGATATATTAGGTCCATAAAGATAAATTTCAAACAAATGTTAACGTCTTGAAGATAGGGTTTGGTTAAAACAAACAGAGTAACAGATTGCGTTATGTCGATTTGCATAAATTGTAAAAATAAAAAAGACTATTAAAAATTACGAGAAAAATCTGATGAAAATTCGACATAAAATGCTTTTTCCAGAAACAGAAATAATGCTTCCTTTAAACTTGCGTGCCTTAAAGGATGATATACAAATGCGACCCAGGCAAAAGTTATGCAGATATATAAATAAAAAATTTAGTTGATATGTTATGGCCCTATAGGGTAGCTGAATCTCTCTAAACGGTCTTCGATTCTCATTTTGTAACACCAAATATGCGCATAATTCTTCCAACTTTTCAAATAGGCAAAATCAATTTTAAGTACCATATGAAACTGAGTAAAAGAACAAAAAGCATATTTTAATGAACTTAATCTAATCTATTTATTTCTTTGCTGCAAACATCACTTATAACTTGTTAGGTTTAAAACGTAATTTCTTTTTGAACTCAGCTTTCTTTTGATATCTTTTTAGGTTACATGCTTTACTTAACGCCTTTATGAAACATATTTAATTAGACAGACCTCGCTATAGTAAATCGTACAATATTTTATAATTTTATCATGAAGGGTATATCATATAAATCCTGATCTTACCGAATTTTTGCCCGCCGATATCCGTTAAACGAAAAGATATAATTCGTCCATCCGAGCAGCCAGCCGTTCGCTGCTCAGCTGTTTTGTTTGGAGGTAATACGGTATTGTCTGCTCGACACAAAAACATACGAGAAGTGACCCCTGTGTTTTGTCTTAGTCTTTCTTGTAGAGCGCAGTGTTCCTCCGGTGAGCTGTGGTGAGGTGAACAGGCACCAAGATGCTTCGGTGTCGCGGCGTTACGCACACCCTGCGAAATGTGTTGAACGTGCGAGCCCGTGCGGCCAGCTCTGGGCCACCGGAGAAGATCGAAGTGTTTATCGATGACAAAGCTGTCCTGGTGAGTTTCCTTCGCGAACTGCTGCTCCACTCCACCGTACCCTGCGGGTGGCAGGTCGTGCATTAGATAGCCGTTTGAGGCCAAGCAAACGGTGTCTCCGTAACGTGGGTCATTTAAAAAAGAATTCTGTGAACTAGTCAAATTACCTAAAAAAAAAAAAAAAGCAAGAAAAGAAATAGCAAAGAAGGAAAATTTTAGCGTTACACATCGGTGCTCAGCGTGAATACTTTATAAATAGTGAATAAACAGTTTACTTGAATTCGAAAAAAATCAAGCAGACTTCGAACATGTTCGAATACTAGCAAGGGCAATTCGCAGCTGGTGGAATCATGCGCTTTATCGATAAGCAGGCATGCGCATCGAACACTAGGCAATGTTAGTTGCCGCGATCATTCTCGCTTATGCAGCATAGCTGCTATTATCGGAAAACGTTATTGAGGTAAAAAAAAAATTCTAACAGTCTTCATTATCCTAGGATCACAGGCACACGTAATTCGATTCATGAACGCGCTTTAGAGCGACTCAGGCCAGTTTATACTGTATTTTCTTATAATGTCTTATAAGTATACTCATAGCAATGGTATCGCCATGAGATTGCAATGGACTACCCTCACCAAGGTTGTTTTAATTATTATGGCCGGAGGGCGGTCGGTTATTGTAACAGTTCTCATGATAGAAGGTCTTTTTACTTACTATTGACCGTTAATTGTCGGATGATTCACTCCCCTCATTCAATCTGCTGAAAATCAACCGAAAAGTATTCGGGCTACTGCGTACAATATTGTCGTTAGCTCGGTCTAAATTTTTAATATGTTTATTATGGTCAGTGATTAGCTAAAGCCTTATGTCTATCAGTACTTCAAGAGGTATATCAGATTTTAATATCTTTGAAATTGACAATAACGACTGAATACATTTACAGCCATGGCTGTATAATCAGGTTAAGGTTTTAGTACGAATTTCCTGTGACGTACAGATTATGATGGAACACAAGTTTCTTTACGAACATTTGTTTAATTCTCGTGAAGAGCAGCAGTAATTTTTACTTGTTAATATAAATGCATTTAGAAGACTACGCATATTTGTATCCTTATTATATTAGTGACATTTTACCTGTCTGTCGGTGTAAGCAACACCTTCCGCGAAAGCGCTAAATGGAAAGCATGACATTTGATAATTAAAAGTTGCGGTAACTTTGGCAGGTTGATCCAGGAACGACGGTTTTACAAGCGGCTGCTATGGTTGGAGTTGAAATCCCGCGTTTCTGCTATCATGAACGACTCAGCGTCGCCGGAAACTGCAGGTTTATCGGACTAGACGAAAACGCAAATTAACATCTTATTAATTCGTGCAAAAAGATCGTCAACGATTAAGTCTTTAACAAAGAATGGAATGGCGTAGTCGGTGGCGGGCCCTGTACACAGCGTCAGTCAAACTCTGGCGTGAATTATATGCATACTTTCAAGAAAGACTCAATACTTTATATATATATATATATATATATATATATATAAAGTATAGAGTCTTTCTTTATATATTATATATATCTATATATAACGGCTTTCTTTCAGAATGTGTTTGGTCGAGGTGGAGAAGTCGCCAAAGCCCGTTGCTGCGTGTGCAATGCCTGTAATGAAGGGGTGGCGCATCAAGACCAACTCCGACATGACAAAGAAAGCTAGAGAAGGTTGGTCACAACCACTTCTATGCTAATTTCCCAAAAGTTTGGCTTACCTAGAATTTATCGTCTGAGTCCTTTAACGTATTTCGGTGTGCATTTAGTAAACTGTTCGATTCGAAAATTGAATATTTTCGGGAAGTAAGGCACGTTTTGCGGTACCATGAACAAAGAGTTTAGGAGTAACAAAGACCGAATCCTACAGGTGTTATGGAGTTTTTATTGGCCAACCATCCTCTTGACTGTCCCATTTGCGACCAGGGGGGAGAGTGCGACCTTCAGGACCAATCAATGGCGTTTGGATCGGATCGAAGCCGTTTCACGGATATTAATTATGAAGGCAAAAGGGCCGTCGAAGATAAGGTGAGCAACGATAAGCGCCTTTAGAGAATTTTTTCAAATTTCCAATCAGTCCTTCGGACCTGCATCCGAATGCCGCGAGTTGATCGTTTATCATCAGCTTTTTTTTTATAACCAAAAGTACCACAATTGTAGCTATAAATGCAATAGTTGAAAAGCTTCCATACGGATTGTTTTTTCACAACATTTACAACAAAAATCTTTCAAAAAAGTTTCATAATTTAGAACTCATTTTTTTCGTGTTTCTTTATTGTAGGATATTGGGCCTCTTGTAAAAACGGTTATGAATCGTTGCATCCAGTGTACCCGGTGTGTGCGTTTTGCATCCGAAGTAGCTGGTATTCCTGTGCTAGGCTCAACAGGTCGTGGGCAAGACATGCAAATCGGAACCTACGTCGAGAAGATGTTCCTTTCAGAATTATCTGGAAACGTAATCGACCTCTGCCCGGTTGGAGCGCTCACATCGAAACCATATGCATTCACGGCACGTCCTTGGGAAACTCGTAAGGTCGAGAGCATCGACGTAACGGATGCGCTTGGCAGCAACATCGTGGTGAGCACTCGTGCTGGAGACGTGATGCGTGTGATTCCGCGAAATAATGATGATGTGAATGAAGAATGGATTTCGGACAAGGCACGTTTTTCATATGACGGCCTGACACGTCAACGGCTTACAACGCCCATGATTCGAATCAATGACCAGCTTGAACCCTGTGATTGGCAAGAGGCTCTCACAGCCGTTGCTAATCGAGTAGCGGTCACCCCTGGTGAGAAGATGGCTGCTGTCGTTGGCAGCATGTGCGACGCCGAGGCGTTGACTGCCCTGAAGGACATGATGAACCAGCTCGACTGCGAAACACTTTGCACAGAAGAGAGCTTTCCGATGGACGGAGCCGGTACCGACATTCGATCTAACTACTTGCTGAACTCAACGCTGGCCGGAGTTGAAAACGCCGATTTACTTTTGATCATCGGGTGTAATCCGCGCTTCGAATCGCCTGTGTTTAATGCGCGTATTCGCAAAACGTGGATTGGGAGCGACCTTGAGGTGGCGCTTATCGGTCCTAGAATCGACCTCACTTATAGCTATGAGCATCTCGGAGACAACCCCAACCTCTTGCCTGAGATTGCTAAAGGAAGTCATCCCTTCTCCGCTAAGCTGAAAGCCGCAAAGAATCCAATGATCATTGTCGGAAGTGAGGCTCTACAAAGAACTGATGGCGTTGCCCTTTATAGTATAGCACATCAGCTGGCTACATCCCTGCAAAAAGACCGAGAAAATTGGAAGGTAAACTGCTTTAAGCAAGTTACCCAAAAGTTTAGTACAGGTTATGAAAACTTCCAGTGTGGATTTCACATTACCTTTTACGAAACGTGACACATTTACTCAGTGTACACTTATCTACTCAACGTTGTATCATATATGGTTGCAGGTGTTCAATGTGCTCCACCGTGTGGCCAGCCAAGTCGCAGCTTTAGACCTCGGCTATCGTGCCGGCATTAAGGACATTCTAAGTCAGAAACCCGTATTGCTATACATGTTTGGCGCGGATGAGGGTATGATAGCTCGCAAGGACCTTCCAAGTGGCTGCTTTATCGTCTACCAGGGACATCACGGAGATAAAGGGGCCGAAATCGCAGATGTCATTTTGCCTGGTAGCGCCTACACCGAGAAACAGGCCACGTATGTGAACACAGAAGGCCGAACACAGCAGACTTTACAAGCAGTTACCCCGCCCGGATTGGCCCGAGAAGACTGGAAGATCGTGCGAGCCCTATCTGAATTTGCCGGGATTAGTCTTCCTTACGATTCCCTCGAAGAGGTTCGCGGGCGGATGCTCGAAATTTCGCCACATCTAACAAGATACACAAAAGTAGAACACGCCAATTACTTCAAACAGGCTGGTTTGCTTTTCAGTCGTCTGACAACAGCAATTACGTCCAGCGAGAAGGTAGATTCGCGCTTTAAGGGGCTTGAGGACTTCTTTATGACAGACTCGATTAGCCGTGCCAGTCCAACTATGGCGAAGTGCGTACACGCTGCCGTTAAAGAGAAGAAGAACCCGCATTAAGAAGCCGTGCGTAGTGCTAGCATGTTTCAACAGTTTAGTAGAATAATTAAGGACGTTTCGTGAGTAAGGTAACATAATGGGATTGGTCATGGGTTGGGATTAGATGGTAGCAGTTCTTAATTCGCCGTCCGGCGGCAATTTGAGGGAGACGCGAGTTGAGCATCGATGACGGAACACTAAGAGAACTCGAATGTTATCTTTACGATTGTGAGTAAAAACAAACAGCAACAACAGTAAAAGTGACTCAAGGTAACAAAAATGCTAATAACAGAAGCAGTCGGCCGTGTACGTTGAAAAGAAAAAATGTGAACTTAACGATGAAACAGTTAACTCGCAACAAAGCAACAAATCCTAGCGTTATTTCTATGGATTTGAAAACAGTAAAAGAGAAGAAACAGCAAGAAATAAAAGCAGAAGAGTGTATCAATAGGGAACGAATCTGTAAGCCTAGACAAGTTAAGAAAGCCTTTCTTCAGTAAACCATATTTTTGTTTTTTTTTTTTAAATTAACTCAAACACTATGATTATGGGTACTACGGTAGATTAAATGATGTAGAGCCGCAGCTCAATATTAAATCGTAGTTTGGACCTGAACTCGAGTAATAGTTTAACTTAACAACTTACGAGAACTCCAAGAAAAAGAATATATTTAACTAATTAAGAGGACTTCAAGGAAAAGAATATATTTGACTAATACGATTTTTTACATCATGTTCTAAAATGAGAAATGATTTCACACAGTTCTTAGGCACGGCTAAAAGTCTACATAGACTTTTAGTCTATGTAGACTACATAGACTATGTAGTCTACATAGACTAGAAGGGTCGGTTCAAATGTACAGTAGGAGATTAAACGCCATGCTCAGTAGCTTTGCTTCGTATACTTACGGCTTATCAAAGGCTTGTATAGCTTTTTTCTCACTGTAACTATATGAAAAACGACGGCTTCATACACAGTTGCTTAGGCTGCGACCATTTATATCTTTGGCTGCCCATGGACCTAACCTCGAATTGTTAAACTGGTAGAAAATTACGTCGGTTCGTTATTAAATGATATGATTTATTTAGTTGTAGCTCTTTCGTTCACTTGATTTCTGACTCGCTGAGGTGTTGTCATACTTTTTGTTGATCCCTCTCAAGACCTAAACCGATCCCAACGATATCGTATATCTATATAATATGTATAATATCGTCTATAAATGATGACAACTATTTTGTAAATAGAAATTGGTAGCAGTCACGGAGCTAATCAGGCGACAAAAAGACCCGCTGGTAGACTCCAAAGTAGAAATCTTTCAAATGATTCTAGTGAAATTTTTAGTGTATTGCCTTATCTTCAAGTTAATGGCGAAAAATTTCACCAATTGCAAATTTTTCCAGTAACTTGAATAGCGTATACAAGTACTTCTATTGCTTCTTACTGAGCAGATATGTGTAAGCTATTTTGGAGGCTAGTGATACCCGACATACGTGGCTATGTAATGATAACAGTTATAGTGGTTAGATTTAACAAGTGTGGCGTAAAAAAATAGGTGCAGTGGACTGTGTCGGTCAATCATCGTCATAGATGTGCTTCTTTATTACCTTCTTTATTACATAAGTCTTCGAATGCTTTCTAGACAAAATCTATTTCATCGTTCCTTTTGAGTAATCATTATTAATATATAAATTATATTCTTACAATAATGTAATGTAAATACGTGAACGATTATAAAATATGCGAATCTATCACTCACAGGATTTTTATCGCAACTGTTGATATACTATCAGTCTTCCAAAATGCTCAAACGTTTACACTCCACTTTACTTAAACATTTACTCCTTAGATTTCGCACCTAACATCTCACAGATACTAAAATTAGTGTTAAAATCGCTATTTCTTCTAACGTGGCCATGTCCCAAAGCGACCGCTTGAATAACGGCTAACGCAACTGCTCTTTGATAACACAGTCCAAATAAATTAGAAAGAAAGCAAACATCGACATTTTGTTGGCCGCCCGCTGTAAGCGCAAGGGCAGAGCGGTGCGTCAAGAAAACACTTGATTTCTAAATTCCAGCTTTCACTTTTCTCGTCAAAGTTCTCCGATAGAGAAACGTCAACGGTGCGCGGTCATGATGAAGCACTCATTTACTGAAGTTGTATGTCCGCTAATCGACGTTTGGCTACAGATCAACACCAATATAAGCTCGCCAAGTAGCGGCTAAGGTTCGCCACTGAATCCAAAATATTACAACAAACCCGCAAAATAAATAATTTAACAAACAGAAATTAGCTATCTCACTTAGATGGTGTGTGACGTATTCGGACTGCTTCCTCTTCATCGAGTGTCCTGTATAAAGGCCCTGTATTCAGTGATAGAAGTCAATGTAAACGGACAAACTTATCTTCAAATCCACGGCCTATTAACGCATACCAAACCAAACAAAATTAGAAACAAAAAATACAAAGAAAACAAAGCACCGCTGTGAAAGAAGCGCGCGCGAAAAAAAACTGACAACCGACTCCCTTAGCTAGGCCTTCATCCTACATTTCTATACCTCTTTCTACACCCGCGGACGGCAGTTTCATGACAGCGTCATTCTTCATTTAACGCAGCCTACGTATGTACAATATATAATCAGTCATGTACTTATATGACTCCTTAACCACTACGGAGAGCTCGAAGCGACTTCGATATTTTTCTCCTACCTTCTTGAACTTATATTCTTTCCGAAGGTTGAGGCCCACACAGCGCTCTGGTCAAGGCATAACTCTTCGTTTAGTGTCTTATTCATTATAGATGCTCTTTTGCGTCGCACGACTACCATGGTTTCGTTTGCGCAGTAGAAATTTTAACAGAATCAGAGATTAACAATAAAGGTGCTTTTAATTTTTTTTCGTAATTTTCCGAGGCATGGAAAACGATGGAGACGGTGAAGGAACATCACTGAAGCGTTTCTTTTTGCTTGCCTTATTAAACAAGAACTTTCCTCGTTTCATTTCCTACTAAATAATATAAGGCTCTTATATTTTTAGCACGTCAATCCTTTTTTTTAGAATTCGCAGAGCTTAGGCTCAGGTGACGCGCACAAATTTCTTTACAGGTTACATAAGTATCTATTTATTTTACTGACTTCGCCAGTACTTTTGGGATTGCCACGAAGACGTTTCAATCATAAAATCCTACTCTAACAAATTTTATCGGTTCTCTCGCATTGTTCTAAACCTATGATTTAGACACAGAGTTGTATTTTTTGTATGGCAAAGTACACAGCTGCATCAAAATATATAAATAGTAGACATTTTGTTATATTCTAAGTATCGATTTGACGATGATCACCATTTGTAGACTTTTCTTAGCAGTGAGAGTTGGACCAGGATAAGATGAGCCACGATATGAGTAAGTAGTACAAAAGAATCGGATACCTGAGATAAAAAACGAATTAGCTGTATCAGCGAAGGTGTCGAGGAGTGATTAAACATATGCTTCTAATGCAAGTAAAAAAAATATGCCATCGGTAATTTGCCTCATAAGAAACTGCTTTTGAATTTGCGAGCTAATGTTAGTTAATGTTTCGATAGCCTCATAGAGTTTACCGTGATATATAATAAGCGAAAAGGTTAATTAACTAAACTATTTGGATTTACATCGGATGTCTTATATGCCGATAGATAAGTGATAAAGGATTACTTCATTCTCTACAGAAGCATTATTCCTTCCCCTCGACATGATTTCAATTTGAATCAGTCTGCATTTTTAGCAATTTTTCGAAGATAAGTTGTGGTTCACTTCAGTGGCTGTTGTTTCTTTTAATATACCCCAGCTTATATTATAATGTATCTGTGAAATTTGTTACATGTTAAAGTGTAGTTTTCCTCCGTTTTCTTGAGAAGCGTAAGTTCTCATTGTTTTTCAATATATGAAAGATTCGCTTTGTACCAATTACAAATGCTCACCTGATGAGTGTGTTCTTATGGTCGCCATATAGGCCAGCGAAAGTGCCAGAAGCTGCCAGAATACTCCAACAACATCCAAGCAGCGATAATACTGCGCTGAATATAAACAGTACCAATGCATGGCTTGATATGAACGGTAACAGCGGAAGTAACTTGCAGGCGACGAGCGCCACACATTGTCCACAGAGGCAATATCCCAGCACACACAGGCCCTGCAGGAATAACAATGATATGAGTACTCATAACATGAGAAATTTCAGTCTGTCACGGTCTGTGTCGTTCCCCAATAGCTGTACTCGTTAAGATGCAAAATAAAGGTCAATTCGCTACAATCATTTTGTAAAAAAAAATATAATATGGTTAAGTAATAATGGTTTCAAGACGGGTGTCGTTAAATAATTAGGAAAACCAATCATACGTATGTACCTGTAAAAATGCAAGCTGGGCTCCAAGAAGCATTGTGTTTAGAGTAACAAGTGCCGCTCCTCCCCAAACGAGGATAAATAGCTCGGCAAAATGTGGGACGGCTTCGGATTTCGAGCTGCCTGCTGAAGTCTGCAACGGTAACTCGAGAACATCAATAGTTTATACAGAGTGACTTTTCTAGTGAGCTATTTTCACCAGATTTATTCATCTAGCGAAGATAGCTCACAAGAAATCCGAAAGCGTATCTAATGCAGGGCGTGCCTCGCTGAAAATTATAGACTAATGTCAACCATATCCTGAAAAGCGTCTTATAAAAGCAGTAAACAGATGCAGAAACCTTTTTCCTGAGAGTATAGTATTATAGGCACATCTACTCCTTGCTTATGTCTAAATGCTTGCGAGCAACAGCTACACACATACACATGCGATGCTTACCTGAAGGATTACGGCAAGGAAAACACAGATCATTAGGGGTCCCCAGAGGTCCCAGTCTTTAAGAAGTTTCTTCTGTTTTCCCGGTGTATAGACATGTACAAACTTATCGACGATGTTTCGTACATCGCGCATCACCTAAGCAGTTCAAACAGAAATCATCTAGTCAACGTAACGATTCAAAATTGACCCTAAAGTACATTTTGCACTGATCCAAAATACCTGTTTAGAAGGGCTAGTTGGCAATTTAATCGTGGTTAAAAAAGTAACTCACGGTAGTCATGATAGGTTCGTCAAGGGTATTGAGTGATTTTAAGTCTTGGTCTCCACTATCGGGCAGACCTTCCACAACTGTAGGTGGAGGCTCCATTGCAAGCTGGAGACTTTTTTCGTGCTTGAAGCAAGTCCTTCGAATTCCGTTATTTGTCGTTTACAAGCTGGCGATTATGCAATCTGGTAAGTTCTAACAATTAAACAAATACATCCCACAATTAACGATTACCAAGTAACTGTATGATTATATATAGACATTAATTGCTACATTAACTGGCTCGTTTATATTTGACGGTTTCTTCTATGAAAATATTTGCACTTCTATCGCACAGTTGCCGACTCGCACGATTATGTCAACAGGCCGTTCCTAGCTGAGTGAACAGATTTCGAATTTTATCGAACATTGGTTGCCTGGAACGCAAAGCAGAGCTATGAAACACGACGAGATATGGCTAAAACACCTGTATTGTACGGAATTAAAAGAACCGATCGAAAAATATGTTAATATCCCGAAAATTTCATCATGAGTACCTATGAAAACTCGAATGAGTATTACTGGTATAATAAGAAATTCAGATCGAATCTGTCGCACTACAATCCTTTCAGTAGCTCACATCAGATACCACTTCGGACTTTGTTACCGATTCCCGCAGTGGCAGCCCTGTTCGTTCTATAGTGCACGTCGTGTTGTAATTAAGTTAAGAATATAACTTATAAGTATTTTTGCTCCGAATGCGAAAGCCGATTTTTTTTGTTTTTATCACTAATGTCAAACCAGTTTCTGATCCTTCCCCAGAAGTTAACGTTTTTGGTATAGGTCCACGTCACACTTTTCGATTCAAAATGCTAATAAATACATTCGCGCATTATTGCTTGAATCACAATTACACGTTTTTAAACATATGACGCCGCAAAATCCCCTAGCGTACGACTCGATGCGCAGCAATACGACGAGCTGCGACAGGAGCTCCGAAAATATTAATAATGTGTGTAGGCATCTTTCAAGTTGAAGGGATTGTTTCCGCAAAATGACACCCGTGAGCGCCCCTTATATCTATCTCGTTGTCTATGTCTCGCTCTGTCGAGGTAACAACAATATGAATAAGTTTGCCTGATGGCTTGATTTGGCAGTTTCAGTCTTTGACTGCTACATAATTCACATCAAAGTATTGCGATGTTTTTTCACTACTACCAGTTGCTCTAGCTGCACGTGCTAAGACGGTCGATCTCAGTAGTTACCGCTCACGGGTGTCATTTGTCTGCGAATGTTTGACAGAATACAAGTGGCGTTCGCAGCTCTATTTACCTCTGTTTAGTTGGTTATTTTCACTCTAGCTTAACCTGCAATTGCTCTAAAGGCCAAACGATGCTAGAACCTCATCGATGTAGTATCGTTATACATTTGTTCCTTCAACTCGACTTATTTTTGTGTTGACAATTAGACTTCAATTTTTTCGTATTTATGATTAAGCAGCTAAACGAGTAAAAAAAAGAAAACATGAAAGCTATTTTTCATAAAACTATTTGTAGTTCGAATATTGTAAGAGTACTTTTGATGCAGGTTAACTATGTGAACTAAAAACTTAATCTGTGATGCTGGATATTGCATTCGTGTGATTGCATATTTCCATTGTATAAAGTTCGCTCGGATAATTATTGGATTATATCGACTTGACCGCAGAATGAGCTGAAGGTTATTCTAAAAAGCCTTAGCAGGTAAATGTCAAAAATGACGAGCCGTGTTTTTATAAAACATGTGGGACATTCATGTACCGGATGCGCTGTCCAGATTGAAACTTGTTCGTGTGGTTTGTTATAAGGCTTTACCAAAACAGATATCTCAACAAACTATTTTTCATGCGCTAGTAGTACTTATTCATTTCCATTGAGGTCAATTGCGGCTTCAGTTCAGGACCTTATAAGCTACCGATTTTAAAGTATCGTTCGTGTAACCTGCAATTAACCCTTTAATAATAATCGTGCTCCTAACGATATAAATGTAGATTCGCTAAACTGTCGCCTAGAGATACGTTACGCGAATAATCCAGTAAAATAAAACTTTGGAGAAAGCCAGAAGTCTCAAAAATGCAAGAATCTAAAATGGCAAAAAAGTGCAAGAACACGCAAAAAGTTTCACGAAGACTAACCGTTGAAGCTTATCTGGACAATCCCATTTCAGAGATACTTTTCTCTTTAAGGTTGCTGTTGATTTCTGTGTTAAACATTGTGGATTATTAGAAACAAATTTCGACGCTATTTGATTTTTCAAGCTCTTTAGATACAAACCCTATAGGGTACCCTTGATTTCACCTCATTGAGACCTTTAGATTTTTTAAAGCCGCGTGGGAATTAGCAGCTGATTTCAGGACAACAAGTGTGGTTTCTAGTTTTCGTATAAAGCGAATAAATAATACCTGATTTTTGTTAAAATCCTGACAATCCAGCACTGTTTTTTGACATAACAGCAAATCTGTTTACACTCTTTTCAGTAATTCGCTTTTATGCTATAGTAACGGTTTCGGATGAACGCATTCCTGGAACCGATTCAAAAAAGTCCCAGTTTAGACATCCTCGACAATCTTATTTTGCACCAAAATTCTACCACAGGACTATTGTGTCGATAAATTGTGATTTCAACGATTTGATCATGTATTTAGTTCTACCAAAGCGTACATGTGTGATTTGTGTAAGACAAAATAAATGCAATCTAATATGTCAAACTCACTTGCATCAATGACGAAATTTTAATCCATATATTTTAGAGCCTCAGACCATATTGATAATAGACGTAAGGTTTGAAAAGGCATAGTTATTTTTTCTTTTTTTTTTACGAGATAACACATAGAAAGTTACTTGAATTTGCAATTATTCACTGTAGTTAATTATGGTTGCGAAAAAATCAGAAAATAGATGAGATGATGGCTCCTTAGATGAGATGCTTTCGGAGATGATTTACTGGGCGTCTTCAAGCGAACCTGTAAGGCGTATGTAGATTTTGGTCATGAAATAGAACTTATCGATTTATAAGGTGGGGCTTAGGTTTCTCTCCTCGTTTCTCTCGTAGAGCTTAGTTGTGTCTTTTTCAACAAAACCTTACGATATTCGGGAGCAGGAAAAAGCGTCTAAAAAAATCCGCATTAAATTTTTATTGTTTTCTCTGGTCTCGTCATACATAACCTAGCGGAACAAATTAATTACATCTTATATCTTTCCAAATTAGTGTATCGTGGTTTTTTCAATTACGGATCTAATTATTTATTTGTCAGGTGGGAATTATTTAGAGGATGAATAATCCCAAACGCTGGAACGACAAATCGACGGCTAAGTACTACTAAGATAGCTAAAGTGATATAAGTTGCGTAAGCGTATCTTTATTCGCAAGCTTGGCAAAAAAATAAAAGCCCTACATCAACGGATAGCTCTTAGGCTCAAAAAAGGTGGTCAGTTAGTGGATGCTAAACCATCTGAACGAAAAACTACTTAAAAGACATTAACTTATGACGTTGTGCTGTGTTTACCGATGTTGGTCCCTCCTTCTGCCGGTACAAAAATTACCGATTCTTTTTTTAAGGTAGTGCCTTTGAGTAGTATTTGCAGTACTGTAAAGCAATTCACGTCATTATTGGAGTTGGCGGACTGTAGCAGTTTTCAATTAACATCTTTTTTCAGAGTGGAACGATGGGTTGCTTTGGTAAAAGTAAACAGGTCCTTACCCCGTTCGTCGTTAGAAATTGTCAAAACAAGTCAGTATACGGTTCAATCTTTTAACCTTTGAATACCTACTGTTTACAAGTAAGAATATATCAATATAAATAAGTTACGTAAACGTAGCCGAGTGATATGTATTTATTAGGCAAGTACAGTTTTTCACAAAATCATGTTTCCTTTTACTTTGTTAATCATCGATCATGATAATATAGCCTCAATATAATTATTTATTCAATTTCTTTTCAAAATGTCTACGACATTGATCGTCGTCGAACATCCGATTTGTTGCGAAACTGTTCTTAGAAAAGCCTATGTTCTACCCATGCAAGCCGATCCAGGCATGAAATATATTACAGTTGACATTTTTTTGTTTTTTTTTCTGAACTGTTTTTTTATCACACACGCAGACGGAACCTAATTAAATGCAGCTCGTTTGATCAACTAATATCTGAGTACCGACGCTTATATAAGGTAAGTATAGCCTGCGCCCTTTCTTTGCTTGGCTGCGTATAAAGAAATCGCATACTCGAGGGGTCATTAACGTCGGTCGCAATAGTTGTTTTCTACATACGCTGTAGCCCCTATAGGGTAAATGATATACTGTACCACATCACTCGTGCAAGAACTTGTATCAAAGCGAAACAATACATCTCTTGTATCTGGCTTCTCAGGTACCAAAAGACTGCGAAGTCGGCGTGTACGATGAGGACGCCACCCAGATTGACGACACCGAATGCCTTTTAGCGCTGCAACCCTACACAGTTCTGAGCGTGCTTTATAAAGGGGAAGAGGAAATTTGTGCGTATGCGAGTATTTTAACAATCTTAGAATTTGTTGGGGAGATATGAGGGCGTGGCGGGCAAGAAATTATTTCAAACACAAATAATTAATCAATGTAGCGAGAGAGTGCTAAAGTGTTTATTCGATTTTCTAAGCATTAAAGTTTTTACACTTTCTAATCTCATCCGCACCCGTCGTTTCGGATTTGAAAGCTCGCTCTAAGCAGATGTATGATAGTATACTTAACATAGGTGGCGACAACATAACTTGTTCGATTGAAAATTAAAAATACCTGATTCAATTTCAGGGTTTGCCACGTGGGGTTACAATAAAAACTGTGAGAATTAGAAATGGCACCTACGGAGCAAACAATCTCGAATAGCAATATACATTTAGTAAGTTAAAAGTTATAGGGTGCACAGTCGCACAGCAGAAGGTTACTATCTAAATGTTGCCTATTTTTTGTTCATTTAATTATCAAACAAATGTTGTATCGATATCTTGAGCAGTCATCTCTCCATCGTTATTACATGCCGTAACGAGGTTGAAAACCGATTTGAGCCACGAGTCACAGAAGCTGCTATCGTCAACGCGCGCATGGTTGGACTCGACGAGGGGTCAATGTTCGTTGCCTAAATTAGGTGCCGCTTTGTCCAATGTCAGCGATCCGCTTGAAGAAGGGACACATCAAAGGGCGCTTCTAGTAAGAAACATTTTAATTCTACTTTAAGGGATTAAATAATAAGTTTAAATTTATACTAACAGTGTTATCAACAACGATTGGAAACAGGACTCTAGCTCCGAAGATCCCCATTGGTTTGAAAAAGTTCGCGCTTTAAAAGCGACATCGAAGAAAGAGGTGCTTCGTAACAACGCAAAGAGACGTATCAAAGGATATTATTATAAGGTACCATAAAAAGCAACCATAGCCTTATTCCAAGCTTACTTGTTAATAGTAAAGGACAATTATGTACATTATACACATCTCGTTAACGGAGGCTATATATTTTGTTAAACTGGAGAGAGATTTATTAAAATTTAGCTTGATTTACTTTTATGAACCACAATGTGAAGCAATTTATGAAATTTCAGTAATATATTTTGCAGACGAAAGAAGACTTACTGAAAACGGTTGCCCAACCTCGAGTCGAATATCTGTTTAACGAGTTCATGAGCCGACTACAACAGGCAGATTTTAATGGGTCATATTTTCAACGAGAGCATACCGAGGTACCATGATTATACCTAAAGCCTGCATAGAGTCTGTATTCTCGATAGCTAACGAAACATTCGTTTCGTTAGCTATCGAGAATACAGACACGTAAGTCATTTCTATCGAAGCAAGGTTTCAGATGAAGTTATCTAATTTATGATAGCTTTTGTCTTCTGTTTACTCCAGTCAATAATTTTGCCTGTTTTTTTTCGAACAGACTACATATTTGCTATTCGCTCCTTTATCGCCAACTATCGACATACGTTGTGTTTAACAGACGCGCAGATAAACAAGCATAATTTTAGTTCATCTTGCTTCCACGCGTGAAAATCATTTTAAAGGCAAAAAAAATGTAAAGGTGAAATAAACTGATATGTATTCACAGGCGCTCTGCTGTTCGAAAGGCTGGTTTGGCTGCCAAGGAGCATTTGATAAGGAAAGTTGTTCATACAGCCATTGCATAAACCCTTATGCTAGACCTGAAGATTACCTTATGTTTAGCACATGGAACCTCGATCATCAGTGAGTCCACATACGACGAATTCAATACCTCATCCGGCATGGCACAAAACGACAGCAAAAAAGTGTTGTGTAGAACGATGATGTCTTTTTTTTTTTTTAGATATTACATTATAAACCCATAAGCCTCAGGGATATATGTTGGATAGAAGAAAATAGTTTGAATCAGTAACGGTCGACTCGAGAGCCACGCTGACCGACACCTAAACCTCCGCAGCGATAACACTCGTCTTATACAAACGGCAAATTACCTTAAGCCGACCGTGAACATCTAATTGGTTTTTTTTTTTTGTTTTAGGGTGGAGCGCTCTCGAAGCGTCGTACCATCATTGCGTAGTGCACTCCAAGAACGGCCACATGACATTAACATAACCTACTTCTACAACCTTCTATTTACACGAAGTAATCTTCGCCTGGTACACGTGATCTGCCATCTAAAAATTACCCACGTTGGGATGGAATGTGATCCTAACGCTGTGTTTGTTCAAAGTAAGAAAGCGTCTGCCAATAGGGACATAATCGGAAGGCTCAGACAGAAAAAAAGACCGCGCCTAATCAAAAAATCTAGCCAAATCGTATCACGGCAGGGAAGAGTAAAGGAGATTTGTGAATTGGGCGAGTGTCAAACAGGCCAAGGCGCTCCGAATTTCAAAGCGTCGACATAGGAATACAGGTCAATTTAAAGAAAAGTAAGCAATATGTAGCTGACAAAAGGCGCTTCTATACAAAGTCGTTAAGCTGGAGGCCGACACTGTGTGCTTAACTATGTGATTCATGTGTCAGGTATCATATATTGCGTTACTTATGTGTTTAACAGAATTTCTTTCTGTTGGAGCAAGGAAGTAAAAAAACATGCAACATTAAGTGGAATGTTGTTGCAAGATGTTGTGGTACCGTTTGACCACTTATACGCGAAGCGCCCAAGAAGATCTCCTTTTTTGAGATTTGGACGTCCAAGGATGAAGAGACCACTCTAAACTTTCGAGTTTTTACTTCATGTTTTGCCTTTAAGCATTGCCTCAGACGACTGAATCCTTCCAATATGAAAAGTACGCCCGCATCCGGATCCAAACTAATGTTTTGTGTTTTACGCCCGACACAGCCACTAAGCGGGCTAGTTTCCACGAAATGAAGTATGTCTGTACCCGGTTTTAAAACTAGAACATATCTAAGCAAAAACCACGTCCAATTTCTCTAATCCGTGCTAAAGTTTACAATCTTCTTTCTGGATAGAAACTATCTCTTATCTGAGTGCACAGCCAAGACTGGTTTTGCAGGCCTTTGGAACATCATTCGTGAAGACAACAAATGATGTGTAGTCGTTATTTGTCGTTACTTGTCGAGTTATACACGAATTCTCAGCTGTCTTTGACATATTTCACTCTGTACAGCCAGGTTCCGATTAATGAAGACAGGCCGCGAAAAAACTAAACGTTGAACGCATTGGGTCTAGTCGGAAACTTGTTGGGCACAAATTGTAGTACAATCCCTACGCAAGAAGAAGCTAAGCATTGCCAGCTGCGTCCGTGCATATAGTGTTCACCGTAAGCCAATTGGGTGCAGCGTTGCTCGCTATGAGTACCATTCATCCTCGTTCTGTATATATTTGCATATTCTGCTTTTCATGGGAATGGTTAGTGAAGGTCGATTATTTAACTCTGGCTCTTGAATGTTCGATTAGATACTTTTTTATAAACATTGAAGGAATCAGTGCAGATGTATAGAATGGCAAGTACCCTTGGTATGCCACGTCACAGCGATCAGCTGTGGGTAGTTTAAGAACATGACTCCTGCATGGAAAACATGTGAGCAAACATATGTAAGAGACGATAAAGTTTGCCTTCATGTCGGATCGGCTTTATGGGAACAGAATACTATGTTAGGCAAAGTCTAGAAAAACCAACACGTTTTCTTTGAAATAAATCGCTGTTAAGCGACATAAGGAATGATTATCATAGAAGAAATAAAACGTATAGAAAACAACCATTCAGAATAATCATTTCGACGGAAGAAAACAATTATTTGAACGTTTTCGCCCAAGATGCCCAAGAAGTTTGTTAATCGAAAAAATATTTAACAAAGTCTACAAACACTCTGGTCTGTTTTTTTTTTTAACAAAGGGACATTTATATTTCTACGATTCGTATATTGTGCATTTAAAACATTTACAAAAGTTAAAATACTTAGTACCCGTTACATTCCTTAATATAACGGACCACTGAAAAATCTGCAGTGGTTCTGAGTAGAAGATATTTGACTGCGTCTCTTAAACGATTTCTTAGACTTTATGCATATAATGTGAGAATATTACAAAGCACTGGGCCTGCTTGACGCAACACTAGAAATGCTTGTGTCCAATCTAGAATATGGTCCCAAAAAATTAATATGCTGAATATTCCAGGCGTAGGTTAGACACTCAACAATTTCTTAAGGTGATCATGATTTAGCTTAAATCACGACCAATAAGGTTATTACCACTGTATGAGCTGCCATTTAGACTTCACGAACGAAGTTAATTTAACCCTGGCGCGATGCTCGGGGCGCGTGTAAATCGAACATAATGCTACCCATCTCACAAAAGATTCTCACAATAATAGGTATATACCAGTGAATATGAGTACGGTATGGAGCATAACGCAACCCAAAATTTGAACTCTTATTTGATACGCAGCCGTAAAAGAAACTTTTTTTTTAAGAAGGATATACTTTTTCTAGTATTTGTAGTGAGATGGAGAACAATGTACCACGACCTGTCACCTTTAATTGGGTCACTTCAATTGATCTTAACATCGGTGAGTTGTACAAGATTACTATATAAACGTAATAATATGTCTACAAGGTCTTTCTGTATATTTAAAATATCGGTATAGAATATAGTACAGCCAGGACAACAGTTGAGCAACAATGTAGAGTTTCTTAAATTGATTCTATCTCAGGTAAATAAGAAATTAATGATTGAGACCACATGAGGTTCGCTTACATGTCTATATATATATACGTATGTACGCTTATATTATGTCATGTCTCAATAGACGTAGCTGAGTCTTTTTGGAAAACGTGTGTCTACCGTATAAAAATAAAGTCGGCAAAGTAAACATTAAAACTATTTAGAACAGCTTAACACTAGTGTACATTATGCTCTGCCACCGTTGTTGGGGCAAGTAGTTCTACGATGTCCGGACCTTCCACAGGCTCCACAATTTCGAGGTGCGCCCCTTCTCCCGGTTCCACGAGCCCTACCAGAACTTCCGGCTACACGGTTACCCCTAGAGCAGGTTAACATAAAAGGAAACTTTATTAGTCGTTTCATTACTAATGGATAATAAAAGTTATTTCCTAGTAGTCGGCTACAGTAGAGCCGATTTTTTGTTCAGACCACTGGTCCACCGCCATATTACTGAAGAGAGAGAAATTGATATTTAGTGTCCAAAAAATATGCCGCAATTGACAACGATATACAAACACGATTAACAACAAGAGTTTTCGCAGCGGTACCCCATTTGCGTGAAAACCTCAATTCGCGTTAGCTGTACAAGAACGTGGACATTTTTCGGATTTGATATACCATAAGCGATCTTTACGTAAACAAGGCATTTATTTCAAAGTAAATATCAGGACCAAGTAGCTGTTACTATCTGTGTAGTAAGAAGCAGCATCACGCGTACACAATATCCGCCTCTTTTTACCCTTAAATACCTATTAAACCTAAGGGCACATAGTGGTCTAGATTAGAATTTGGGCGTATACACGCTTCGTTTCGTGATAGAAGACAGCTGTCTGAAGCAATGCTTGTAGCTTAGGTACTGTAGGTAAAACTTGAAACATTTGTTTACCCATAAATGTCGAAGAACATCTTTCTTCAAACCAGCCTACAGCAACGACGGACCTTCTCATGTCAGGTGTTGGTGCACATATACTAAAGCATATGGCATAGGGTTTAAAAAAACTGCATATGGGAGCAGAAATCGTTTGCGCTGGCTACGCTAATAATATCCAAAACGTATTTAGGTTCATGTACCTACAAAGTTTCTGCCAGATTATTTCGTGTGCAGTTTAATTATACTGCGCGCAAACATTTTGTCGATCTCAAGTGAGAGAAGAGCTGTAGTATCACTTGAACGGGTTTCCGGGTGCTGATGGAATCCAGTGCCCTTCTGTTTTTCAAAATATTAAACTTCTAACAATTTCCTTTGTTTGCTTTTTTTGAAAAAGCTTCTCGCAGACCTAAGCAACATAGTTCCTCTATTATACGTTACAGAACTACTTGCGCTGGATACCCATACCATTGGTTGCAATAGCCATAGGTCGCGTCTTTAACATTGTCTGGCAGGTAAACCAAAAATAACATTTACTTGGTGATGTTTAACATGTACTATTCTATGAAAGCGCAAGTATGGCACTGAGTTAAAACGCAGACAAAGAGTTCCCGAATAAACAAGTACCTGTTATGGCTGGCAGCGCCATTTTGACGGCCGTTGTTGCTATGTGTGCCAGGAGAAGTTCCCTGAACAAAACGGAGATTGAAAAGGTTCCGAGGGTCTGGATCACAGACGACGCAGGCGACGTACATTCGAGGTAGTTGCGTGAATTTACTGAAGTCGAAACCATCAACAACTTAGATATATCAATTTCTTTGTAGATATCCTGTTTGGTTGAAATTGTGATGATTAATATCGCTCTTACCAATGGTAGCCACTTCGATCCACAGCCGACTCAGTATATATAACATAGCATTCGGCTCTGTTATAATATTTCAGAGTCTACAAACCCAAAACATTTAAATAGAGCCGCGAAGTCAATAGAATTTTCCTAAAGCATTTCAATTCACACCCGAAATAAACAAATTAAAATATTTTGACCGACTCAAGTCAGCAGCCAGTGGATCGAAAAGCGCTTTGAGCTGCTGTACCAGGTACAGGTACCATTTCATAACGCTCACACAGGAAGAACTGTGGTAGCAAAAAATATTTAACTAACCCCGGCTGTAGTTTAAAGCATATTTTGTGCGTGGTATTATTACAGCTCAAGTCACACAATTCTTCAGACACCTCACATCCAAGAAGGCTTTCGCTGGGCATCCACATCATTGTCTGAAATAATCATAGTTGAACGCTTATTCGATATTAATAAATGTCCTAAAAACCAAAATCAGTCACGAATTAGATTCCTAGTATCACTTACTAAATAAAATGTACATAGAATAACATAGAAGCTTGCCAGGTCTCACTACTCGTTATTCTAATCTGTGGCTAAGTACGGAGAGAAACATTGTTGGCTAGATTTAAATGGCAATAGTTACCATCGAAATAGCACAAGGTATTTTATTGTGACAAACCTGACAGCAGGCTGCAAATAGGAACCATTTATCGCGAGCTCGATTTCTCCTCAGAACCATTCGCCCGTTGACGCAGAGCTGGGGACAGGGTATTGCGTCCTGAATGGTAGGCACGTCGTGATGAACCCCTTCCAAAGGATTCTCCTAACAAGACGTCACCCAATACGACAAAATTCGTAACAAATGAAAATGCCGTTAGCTTACATAATGGTGGGTAGCACAGTTCTCTACGCACTTGTAAAAACCAGCAAATATATTGAGCTCTTTTTGAATCAATTTGCATGCTGAAAGCTTCCTCGGTTAATGTGCGCAATACCATATCCCTCATTTCACTGACGGTACGTATCGGGTAACTTTTTGAATGAAGCTAAGCTAAATTTTCAGTAGCAGCTTGAAACATAAAAGAATCGATTGGCTTGATTGTTGTTTAAGTCTGGACAATAGCATCTCTATTCCAAAGCGAGCTGCCAGCGAAGCGATTGCGGGAAAGGGAGGTCTCTCCGAAAACTATGTAGGATCTGACTTTGTTCTGGTGAAGCCAAACAGTCAAGTATGACCCCATCACCTCATTTGGACCACAAACCGCACATATTATGATAATGAGGGGCAGCCACGAGAGCCAGACTGTGTTCCAATTACTGCTGAAAAAAAAAGAAGCCCAATGATGCTACTTCCAGAGAATAGAGCACGTCCTCTGGACAGAACAAGCTCTCCATTTTTCTCCTTCGCCCCTTTAAGCCCAAGCAACATTCAGAAGTTTTTGGATGCATCGAACCAGTTTCCTAAAATCCTTTCATAAGTTATTCTAAATTGTTTATTAAGGTTAGTAGTCGACCCACCGAAACTTTAGTTTCGGTAATGTCTGGACATGTCAGTGGTTGTTATTGTAAAACGTTTCTGTGAATGTGATTCGCTCCAAGGTAAAAAAAGGAAGGTCTTTGCATGCTCGGCTGCCATGAGCCTTTCAATTTACGAGGCATGGGTGAAAAAGTAAATATTTATTTCTTTAAAAAGATAAATAATTATTACTATTATGATAGTTAGAGTATTTTAATTTAACATTTTTTTTATCATTTAACACTTGATCTATGATTTTCTGACTTATGATGATATTTTACTTGTTTGCTCGAAGAAACGTAATAACAAAATATAAAAACTGAGGTGGGACCATCCGAGAGTGTCTAAGACCAACAAACGTAATCGTCATATTAAACTTACCCCTAAAAATTTTGCGAATGCTTCGCTGAGTTTGTTAAGCTGCTGAACGGCATTAACAAACACTCGACGATAAGCTTCAATTTGCCCGCGGAGAACAACCTGATGATCTATTGTCCCATCGCAAATTCTCTGAAGGTCTCGCTCGAGCGCTGCCCGTAGTTTCGGTTTACTCATCTCGAAACCCATATTGTCATAGCCTTCGACCAAACCCATTCCAATTAAGCCAGGTACAAGATGCGACTGCATACATAGCATATCAACGCCCCGTTTATTACTCATAAAATAGCGAGCATCGACTTTATGTTAACACATCTTAATCTTATGAAATGCTTATTACTGTATTTAGCAAATAAAATACGTTTTAGGGCAGGCGGCTGATTTTTTAATATTGCTGTTAGATTCATATTATATTAGACGAAAATGAATTTATATTCCTGGTAATACAGTCATAAATGCTCATGTCGTGTATATGATGCGCGTCTTTGCCTACCTCGTCGCAGAGTCCAATATATTCTCTATCTTTGACCTTCTCGATATGTTCAGCATGCGTTGCATCTGTCCCGATGCCATGTTTTTCCATTAGCGCAATGAGATCGGCTTCAGTTAAAAGATTCGGGGCGCTTGTCTGGCCCTCACGTATCTAAAGACGGAAAACTATATTACCAAATACAACGACTATTACAGACCAGCAATTAAATCAACAAGCCACGAAAGTTTACTGATGAGCCCGCCTTCTGTGTATATGCAAATCTACCATATGTAGGCTGAATTGTGCAACTTAGCGACTATTTACTTCACGCTCGTTACAAAATCAATAGGAAATTATTATAGGCAGTTAAAACACAGCATCTTTACAACATTTCTCTCCAAATCAAGTATCCAGAAGTAGCCAATCTTAACACTGCTGACAATTTGCTTTCTTGACCAGTAGCAGGAGCAGTTCATTCTATGTAATTATGCTGTACTTTGTATGAATAAAAAAATTTACTCTAAAAGCTACTAGGTTACTACTTCCATAGCCTTCCATAACTGTATCATTGATACTCGCTGTTGTGTGTGTTACTAGAAAAATTATTATTTTCCATACTTACGAATAGACCAGAAGGTAGAAATCTCTCTTGTTCATTGTACACTGGTATTTCCTTGGATGACCATTTTTCGTAAGGGTACACTTCTAAGTAATTTCGTTGAAGAACCTGTAATCCGTTGAGTGAAAAATGCTCCTCGTCGACGGTAACTTCTACCTGAGTTTCCTGACCTCGTGCATCTTCCGATACACAAGCCAAAAAGTGACGAACTACCAGTTCATATACCTTGCCTTTATTATCCTGCCGAGAATATAGACCAGTATTCACAAAGTAATACACAATAGATTTCGATACAAATGTGCTATGATTTTTGATTAAAGGAGCAACTTAACAGTTGTAGATAACGAAAAAATATGCTATGCAAACAGTTAGTAAATTTATTAGAACTTTTCTTTCGAACTAAGATGACGAGGTTATGAGAACACGCTATGTGCCTATTGGATGAACATTTAAAGTCATTTTACCGATGAATTTCCTAATAAATTTAATCTTGTGCATCTGGTGAGTTGATGTACCTGAAGGTTGATGTTGGCATATTTAGTTGGATGGATAGGAGGATGAGCCTGGTCGAATTTGTTGCCGTTGCGGGGGTGTGGTCCACCCCACTCTTTGAACAATAAATAATTTGAACACAATTAAAAAAAAGATATATATAATCCGAATATTAGTTTTCATAATCACTTTGAAGTTGCTAGACACAGTCGTAACTAGAGGTGCAAGAAGCTCAACAACGTTGATACAGTTTTTTTTTTTATATCAATATAGAGAGATTGAAGCAGCTGGATCACTTGTTATCATAAGCCTGAATATCAACAAAATCGTTTACCATTGCAGAACAAGAACGTGACTAAGTGAAAACTCTAGCAAAACGAATGTGGCACAGGTTTAACTCGCACTCAGGATGTAAATACTTTGGCTTCAACGATTAACTGTTCTATATAACCAAAGACTTAGCTGATACCATCATCAATTTCAAACAGTGACGCATTTCCGTCGATTACAACGCTTCACTGATTCCTGCCTGGAATCAGATTAATAATACTTGAAGGCAATGGCGAAATACTAGCAAGCATCGGTTATTGGGAAATATATTCTGTTTAAGAGATTTATTCGTAAAGTAAGAACGAAAGGAAATAGTATATCTAGCAATACCGTTCATAATTTTTTGGGCGAAATCGCCCCACTGAGGACTTGCGGTTTGGGCTTCTACAAGAGATGCAAGCTGAAACTCAGGCGGAAATTTATTAGTATCCGTACGAGGATAACTGATGAGACCTAGAAGCAACAGATTTGTGAACGGCAATTAGTATAAGGCAATATAATTTAGCTAGCATGTGAACTCACATGATTTTCAACGTATGGGGTGCTGAAAAAAAGCAGTCTCGGAAAAAAAATATGTATTTCTTAGATTTTAGCTGCATCTTCTAAGATAGAGCAAAAGATCTGAAAAAGTTATGTATACGTAAACTCTTAAAGATCAATGGAAAACCCTATCTGTACGGGCACCTGTCAGTGCGCACATCTACGTACCAGCAGTGTAAAGAGCTTCGGCGTGTTTGAGGGCTTCTTTTGCCGTTATCCGAAGTTTGCGAGAGGCAAGTTTTTCTAAGGTGATGGTATCCATTGGCTGAGGCCGACATTTAGATTTAGGCTTTGATGTAATCCTCTGAACTCGAGCCTCCGGTCGCTAGAAAATAAATTACCAATTCGAAGTCTAAAACTTGTTAAAGAAGACGAAGATAAATAAATCGAAGATTGAAATGAATTCACCATAAAATTACTGCTATACGTGTACATTAGAATTTGAATGACTGTTACAATATTTTTGGTCATTTTCAAAGAAAAACAATTAAAAAATAAAATTTCTTTGCATAGAGTTGATTAACAATGGTGGAGACCGATCGAACTGATCAATATGTTTTGCACTACAGGTAAAATCATTGTGAATGCAATGACCTATTACCAGAGATTGCTCATTAGTTCACCATGACCATGCTGCTCAATGTTTACCGCAAACAACCTTACCTCTTGCATTTTTTCGTATAACACAAAACAAACGGCGTGATTAAATATTCGTCCCCTTCGCCAATTGAACTCAGCGTGAATGTTATCTTTTTCGTGAGTCATCTCGATCTTATAAAATGTTTCAGCTTCGAAACGATCGATTTCCTTATACCTGTGCAGCAGAGATAACCGACGAAAATTTAAGAATAAATACAACAATAACTGTAATAACTTCCTAATATTTTCCAACTTCAATAAGTCTTAAACGATCATCAAAGAGTGCCAAACACAAAAATTAGATTAGTATTAATATCACTACAAATTGTAGATAGATGTTTTCATAAGGAAACAGTCATCAATTAATTAGAACGATTTTGACTATAAAGAAGTTTAAGTAGAAAAAAAGTACTTTATTTCATTTACCTTTCAACGACGAACCCAAGAGTTGGAAATTGACAACTTCCGTAGCTTAAGACTTTGCCATTTGTCGATACATACTGACGGCCTACACGAAGGGTCTGTAAACGGGTAAAAGCCGCTCCTGAGAGAAAATAGGCTTTTAGAAAGTAAATCCACGTTTAACTATACTAAAGCTAAATCAATTTTCTATATTTTACACAGGTTATGTAGACATTTATTTCATTTCATCAAATACTCATGCAAAATAGATAATTGTCGCCACAGTCAGAGCATGCCAAGCTGCAAAGATGTTGGGATACCAGGTAATGCCATTAGGTCCATCGGTACGCGATAGTTGGTGATTGTTTGGTGGTGTAGTACAATTATTCATAAAACCTTGTTTTGCAGTCGTTTGAAATGTCTATTTAATACTTCATGCCCAGGCTAATAAAAAACTAAAATGTCGGGCTCTTTACAATCAACAGCTGTTAATGTTCTCCGCCTTGGAACCACTTCACGCATCCATATCAAAAATAAGAGCGGTTGAGGAGGGTAACCTTCGGTTCTAGAATCATTAGACTCTTCACGTAGACAATCTGTTGCATCCGTTAGAGGAGCTACAGTTAGAAGTTCCGGAGTATCTGATATTCCATATGCTAGTAGGAACATGTTGACGGGCATCATATTTTGTAATCTGTTTTTCGCCGTTGAAATAACATAATCTAATTAGAAAGTGCTATGAGTGACATAGAATTAAACATCAGATTTAATTGAAGTACCATCCGAAGCAAGGTTGCCGTCTCAGTGACAGCACATCAAAATAATTCCATTCAAAGGGCGACCGTAACCTTGATGCAAGGTAGTGGGTTTTCGGCCTTGTATGTAATGATATGAGCATTGTGAAGTGCCCTAACTAATGTGCTATAAAGTATCGAGTGCCGTGGAAATGATCCGCAATCAACCAAACACAAGCGTCTCTCTTTACCAGGCCCAGGCGAATATATATGATAGAAAAAGAAGTAGGTCTCTCTTGATTGAGTGCCCATTGCTGCTGCCGATTTTGAAACATTTAGCAAAGCTAGCCACCAAGTAATACGTAAAGTAACATCTGTTTAATTCTACTGATAGGGATGATATGTTGAGCAAAGATTAAGCTATTTCGTTAACAACTTCGGTAGTACTGAAGTGTAGTCGAATTTAGAGATTAGTCGTGTCCGTGACAAGTGTGTCACCTATAAAGCCAATTATTGACAAACAGCATCACTGAGGTCATGTTGAAGTATCTATCGATTAATGCCCGGATGGCATCATCACGCAAAGATGTTCTGGTGGAGATCAGGGAACGGTCATCCACGCCCAGGTAGGTTACTCAAGTACCTCCTAAGCCTCCCGAAGTTGGGTCAGATCATCAAATCAGCTGGGAAAGTAGTTATACTTGGCCACATTGAGATTAATCTTTCTCTTCGTGTGTCCGAACAAACTGCGTTTAGATCTCACTGAGTGTATTATTATGCAAATACCAGAAATTAAGGGGTGACGCAAGAAAGTTTCTCGTTCTATAACTGGTCGCACAAAACAGTGCTGACCTTGATAGACCATTGTGTTGAATTTCAATAGGAAAACAGATATTTTATCTATCTAACCTAATCAGAAGAATTTGTTCACGTTAAGAGTGCCGACAGGCAATGCTCCCTTTTTATAGATACAACATGGATTGAAGAGGTCATAAACACAGTAAATTTGAAAAAGTATCCTTAATTCTTTACATATCATAATTACGTAGTGCCCAACTAGAGAACGTAAGACTTATGCCCATTATTACGGGCACTGAATTGTAAGGTTGAGTTTCATGAGCTAAATTTCAGGGTTATGAGTCAGACTATACGAAGCAAAACCTTTTGGCATTTCATGCTAAGACGCGTTTCTATACAACAGAATATCGGTACGAAATTAATTAAAAAAGAAGCTAGGTTATTTCATTAGCCTTATACTAACCAATACGAAGGTCGAGTTCTGCGCGGACGAGGACAGCGTTGTTAAGGTTGGCGTCGGGTTGACCCAAGGTGGCCATTGCGCGTTGTATTGAAGGCCGTGTGATTTCAGAGAATTTAGCACGCCAGACTAGTACAATAAGCGCAAACCCAAAAGACCATACTTTCATTAAGCTATTGAATATTTTATAAATTTTATTCACACTTATCTGTTTTTGTTAATATCAGGCTTACGAGCTTAAAAATTGGCGTCTGTTTATGGACACATACGATCCAGTTGGTATTACGCAAAGTACGCCCAAAACCGGTAAACTACGGTTCGCTAGGTATAGAAGACGACGTTCCGCACCTAACATTATTAGAAGCGGTCATTATGGGAGAGGTCATAGTGATACGCTAATGTGAGATGCGTAGATTTATGGACCGAAGTTTTATTTTTGTCCAGTGTTAGGCGGTATTGGCAATTACATACTGTGGCCTAAGATGGCTAGGAATAAAACCTACGATGCGCTTATGCAGCGTGCAGAAAAATATGATTTTTTTTTTTAAAAAAAAACCTATTCAATATAACTACATGTTTTTTTTTTTTTTTTTTTTTTATCCTAGGTTCGAATCGGCCGGATTGAGGCTAAAGCTGATGGCTTTCCTCCCGAGACACTGCGGCATACGTTGGTAGCCAGGCGACATCTAAAAGATGAACGTAAGTCAAATCGTTTTTGGGGCGATATCTAATAGAACTACACGGACGAAAAACGGACCGCATTGCCCAGCAAGCATCAGGAGCGGCAATAAATATGGTAAATAATAAAACCAAAATGGTTTGTCTGTTTTCTGGTGTCTAAGTGTTACATTATCTGGCTACATTTATGAGAAACCGCATCGTCTCACGCTACCTAAAACACCTCCTTTTAACGCATTCACACTTGATTAAGTAAATGGAAGCCCGATTAACACAGTGCCACCCTTCCAAGGAATGTAAGTTACCTTTAATTTGTAGTTTAATAGCACGACAGATGTCGATAATTTCGAATCCAATCGCCTCTCCTTCGCGATCACAGTCGGTCCACAGTACGAGATGGTCACACCCACTAACTTCCCTTTCAAGAGTCCGCTTAATTTGTTCTGCGGTTTCCGTTTCACAGCGCTGCACAACCGGAGCATCGAACAGCGCCACTGGGTCAACACTTTCCCTGCAAAAATAAGCATGGATATATAACACAAACGGACTTATTTCTAAAATTTGTGCTTCAACAAAGACTAATTTATTCCACGGTATAATTTGGCATATGTCTAAATATAATTGAAAATATATTTTGGTGGTCCAGAAGAATTCGAGAGAAATCTTTAAAGATGGAACGACACACATTCCTTCATATGAATATCACCTATTGATTTTAACTTTTATTTAATTTACCAGTGCTTGTAGCTTTCCGGAAAGGCAAAATTGACAATGTGACCAGACGCAGACGTCATTCGCATATCAGCATTGTGCACATCACGAAAGCGTCCCGTAAACTCGTAGATCTTGTTGTACACGGATAATCCTGATGATTAGCAAAGCATCATTATTGCAGTATATATTTTGATAATGTGTTAAAATCTTGTTTCTAATAAATTCTACTCCATAATGCGATGTCGGGAGGCTAAATGGAAAGCTTTCATCCAGCACAATAACAATAGCTACTATGTACCGACTAGTAGGCTTTCCGGAGGGAGAATTGTTACCATGTTTGAACTTAGATAACCTCAAGTGTTAGAGTATTTTCCAGTTGAAGAACACATTTGTACTTAAGAATACATCCCATGAAAGCCTTTATATTTTATTTAATTCAAACGTACCTTCACGTACGCGATGGGTTCCATTAGAGAGTATTGCAGCGATATTTTTTGCCGCATCATTCTTCTCAGCAACATGCAGCACCCGCATGATTGATCTTCGTTACGTAAATTATACTTTTCAGTAGATCTTGAATTATTAATGGGACAGCAATGGCAGTAAACTAGACGCTTAAAACAAAACGGCAAATGGAATATGTTTTTAATGTCCAATCCAGCTAACAAATTTCAATGACGCCCGTTTCGTGACAATCAGGTACTTGAATACCTCAACGTGGTATTCTTTTGGATACTAAATATAATTTTTTTCAGTACGAGTGCTACCAATAAGTGCTTCTAACGAGCCAAACTGCTGCCCTAATTAGTACTCATAAATTGTATATAGATTAAAGATATTGATTAACTAAACATAAAGCTTATTTTTTTTCCATTTTCTAATATATTATTTGTGAGACGTACAGAGGGTATTCAAAAGTGCTTTGCTTGGAATGATCATGCACGGAGAATTTGGGAATATCATTTCTAGGGCACGAAAAACGTGCCAGCGCAGGGTACACTCCCAAGACGAGAAGTGCTATTATGGTCAAAAAGTTATGTATATACAAGCTTTTCAACGCTGTCCTTTGGTATCATATGGTGATTGAATTTACTGAACCAGAATATTTGATATTAAAAGTATTTTTCACCAGACTATGTATAGAATTCCATGTAAGACTTAAAAACTAGCATACTGCATATAGGTACTTCATATTTAATATCCTTTAATTGACAATGCGTTTTCTCTTTTTCAAACTTTTGTATTTTAATTATATTGAAATAATAATGTATATTTAATAATAAGTGAAAAATATTGTCTCCACCGAACTAAATCACAGTGAGGGTCTCTAAACAGATATTTACATATATGTTGTATGCATGTATAGAGATATACGCATGTGCGTGAACAATTCAACGACAACACGATCATTTAGAGGGTTGCGTTTTTTGGCAGGCACCAGCTACCGCACGAATTCTTGCATCGGCACTGGTTAGCTGTAGGTATTTCCGTAATCCCGTATTTGCTTGCTACATTTATGAACACGTAGTGGTATAGGTTCGAATCCGGGCGTACACACACACTCTTTCGTGATGATCGAAGCAAGTAATGCCTAATGTCTTAAATGGCGGATGTAAAACTGAAAAGCTTTTAATTAACGAGCTACACGAACAAAAGAAATACACATTCTAACTCAGCGTCAATTTCGAGCACACAGGCGAACCTCAACCCTAGAAAGCACCAAAAATTAGGCGGTCAATCGATTCAATGGTGGATAGAGCCTCCTCAATGTTTCCATGGATAAAATTATGCATGGCATTGTTTACCTTCCTTGTAGCCAACCTCATAGGAACATGTTCGGGTTTAGCTTCTTTTTCCAATTCGTTCAAACTGGCGGAAATTTGTATATCACATGCTTGATTTGGTATCCAGGTGGTATCACATAGAAAACACGCTTTCGTCTGTATTTGTTTATAAACATAGTGAATGGTTTCCGAATCTTTAGATTGAGAACACGTTAAACAATACGTCAGGAAGGGTTGAACCATTAAGTATGTGTTCAAAAAAAAGAAAATAGTTCATTAAAAAACACAAAAAACAATTTTTGCTGATTACCATATGCCTATACAAGTACATTATGGCCACCGATAGTCGCACTAAGGCTGAAACGTGAAGTCGGACTGAAATAAAAGGCTGATGATTACAATATGTAATTGATAATGACGACTTTGTTGACAAGCATATGTGCTATCTTTTAGAACTTCACTCGCAATTCCTGTTCTCTTAGCTTCGGCAAGGCTCTTTTGGCAGTGTAATAGAGCACTATTGGATCAAGGTGATAAATTAATTGCTCCGATTTTGAATATAATGTATGCGCTGATTCTGTGTAAAATTTTATTTTGTTAAAAAAACCTTATAAAAATCTTATATAAACTTGTTCGTTAATGATTGTTTTATCCATGACCAATAGATTTGAGGTATATGAGGCTGTTATATCTACGTACATTTGAACGTGAACTAAACACGCTTAATGAAAACGCTGCTATTGAAAATCACGTGTTTGTTGTAAAGCAGGTTGCTTTGCAACTTTGCCTTATTGACATGCTTATTCTGCATACATGAATGTTGATAGGTGCGAATTAACAAGACCGTTGTTTAGGGATAGACGAGGTGATTTTCTAGAGTCAAAAGCTCGACTGTGTTTCAAGGATGTTGACCGAACAATCTAACAATACCTGCTTGAGTGCATAGAACTATTTTTAAGACTTTAGCCCGGTTTTAAGCAGCCGATTAAATGCGTTCGCTCGCGTCGGGATAGCTCATACGTTATCCGCAGCTTTTACAACTACTTTTCAACAAGACATAATCCGGAAATCAAATCACTTCCGATGACCACATAATTTTGTTTCACTCACAGATTTAATAATGGTGATGATTACGTTTAATAATTCTAAACATTCGTGGACTGCCCTAGAGTCCCCTTGCTTTCCTATAGATCTAGTGACCAATAATTGTTAGCATGATATATAGGCTGTAATTTAGCAGAAAAGATAATCTAACGCCTTTGCCGACCTTCATAAACCTTGGATTAATTCTGCGCTACTCCGGTCAGCCAGGTGGAATCTTTTCTATGTCGGCCGTTCACTGCAGCAGGAATCATATTGGTCATGTATTCACCTTGGTAGTTTTTTTTATTTGTGATAAACACTGTAAAGCAAACATCACTTTAGTTCATTCGAGCGTTAACTTCGGAACTTTACTCAAAGCGGATCGTGTCTACGGTAACATATCCCGTATAAAACTGTAAATTATATAGAAATTATAAGATATAAAAGAACTCTCTGGGAAAATAAAATCGTACAGTATGAGTCTTTTAAATAAATTTAACCGTGTGTAGAAAAGGATTTAAGTAAAGCATAAACATGTTGTTCCAAAAGGCTAAATGATACTTTGCAAGCAGGTTATAAAAGAAAGGCAAATGTCTTGCTTGCACATTTATCCGCCATATAGATGGTAGAATCTACATCAGGCAATCATCAACGTTGCCGAGGTACTGTAATAAAGGCTAAGTACGTGCTACTCGAAGATATTTTTAAACACTGGTAAAAAAACGCCAGCAAAATTCCCTACACTTTTGGAAGAGCTACCGGTCAACTCTCCAGCTGTTATTATTGTTATTGGGTCCAAGCTACTGAAGATTACTGCAAAGTAAGGTGCCACCAGGTGCCTTCGCAGGAAAGTGAAATTCGTGGAAGTAGAAAAACTCACTTGAAAAAAAACACCTGTCCATTTTGTTTAACTTAATAAATATCAATTTTATTATATTTGAGTTTATTTTACTATCTATATAGTCATTTGCATAGGTTAAATTTAGCATCTTGTTCACATTCATCATTTACCTTTTGAGGCGAAAATGAAAGCATATAAAAAACGACTTAACCGGTCGGTGTACTGAAAGAACCGTCATCTAAATATTTTAATTAATTTCGGCTGAAATGACCCAGTATGATTTTCAGGGAATTGCGATAAACAGGCTCATTAAGTTTAGAATTGGTCATTAAAAACGCTAGCCATGTGATATTTCCTCAGCAAAAGAGTTTTCAGCATCTTAGTAGGGTACATAATGTTGCAGGACGCTATGGTCGTGCCGGTTTGCTCATGATCTCATCCTTGAATTGATAGCTGTATGTACTATATAGCTATCAATTCTGAGTTACTTGCATTCGCAATCAGAGTAGAAAATTGCATTCAGCTTTAGAATTTCGTTGGGGCAGTATCTCTTAACAAGATTCCATTGGCATACGCTGAAGTTCAACCTGCTTAACAAGTTGGTCGTTTGACTTTCATCAAGACGATGTTTCTTACTGCCAAAAGACAAAAACACGTTTTGGTAAACGAACTCTTGCTTTGCTATTATATAAGCATACACTGTGGCACAATGGAACTCATAGAAAACTTTCGACTATTTCTCTATGCTTTGCATAAATTATCAAACGATCTTCACTTTCATACTGCTTATATCACCGCAGTTATAAACCTTACGTTTGTGAAGGTTTCTAGTAAGATAGGTTTTTAAATATATTCTATGGGAAAGGCGACGCACATTGATTGCATACGGTTGGTTTCAATTATGAATCAAATTAAACTCACATATTTCATATATCTTCAATACCGTATCAACAAGACGCATTAATATGTAGGGATGAGGTTGGCGTTGTACGGTTTTAATGTGTTACGAATGTTTTTTTCTTTTCTTCGAAAAAGAATGCCTTCGGCCTTGATGAACGTTTTGCCCTGTACAGAGGTCACTCTGGATATCACCACGTTGAAGACTACTTGAGTTTGCAGCTTTTAGATGACGGTTCACAATTGGGGTACTCCTTAAGGTTAGGATTTGACAGGTCACCATTATTCGTTGTAGCCGACGGATTGTCATACGGAGCGCCTGCACAAAAAGGATGTATAAAACGTATGATCTATGTGAAGATGTTTTACAGTGATTACGATTGGTTGATTCAAATACGCCAAAACTGCGCTAAGTACTGAACGTTGGGCGCTAGCGCTGTGCCCAATACCCTTTCTGAGCTTTGACATAAGATAATTTCGATTCTGAGAAACCGTCAAACATAAAAGAAATGCTGTATTTCGTGCAACTTGCAATTTTTTGAAACATTTTTTACCTGTAGTTCGGACGCAGACGCATCTTTCTTGACTCATTCCAGGGGGATGAAATCTGCGGGGAACTCCATCCCACGATCGCTCAATACCTCCGCTGTGAGGGGGAAGTAATCGGGCAGGATTTATAAACAGATATGTTAGATCAGAAGGTGCGTATCAGTTCACGGTTCGTTATGTGTAAGTTAAAATACAAAGCACTTAGCTTATGACGACAAAAATTCGTCAACAATATCTAACCGAATGAGTAGATATTTGTGGCCGAGGTCTTCTGCTAACGAGGTGTGGTTATGGCGTATACGAGGTACCTTTGATTACTGCACCAGACGCGATGTCCTGTTTTAGTGTTAAATTCTGAATTGCAGGGCGGGAACATCTTTTTCTGTTCATCTTCTTTGTCCTTAACGGCCTGAGCCCTAGACAACAGTTCCTCAATTCGCCGCAGTTCGGCGGTTTTCTCTCCGGTTATCGTGTAATACCTACAAAACTCACACGATAAATCCATATTAAAGGTTGTTGCTAAGTTTATAAGGTTGACCAATTTTTAGGGACATTACTAGGACATCCACTAGCAAAGAAGTTGCAATTAGAATAAATAATCCTTCATATAGTCACAATAAATAGGTAACTGAAAGCTGTGTTCACCTTCCAACAAGCTTTCCCATATAGGGGTAGTCTTTATGATACATCTCTATCCAGTTTGCCAAGCCAGCCACGGACTCTTCCGAAAGACCTGTTAAGTCATCTGTCAGACCAGTGTCAGAGAAGTCACCCGTGATATACGCCCGCGAAGCGTCTTTGCCTGTAATGACGCACGTTGATTATTATTTATAGCCGGAGTATCTATAGTTATGAAAATTAGGTCAACCAGAAACAAGCAGGCTAGCTTAAATAAAAACATAGTTACTAACTAAAATACGATGTTGTGTACTGAGAAGCGTACAATTATATGCATTGCCTGTATTTCCAAACTTAGAAATTAGCATTTTTGAACCGTGCCTATTTGCCTATAAAGATGGCAACCAAATAACGACGGGAAACCGATGAGGCTTTGTACCTGTAAACTTGTCAGCTGTTTTTATTAGTATCTACACCTGACAGACCACAGGTATAGGGTACAGATATTAAGACTAGACTTGGCACTATTAGTCAATTTGATTCAGCACGGTAGCAATAGCTATACAAGATGTGTCGGTAAGCTCAATGTTAATAGGGTTGTAAAAGTAGGACGAATTCATTTTCAGTAAGAAAAATAGCACCACGTTACATAGAAACGGCAAGAGAAAAAGCTGGAAGTGCCTTGATTATAGCGTGTTTAATAGGAGATACAATATAGCAGCCCGGTAGTTACCAGCAAAGAACGAATAACTGCCTCCTTCCCTGTAGTACTTCGCGCCTTTCTCCACGTCGTACACCTGGAAAAATTTGATTGCCTTTTTGGGATATTTTTCCACAAATCACGGTAAACTTGCTTATAAAAGGTCCTTGCCGAACAAAGGACGGTTCTGTTTCACAAGATACCGTTAAAGTAAAACGGGTTGACTGATAAAAAAAGAAGCTGTAGAGGCACAATTAGTACGAACTTCACGTATTTAGAAAAGACAAAATTACACGAAGCTTGCTTTTTTTCAGATGTTTTGTCGCTACGCGTTATTTATACTTAAATTACCTTCCCAAGAAGAGCTAGGTAAAGTCCCTTTGATCCCGTTTTGCCGTCATAGCGGGCCAAGGTGTCCGCGTTGAACATTCCTGGAGGCAGGCTGATTGATCTTAGGAGTGGAACATACGCTGAAAACCACGTATACTCGTATGTAGCATTATTTTGCAGCCTTATACATTGGTTTTCTGCGGTGTCTAAATACAAGTCCCTAAAAACTGTCATTTTCATTCTAAATATTATACTTTTCAGTTCAGAAGTATTTAAGCTAGTTTCATATGATGGTCGCATATCGGCTTTTACAGAAATCTGATTCCATTGATTTGCTTTTAAGTGATTGAAAAATTATCTCTGCATAACTTAGGGATGGCCTCTAGCTCTACCATGTTGTACTCTCAGAGTTTATTTTATAAGTTTTATAATAACCTAATTAATTGCAATATTTCGCTAATCAGATAGAGCTAAGTGAGAGCCAGTTCATTAATTTTAGTGTTTAACCGAAACTTCGATAATGTTTTTAAAATTTGTATTTCAATGACCGCAACTAAAACAGCATGCTGGTTATACCAATGATATTCTTCCTTTTGTAGCTAGAGCTATGCTTCTAAAAATAACGACAACCTTCCTGAATAAGCCCGACTTATATAGCTTTGTAAAAGGTAGAATATGGTCGGTAAATGATCTCTTACATAACTAAAGAAAGACTACAGTAAATTTTGTCATGACCATCATTGACAGTTCTAACGTTAGTCGACCTAAGCAATTCCTGATCGTCTTTATCCCGTATCCTTCATTAACCAACCGTTCGAGCTTTTCTTTCCGGTGTGTTTAGCTTGGATGTGGGCTGAACCCCATCTTCGCTTCACTGAAATCAATAAGGCACACATGGCAACTCAACAAATGGGACGTAAATGTAAAGAGTGGGCATAAACTGCGTTTTGTAACTGCAGGAAACCGAGATCTGCTTGAATGACTTCCAACTCAAAGAAGTTGGTGAGCTAAAGATGCGTAGGTTACTGGGCGTTGTTGTTTAATAATTGTGAGAATTCAGGTACAAGCTGACCATAAATAATACTCAGGCAGGGTTAAGGACGATTAGGAATATTTGACTGGCCCAAATCTGGCTATTATTAAGTTGGTGGACAGACTTTCGGGATGATGCGAATTTTAACTTTTAAAATTTTTATTTATAATTTAATTTAATAATGCGAAAATTAATTGTAGGCTTTATTCCACAAGACAGACGTATCGTTATGCCTGATCGACCTTCAAGCGACAAGAATGGTAGGACCACAATGTGTGTCAGAGAACCATTGGGACTGAGTATCCTGAGAGGCCCTGTAAAGACCCAGGCATATCAAACAAAAGTGCTGTATAATTCGCTCTAATGAGACAACCAACTAGGTACGCCCCCATTAAGATCTTTTATGATTCCCTGAACTGGTTAGTAACCAGCGAATTTCACGAATTACTACTGCAGATATCTTGCCTTGGGTCATTTACATAAGGTGTACCGTAGCCTCTTTGAAAGGCATTCTAGATGACGATGGGAACCTCCTGAATGGAGAGCCCTTCGGTTGAACAGACGACCTGTCAAATTCTAACAGTACTTAATTGCCTCTCACAGTTTGTGCCGTTTGCGTTTATGTTGCTGCATGAAAAGGGCATAGGTCTAAAGTAGCCTGAAGACGCAAACACACGAAGCTCCTTTAATTTTCATCAACGAAGAAATACTCGCGCGTTTATTGATATTTCATCGCTTAACGCTTAAATAGCTTAACGTACACGTTTGTTAGGTTGCGTAGCTTTAGATATGTATATCATCAGGCGGTTCGTCAACGGATTATTGGTAGTGGATAATTAGAAGGCTATTATGGGTAAGCTGCTAGAAATTCAGACAATAATACTTTAATGCTTGTGAACACGACGGCCATAGCAATGGCAGCAGTTGGCCTGAAAGTAATGAGAATATACGTTTTGTCGATTCAGGCAAATTCAGTAATACTCTAGCTATTACACAGGCCTGCACGTTGCTGCCATTTTCAGCTGTCGTTGTCACAGGGTGCATTTATGGTGAATTTACACACCTAACAGGGTCTGTTGTTGTCTTATGGATGGTTTGCGTGCATCTTCCCGAAGGAGCTGTATAATAATGCAACGTATTGTGTCAATGAGGCCATGTGAAAAAACCATTCATTCGTGTTATTCTGAAAGACTAAATAAATAATATTCCTTCTGAACAGACAGATAAATTGCGATACATTTCCTTATAATATCCTTTTAACGACAACCTATCCTAAACGATTCGAAACATTCGATAAAAGTTAATCCCATATTAACAGCATAGGCATATATACGCTATTTGGTTAACTGTAAGATTCCGAGCTTATACTCGTGGGGCATCCAGTTTGTGATATCACTCCAATATTCACAATCGCTAATTATAAACAGTTGTACCGATACCATATACAAGCAAACGCTGGCGCCATGCAGCGAGCAAGCTTGGAACTTGACCGCGAAAGGCTCGCACACTTCACACAAAGAAAACTATAAATAAGGAAATCATTTGAAATATGATAGGTAAGCCGAAGTATATATGTGTATATATATACACGAGGAACGTTTATTTCTGTAATGATAATGTGCTTCGATGGAAAAAAATTTAACCTACAGGTTGTAGGTTCTGAAGATGGACCAATTCAAACTTGAGCCCTCAGGCCATCTCCCATTGATATACTGTGTACACAGGTACATTGCACATATTGTTTGTTAGTATATAAATTATAAGCAACATATGCATGAGCATTATATTAAAAAGCGTGAATTGGATTCCAGAAGCGTATTGATGACTAACTGCTATGTGACCCTGCCGCGTACTCATGACTGTGCATTTTTTTGCAGTGGATTGCACATGTCAGTTTCCTGTCTGTATTCATGTTTTCCAGTTTCACTAAACATGCAAAATCGCGGCATTTGTATTGGTTCAAGTCCGATGCTCAGCACGATCGTAGGAGCCATCATTTCAGAGATCAGGATGCGGCAACTCGGTCGATCTGTGAAGTTGTAAAAAATTTACTTTCGTCAACGCTGGCAACGACGGCACAAAATGCGACAATAAAGTGTTTTAATGTTTAGAAGATAATTTAAGACGAAATGAAATGAAGATCGTGACTAACGGTTGGTCGTTCGCGTCGGGCAGACCATTCTCTTCATTTATGCGTTCCGTAGAAGCATATCGTCATCTCTGCATACAACGGCGACACGGATGCCAGGAGTCTTCTTCGGAAGAGGAACATCTTAGGCTGCACTAAACGTGTATTACTCATATATCAATTTTTTCCCCTCTTTCATTTAGTATACAGAGCCATTCATAAAATGCGGCGGCGAAAATCAGTCGATAAATGTTAAAATGAAAGCGTTCTTTGTATGTACAGAGAAGACGACGTTGAACTGGCTAACACCTGACCTAAGTAGAAATAAGGCCGGTCAGCTGGCCGCACAGCGAGTTCTGGAGCCCGTTGAACTTTCATTACTAAAAAGCGTGGTCTAAAATGGATAATGCATCTCGGATACGAGCGGCCGTTGAAGGCCAAAGGCCGACGAAGATTATTTACCTGTCCGTCTATTGGACTGATGGAGCGGTGAAGGTACTCGGGTGAGCAACATAGCGCAACGTTTCAGAAGCAAGGCATCGTCAACTCGTTCTTCTAGTCAGACTTATCCAGTCCTCATCGTATCTTTTATCCTGCTATCAACTAATGGAACAGCAGCATGCTTTGTCGCCAGACATCATTAAGCACTTCAGGTACCGAATCGATGTAAAGGGCATGCAGTCGTGCCGGAAATGGTGCCGCGTAGCTGGCGTCCGCAGCAGTCTCACTGACGATCGGCATTAACGCGATGGTGTCACGCCGCTATTGCAAGGTCGGGAAGTATAGCTAACGCGTATCGAACACTAGACCGCAACCGTTGGCAATGCGCCTTCTATGATAGGCTGTGGCTTGGCTATCGAATACACCGGACGAGCGGAAGCGCTGCAATGCATATTTGGTCATCAGGTACTAGACGATTGTAAGAAGATCTTTTAATAAAATATTTCCATTGATTCCATCAAGTTGCAGCGATGGCCGTTCATGTCCGAGACACACACTATCGAAGAGAAGCTGCGAATTTGCAGCATTAACATTTAAATCATCGAATTCAAGTTGAAATGACATAAGGCCTTATTTGCCAAAATACCAAGGAAACAGTTTTTATATAATTTATATATATATATATATATATATATATATATAAAGTTCCCTTAGGTATATCATTTTGGCAGGTTTTTAGCACGCGGGTCTCCCGTCCACCTCTCAGCTTTCGAACTGTCATAACCTACGATCAACGTGCGCTAGTGAGGATTAATATGTACAAGAGAGCGAGGCTAACCATAAGCGAACTAAAATAAACATTAACCGAAAAAGCAGTGGTTTAATCAGGGCTGTGTATACCTCTCCAGATGGTCAAACGAGTGCCCAAGTGCGCAATAAACCCAAATCTTAATCGGGTATCTTAAAAAGTATCTTATGACAGTTAAAAAGTGCATGGTCCTCACGCAATATTTAAAATAAAATTACCTATTTTTTTTTAATGCTGCATGAACTTCTTCTCATGAACGAATTCTCTTCTTGATAAATATTGCGCTATTTCCATTATATAGAAGGCTGGGTCGTTGTCTAAGACATTTAGCAAACCCTGAACCTATAGAAAACTGGTAATGCTATATCTTCGAAGAAAATTTGTCTAAAACATATGTAATATTTGAATAATTCAAACACAAAGTAATTTGTTTAATATTTAGAACATAAAACTGAACGTGCCACTTACGTTGCATTGAAGACACGAATTGACTCGTGATTTTTTTGTAGTGCATTTCGAGGATGGCGGTCGCCTGCGGGAAACGATTCTGGACTTCAGGATAATAGTAATAAAGCGAAACTCCAACAGAGCAGATAAGAATCGCGTAAAACCACGTATCGCACACCTTTCGACTCATCTGAAGGACTCAATAATTACCACATTATGTATTTGTCGTATTCATCCTATCTGGCATCAAGGTAATAAAACTACAGAGAAGAGCTTAGTGAAACGGCCTGCTATTGATCGCATAACATGAAAAGTTCAGCTTGAAAAAGCTAGCTGAAAAATCATTCTACATATTTTTTTTCCTTTAGCCTAAAAAGTCTACTCTAATTTAGAACATATTGGTTACCCTAACGTCAAGTAGTTTCTGTAATTCTGTTAATAATAGCTACTGTGATGAGATTCATTTGATTATGGTAGACGCAGAGCAAACACCGGCTGTACAACAGACGCGAATCGGTTTCAAAAACAATATCTATTTGAGGGGTACGACATTTACTAAACCACCATACTGTCAAACTGTACAGCCGTTTACATAAAATGGATGGACTATTTAAAGTTGCGGGATCTTAAATTGGATTGGTTTTAAATTGTGCTGAATCTCAGAAAATAGAAAGTAGACCAAACTGTAAGCACGCCACTTTAAACATTGAATTTGAATATCAGTAACATGTATTCTGCAATAGTGCACTCGTTAATATGTCCAACATAAATGGTGGGTTTTTTTTTTAACTTGCGGCGACTTGATTGCAACAAGGAAGTCCATTGAAACTTGCTGAAACGTTTGTATTTATTTGTCTTTAGCGTCAGATTTAAGTAGATACAATCTTAAAACGAAAGACACCGACAAGGAAATTCTACCTCGGATGCTATGACTCATTTATCAGACTAAAAGTTTTTATAAAATGCGGTTAACTTTGTCGGGCAAAATTAACGTTTTTCGGATTACCCCTTACATAGTATAGTTATTAGCAAAGGTGCGTGTGAAGAGTTTTTATCGTACTTTTACACTGACAAGGATTACCATTTTGTCCCTTTTACCCTCTAGTTCGGATCCAATTGAAGCATGTATAACCAGTTATACATACAACGAGCAAAACCGTACTCAACAGGGAACTCGTTCAACACATTCGGTTACGAATGAACGACATCTGAATGGGTTTGTGCAAATTCTTTGAAAAGGGCTTAGACAGACCGTGGCTTTTCCAAGGAGAAATTTTTGCTCAGGGTACGGTGTAACTATGAGAGATTGCTATAAGTATTAAAATAAGCCTTTACAAAATGTATTTGTCAATAATAAAAATCAATTTTACTGATATTCAATTTTTTAAGAAACTAGTGGATGGACGATCCAGCAATCGCCAGTACATAGTGTCATTTGACAACAGCGTAGGACCACGAGCTTGCGCCAGTGGTGCCCAGGATCGAGGGTCTTGATATATCGCCAATGACTTTTGTTCTCATCTCACACTCATCCGTATCTAGGCGTTCCGGTATAATAAGAACACTTTACACACCTTTCTTGAAGTTTTAAATAGTGAAATTTAGCGTCATAACGCAAATGGTGCGCGTGCAAGCATTGAGAAGCTTTCCGACCGTACGCCCTATCGCGCAAAGTATAATGTCCGATATTCACTTAAAGTTATACTGAAAAGTATTCAGTGTCACTCGTTTAGCTCAGGAATTGTGACCATCAAACGTCGCACAGTCCTAACCAAAACAGTTCAATATAATGGAAAACATGGATACGGACTTCAGATGCACGGGGTTTCTTATAGATCTACATGTATGTGCCGTAAGTGTCACGTGCAACGACTATGGAAATCGCTGGGAAGTCGTATTTCCTTTCTGCTACTAACGTTATTTCGTCCATAGCGTTTCACTTGCGTGCATAGTATATTTTCGAATATATAGTCTGGTTAGACAAAGCGACCTTGACATTACACAGTAACGCGCAAGAATAATGAAACTCAATTTGAAAATATCTGGTCAATTTGCGGAGCTTTTGCAAAACGTACCACATTTTTAGATCACTCTGTGTTGGTACCATAACTATTATTATTTCTCTTATTAAGCAGATAATAATAACTTAACCATTCTAGCATGATGTGACGAAATAACTGGAGCTGGAAAGCAAAGTGACCCCTCCCAACCGTCACAATATAGATCTGTCGGTCATTGTGCTATAGAACGAAGACCTTTACGGGCGAGACGTGGTATTTTCTAATACACACTGTCAGAACACTGATGGTCAGAGGGCTGCGGCATGATACCATTATGACACAGATGTTGTCTGCTGAGTTTGGTGAGGGGAAAAGGTTTCATACAACTGAAGTTGAAACGAATTGTCTTCTGACAGACAGCCGACCTGGTAGCTTTCACAAACAGTTCGTTAAACGAGGTTGTCGTTTGTGTCACTGCAGACTTTTAGTCAGCATTATTTGACGTACGAGTAGTGAATAGATAGAAAGCATAGATGTAAACTGAAGATCACTATACTAAGATCTCTCGCAATGTTTCAAGTGTTCGAAAAGTCAAATTCATTTGGGTCAGGATTTCGAAGCAAATAAAAGTTGTCTCGAAAAAATAAACAGGAGAGGGGGAATATTAGCGCTGTCAAAAGCAAAGTAGAGACTCTAACGAACCAGTTTAGATACACATATGCCTATAGAAAAGTTGTTTACTTTTGATGCAAAACAACAGCGCTTGAATAAAAATGTCTTTAATTCTTATTCGGTTTATTTCATCTCGTTACTTATAGAACATACGACATTTTTCTAATAGCAGAAAAATTGTTAGGCTAACAGATTCGTGGTTTTCACATCTTGGAGGAAAAATCGTTCGAAACTATTCCCAGAAAAGTGCTCAAGACCAGACCTCATACTCTAGCCCTACTGGAGTGTCTCATTATCTAACCACTAAGCTTTGGTGCATAGAATTCCGCTTCCGTATATCAGCACCAGATAGTTTCGACAGCAGTAGTCAGGTAAACAGAGCAACTTAGTTAGTCTTGGGCGATACTAAACTAACGTAAAGCTGCCAGCTAGGATGAGTCAAGTGTAGTGCGGCTTCTACCTTCAAAATGATTGAGCATGGAAAACTAAAGCCGTTTAGTTTTAATAGCTTAGCTAAAAGAAGACTCACCGTGGCAGCAACGTCAAAAGCCATAACGGTAACGACAACAGCGGCGACGAGAAGCCCAACGCTTTATATGTGGAACCATTCACGACATAGAGCTAATCGAGCCTCGTTTACGTGGCCCAGGCAAGACGGACCCAGATGTACGGGCAGTGGCCCCATTCAGCGGGGACTCGCGAGTTTTGCACTTGAGTCCAACGGCGTCTTCGTCCACCGACGTCTGCCAGCGCTAGTGTCTCGTGCTCGTGACATCAACGATTGCCAAACGCGTTGCAAACTGGTAGTACGACCGCGCGTTGCATTTGCCGGTTTTAGGGGGGTAAGTCTGCTGATGGCAGGTCACCCATTCCAAACTCAAGCGCTCGGCACATGCTAATTCGGTCATTTTGTGCGTCGACCGTCGACCCAACTTCGAAGAAAGAAAGAGCAAAACATGAAGCCGATGGGAGCTAACTGCCTCCAGATTGCAACTGTTGAGAACAGTACCCCCTGCAGCTCGTCTGGTAGACTACCCATCTTGATGAGCTTTAAATTTTTATCGGTGAGGGATGTAGAAGCAATGTTTAGTATAGGCAATGGTATAGATAGCAGCTTGTCCGACGAACAAAGCAGTTCCGAGTAAGTTCGGAACTTAGAAAAATAATACTTTTCCAAGTAAAGCATAAAGAATACTTTGATTAACACATATGTGTGTCTGGAAGATTAATTGCTGGCGCGTTTTTACATTACGAATTCGAATCAATCTGCTAGCCACACGATATGTAAAAAACCCATTTATTTTTAAAGTCGAAGGCGTGGGGTGTAGACATATCCACTCCATGATAGCAGATGTGATTCGCTATAGAGGCTATACGTGCAGATGACTCATTTAAGAAATAATTGGTGTAGACGTTATTTGCGTGCAGTTGGGATTCTACAGAACGACGCTAAATTTGACAGGCACATTTTGGTAATAGTCGGTGCTTCGCAGGCGAATTAAAATAACTTACGTTAAATTTAGTATAGGTACGATGTATTGATACCGGATAAAAGTAGCTATAAGATTTCAATGTTTTCGTCGAATCTAAAGAAACAGGTATTTCAAATAAGTTCCTTCTCTTTTCCATGTGTACATAGATTCAATACATCAACACACTTCAGCGTACACTGTTGACAATGAAAACTGATGATTCCAACTACAGCTACAAATCAAATTTACTATCTAAGCTATATAAATATGAGACTATATAGTTATCTAAATTGGATGGCCTTAACTGTATTACGTCTTATCAGACCTTCTCACAATATCGAAACCTCTCCAAAATCTTTCAAAAGTTTTACTACAATATAGTTAGGTTTCTTATTTTTTAGGGGTGTTTTGCAATAGCCAAAAAAAAAAGGTACTATGTAGCTTAACTTAGGCTAGTTTCAAAGCAGTAACCAGCTCTCTATTGCTATAGAGTCATTTTACGAAAGGACTGCCTTACAGGCCGCTTCCGTCCAAGGAACATTTTAGGTAATATCAAAAACGCTTCGCTGAGTCACTCTGTTGTGCACAAAAATCGATTGTCCTTCCCCGTGGCCTATTTTTGCACCTCATATCGAAGGCACGGCAAAGGGTGCTTTCGCGAAAGAGGTAGAACAAGCTTGTATGCTTTCGTCTGTTGTACAAATGGTTCATGCGGAAGGCGGTATTGTTGGAAAAATAGCTACCTATATAAATAGCTTAGAAATTATCAAGTCCAAAATTAAAGCTTAGCAATGCACGGCCTAATTGTTGCCGAAAAAGTAGTAGATTACCGTTTTTTTCTCCGATAACATCTAAGAAGCTACATTTAAGCTTACAGTTTTGACAGATTGCCTGTGGTTTCTCTTTCTCGCTCCAAATCGCAGTCACGTCACTAATTGTGCTACAATGGCGCAGTTAGCTGTCTTATCTCCTGACTTTCAATTCTGGTCACTGTCGTTTTCCTGGGTCTTTTCCTGAAGATACCGCTGCTGTTGGCGTCGGCACAATGTTCAGCATCAATTGTCGCTGTGAGCTTTGTGGGGCGATTTTTTAAAGCAGACTCGAAGCAAGAGAAATTACAGCGTAGAACAAAAATGAGACCACGCTACTTTTCTTACACTGTGTTCCTCAAGAAATTTTACTATAGCCCGATACTCTGTGGGAGGGCCCAGTGCAAGCTTACTAATGAGCACCTTGTACGGCTACGGAGGTCTTTGAACGTTCGACTTCACCGTGTCCAAATGTTCGCGACTGCTGACGAATGTAATTAATACAAAATCGTACAATAAATGAAAAGGTATTTATGGCTGACAAGCAGCGCACAGAATTACATAAGTCAGTGTCTTCAGTTAATTAGATGAAGGTAAACCAAAGTGATGAAGTAATTTCCACTGTTCGAAACGAATTTTTCCAGCCAGCCGGTTACTCGTCCATACTATTTTGCTATATTTACGATACTGGACACAAGCGACCGGACCCGCTGGAACACAATGGTTTCACACAGAGTGCGAACACAGAGCTCAATAAGCTGGCTTAGTAAGCAGGAGGTTATCAAATCAGACCTATTTGTTTTTGGGTCGCTGTTTTTCTGATACTTTTATAGACAGTAGATTCGGAGATAGGCTCCGTCGAAGTACTCAAAGTAAGAACGCTCTGGAAGCAAATGATTCCGCCGTCGACAAGGAAACAAAACTCAACTAATCTGAGCAGATCATACCGGATCAACAAATAGACACCTCAGCAGGTTTGCTATACTCTTGACGTAACTGCTGCCGCACGGCTACCTACTCAATGGCATCTAATGCCGTCGCACACACTACTGTTAATTCAAATTCAATGAGCCCAAGGGATTTCTGGCAACGAATCAGCCCTTTGCTCATGCTTGTGAAGTCAAGTGACAGTTCTAAAACTCCAGCTAAAAAGATTAGAAATGAAAGATAATCTAACTAGCTACTGAAAAAAGTATTAAAACAGAATATTCGCCTTGATAAATAAAACATATGATTCGAAGGGGGTCAAAGGGGGGTGCTGGGCGAAATCAAAATAATTTCTTTCATAAAAAGACGCAAAAATAAGTACAGTTACACTAAACATATTACTCGACTCATTACGAAGTGTTATCCGAAGTATCAGCGCGCTCAGCTGCACGCGTTCACTATGATTTTTGGATGGTAAATCCAGTGAAGTTATAAATCCATCATAAAACAATCTGTTACAAAATGGTTCTTCGAACATTGTTTTTTTCTACCGATGGCTACTCAATATAAAGGTGTGTATTTATTTGATCGAAAGCAAGAAATTTTTATCCATCCAAAATGTGTAAGTGATATCGTGCTTGGCTGATAATTTAAATCTGCAAAATTATGACCATTTCAAAGATAGGTCTTTCACAATTTTTTCATAATATTTAAAAACTGGCCGATTTTAACGCCGATAGTCTTGAATAAAACAGCTCATCTTGTTTGGTCATCTTCTTTGAAAATAATATGAACTATTTCTATTTTTAGTTTCTTTCTATATTGAGTTTCTTTATATATTAAAAGTGAAAACCAAAAGTACAAAATACATTAATTAGATTATGAAATAAACACAAACAATAAAAGATACATCGATGCAACAAGTTCTTCGTTTTTTTTTTCTATTTCTGTGAATGTTGAAAACTTCAACTGTTTAAACTTTTCTTAAAAACTTTTCATACTCTCTTTACCTCTAAATAAAAATAAATTATAATAATAATAAAGAATAAATTATAATTCGAAACTGCAAAGTTCCTATGAATAAAGTCAGTTACATATATTAAAAAAAAATCACAGCATATCGTTGCAGGGAACGGAATCGGTCGTTGCCGTGCTCATGCTAGCATATGCCAATAGGCCGAATTTTCCTTTTCTCAAAACCATATTTGACTCTGACTGCCAAGTTTGTGTGCATCTGTCAGCAGAACAACAATGAATCAATGACGGATAACACTACCTAAATCGTCAATTACAGGGTTACACCTAGTTCTCACAGGTTTATAACAAATCCTATGACAGCTTTTTTGCGACGAGACAACGCAGTTCTAGCACACGTCAGCAGATTCGTGTCACAATAAGTAAAAGCGATATCAATTATAGAGGAAATCGATTATCCAGCAAAACAAAATCGCGTAACGTAATCTCTATCAGCGGGTGACTTCTTCCGCACGATCTAGTTAAGTATTGCAAAAGGAAGTATTGATGTTAATGGCATGTTGTTCATAACAAATTTTACTCACTTAAAGTTTCTATACGTGCGTAGGTTTGCTATGCTCTTGACGTTACTGCTGCCGCACGGCTACGTACTCAATGGCATCTAATGCCGTCTCACACACTACGTTAAAATCCACGTTGACGAAAGCGGCCGATTTCGTCTGTATGGGTGAGGGAAACACATGACGCTGCCGCGCTGATGAGGCTGGGTGAGGTAGTAGCAGTAAGGGGGACTGAAGAATGACAGGTAGATGAAGGGAATGACTGCGAGTTTGGGAGAAGGTTACCTGCTGTTGGTGTCGTTTGTTGCAGAGAAGCGGTATGGTTAACGTCGCTGAGCAGGTCGTAAGTTAGCCTTAGGGTTGTTGCCTGATGATAGGTCCTGGGCCGTCAGCAACAAGATAAGGAACGGCCACGGCCGGCAAACGAAAACCGAAATCAGCTGTGCCTGTGACGTCAGTGTGAAGTTGCCTGAAGAGGTGCTCCTTTCAGCAGGAGCGAGAAGGCGGTAGACGGTAGTTTACGATAAAAGCTTTCATTTGCCGCTAACTGAAATCTTGACCATCGAGACACGTACCAAAGCAATGAGACGCATAGACGAGCAGCGGGCAAATGGGGAAAAGCTCGAACTGAGGTGCGAAATGATGTACAAATGTCGTTTTAGAACGCTATAGGCGTATTTTATTTAATCGAAGTTAGACTAAAATGGGCCTCTTGGGTCAAAATTACATTAAAATGACTACAGGCCTATAGCCAGAAATTGAGAAACGTATGAGTTCAGTAAGTATTGCAGTTGGAAAATTCTGGCTAAAATCCCACACAACCGTGACAAATACCTGGTGTAAGGCCCGTCGTTTGAGATCGATTCGTGTATTGGCCTCAAAGAAAACCTTAAAAACGAAATAACTGCTGTACGTTTGATTGGTATCTAAACATTCACCGTGCATTCTTCCAACAAAGAGAACCTCTAGATTTTTTGGTGCACAATTTTTTTGACAGCTGACTTTTGCGCAACCTTAACCAACATTTTGGGATCAGCTTAGCCTTTATCAATACCCCCAAACGCGGTAGATATAATCAAGCTATCGACGCTCTGTATATGCATCGGCCCTTGTCCAATTTGCCTTTCGTAACATCGGTTAGATGCAGAAAAAAATGAAACTCAAGAAAGGCCATAGTGTAATTTACTCTAAAACATTATATTCTTTATCAGATATCATGTGTTATATTTCACTTTCTGGATAATGAATCCTAGGTGAATTTTACACTCTCGGTCGGTTACTTTTTACGGTACGGTATACTTCAGAAGGGTTGCGATATTCCTATCGTCTATTACAGCAGAGCTATGCTAATCTTGGACCGTCGATTGCAACATAAAGCCTAACATATTATCGACATTAGATCTAAGCTTGTTACAATTTACATAACATTTCTCCGGATGCTACATAAATTCAAATTTAATTAGCCCAAGGGATTTCTGGCAACGAATCAGCCCTTTGCTCATGCTTGTGAAGTCAAGTGACAGTTCTAAAACTCCAGCTAAAAAGATTAGAAATGAAAGATAATCTAACTAGCTACTGAAAAAAGTATTAAAACAGAATATTCGCCTTGATAAATAAAACATATGATTCGAAGGGGGTCAAAGGGGGGTGCTGGGCGAAATCAAAATAATTTCTTTCATAAAAAGACGCAAAAATAAGTACAGTTACACTAAACATATTACTCGACTCATTACGAAGTGTTATCCGAAGCATTAGCTGTTGTTCATAAAAAAATTTTACTCACTTAAAGTTTCTATACGTGAGGTAGGTGTAATGAATATATAAAATAGATACGACGTAATACCGGCTTCTGCATATGTGTAGGCTCTCTCATATGTTGGGTTTATTAATAGGTATTTTAGAATGGAATGGACTTCGTAAAGATAGTATCTTTAAAAAAAGATAGACAGAAATACGTGTCCATAAAGCGATAAGGCAAACCCTTTTCGAAAAACTTTTTGCGTTTGGTCTTAGTATTTTTTAATAATGTTGCACGTACATTGCTCTCTAGATAGGCTCCAGCACAGGATGTGTGAGAGAAACTGAGCTTATGCCCCTGCAAGATTTACGCGAACAAGAAAGTTCTAAACAACACCAGATGCTTAGACCTTAGCTGTATGGGGCATATTGTTCATCGTATTGTTAGCGTTAGTCCTACTTGCAAAACACTCACAACTGTAAATATCGAGCATACCGGTATTTAGCATCGGGACTACCTAGTTGTCACAACATTTTTATATACATTTGTAACCTATATATTAATTCAAATACATGTATTATACATTAGATGATAGAAACGGTGCCACGGAACTCTAGATGCTGCAGCATTCCGCGTAACATCATATGGAAGATCGTCTTCACGATCTTTTCTAAATTTTTATTACACATTTATGGCGGACGCATGTTTTACCTCGCATAAAAAGGTGCACCTTTTTTTTTATCAAGTGGGTGGGCAACGTACTCGAACGGTTGCATCCCATGTCATAAACTGGCTTTATAAGACTGTACTTTATTTTGACGATTTGACAGATGAAGCCTTAGTGCAACACATCGGAATCTGTGAGTTTTGAATAAAAAATCACTAATGATCTCACAGATGGGTCTTTCATGCCGTCACGGCATGGAGCCTCGCTGCTACGGAGAATCTGTGCTTCCCCTTCGCGACATTGTCTACAGGCTTAGAACTTGTAGTCCTTGCTTTGCAGCGAACGTTAAGTTCTAGATAAGACACTTACTGAGTAGTTGACGAAACCCGTAAGCGCTACTTTGCGCAGCTTCAGAACATACTTTTTGGCTGTTTTGAGTTAATAGCTATCAATTGGGGCCTTTTCGTCGGGGCCGCTAGGTGTTAAGCATAGATGGCCTGCGTACAGCCAGACTTCAAGGTTTCCCCGTTTACGACGTCGTGGTAAGCCATTAACAACGAGCATAAACAGCGGTTGCGTCCTAATCATTGTCTATTAGATGTTCACTTGAACATCTTACGAAACAAAACGAAAGTTAATAACTTTTATGACACAACATTTATTATACACTGTTCTTATTGTTCATAGAACATATAGAAAACTTGTTTTGGTAAACTTGTAGAGCTCCTCGCCACTTTACCGAGGCAAGTTAATCAACTGTAGTTGCAGATGATACAATATGAACATCTCTAGTGAAGTAGTTGAGATTTCGATGTAAGTAGAAATATCGCTATGTCAAAACAACGCATAGGCTTCATGTGATATGGAGCCAGAAACAGTGCCTTAAAAGCGGTACCAGGTGGTCACCTTTCGCCTGTGGTATGGGATCTGTAATGATTTATACAACCAATTAGAACTACTGAATAAAGTTTCTTGACGAACATATGCAAGTTCTTCGAATAAACATATTCCTTGTTCATATACTTAAGTGGTTTTCAACTTCTATTAAATAACATTATCCAATCACATAAGTCTGAATTATTATTGAATTTTGCTACAGCTTGTGTTACAGTATACATTGTAGGGAGTTGTGAATCATACCCTACGGATAGTCAATTACCGATGACCTTTTTGCTGTTCTTTTTCAGGCCTACAAATACCTATAATTTAAACACCCTTTCACACCCTTGTTCTACTAGTGATGGCCAACATAGAGTTCAGCACGCAACGCTTAACATGCATGTAAGACTCAATCAATGCTCATTAACGTGTTCTTCTATACATCTGGGAACAAGATGGTTCATCGCATTCGAAAGTGTACAATAGGCGTGGCCATATGCCCATCTAACGAAAAAGGTATCGGTCTTGCCAGGACACTGTCGCATCATGTATGATTTTCAACATTAGCTGACTTCGACTTTGGTCCCGACAGCACGTGGACAATGCGTTGAAACGTCTAGGTTGTTCCGATGACCTGTCCCTCTATCTACCTGTTCATATTAAATAGGTAGATAGACGGACGGGCAGGCCGAAGCGTTTTTCGTTGTCTTTCTCTAGCCACAATTTGAATTCTGTATACGTCAAGCAAGCCTATTGAAAACCTCGGTGAGTAAAAGGTCACATGGACACATTTAAGTAACACAGTATTGCTCGTTTAAACCAACATGTCATAAAGAAAAGTACATTTTGACCCGCAACGGCAGAACGTATGGATCATCCTTGTGAATAGGCACTTCTCTGACGCGCGTTCCCTACTGACCCTTTGCGAAGATGAATAGTAAACAGGCGCAGTAAGTCGATTGAGCAGCGTGGGAGCGGCACTGCCTATCTGAAGGTAAGGAGGACAATGAGCTGAAATGACCGCGTCGCGCGTGGCCCGACTCAAGTTCCAGCGATCGCGGTCTGATTGGAGCTCCTTCGCGTACAGAGCGTGTCGATGAGCTGCGTCGTAGTAGTACATCTGTACAGAAAGCAAATTGCAAATTATGCACATCGAATGATGATGAAACCCGCTCTTCCAATGTTGTCGGATGGAAGTATTTAGCAGACGAGAATTTATCAATGGCTAACGTAGAATGTACCTATGAAAATCGATTGCCGAAAGCTTAATTAGACTTGAACAAAATGGACAAGCTTCCTCTGAACAATCGTCTCTCGACTCATAAATTTGAATGCTAACGAAAAACCCAAAAGTTACTTCAGGGCTAGGTCCGATATATATCTGGTCTGAAAGCCCAATATATGGTTATGTCGTGGATTAACGTTGGCAGCTTGGATATTTGTTTGCTCATTCTACGGAAAATGAATTCAATGAATAGACGTTTATGGCCGACGCGGCAAGGCAAATCTCTAAAATATGGGGAAATTTCTGGGCTTTTTTTGATTGGAATTGACGCCATAGCACAGTTGTGAGCTGCCCGTCGTTTACAGTATATGGGTAGCTTCTTTGTTCTGTCAAAAACTACTAAGGCACGGAGGCCTATGGATGCGTTAAAGGGCAGTTGAAGACGCAGTCCACTGAGGATTTTCCAAGTTGTATTTCATAGTAGACATACATGTATAAGGTATGCGTATAAGGTATAAAAAACTGCGTTCATACATCGAGTAAGTTATACGTGCATAGAGCAATGGGCTTAATGATGTGTGATCTACTTTTCAGAATACTTAAATACCTTGAACATAAATTAATGGCCATTGCTGAGAGTTGCAAGATTTCGTAAAGGACATGCTCACTTGTGATACAAATCTGTTAATATTAGTATCATTACAAATCACGTGTATAGAACCAGTTGTCCGCGGAGGAAGCTGTTACTGGCCCGATGGGTCTAATTTGAAGATTTAAAAAAATGTTCTCTTAAGTTTTCCTCCAACTTACCGATTAATTTGTTAGGCCTTGATGAATTTTCATATTGGTTTATTTTAGCGATTTTATGTATTCCAGTATTTTAGTGCTGTTCCACCGATCGACCTTCACTGAGTGCTTGAAGAACACTACTGAATTAGTATGAACATTATGGTCGGCTTTTTTGTCAATCATTTTATCTTGATTTTAGAAAGAAAGGCTGTCTGCTTCCGATCATTGATATATTGTACATGAACATTTAAATACGCTGTTTGGAGCGGGCTAGGGTCAATATAAGCTTTTACGTTGGGTTTTGATTGTCACGTTTAACTAGCTTGCTTTATGTGCAGCTCACGACAAGATGCCAATAGATATTGCCGCTATCATTGCTTATTACTGCCTTCTGTAAACCTTCGTTTTGAAAAATCGACTATATCCTCTATTTCGTTCGCGAACTACTCAGTCATAACCCTCCTTATTAATTTGTCCTCCTAATTGAATTGTCAATATTGCCTTGCGAAATTTCGGACACATACACCGTTCATATTTCTCTTCAATAATTGTGAAAGCAATGGCCGGATCTTACAGCAAAATTTCTGAATAGATGATAAATAGATAATGTATATCACAGCATGGGAATACAGGTCCGCTAAATGTTCTGTCGACGCACCTTCTGTTTTCACGACCTGTTTTCGACGAGACTTCAATGGATGATGGCGACTTCGGTGTGTGAAAACGTACCGCACGGAAACACGATGCCTATGCTAACTTGTATCACCAGATCTTTCTTTTCTGTAGGCTGGTATACGCCGTTCCGTGACCTTTTCTTTCAGAGCAGCTGCACTGTGAGGGCCACTGTGCTGTGTTTGCCTACAGATTGTTTTGCGTCTATAGCCGTAAAAGGAGCAGGGTGGACGAGCTTAGCAGAGTAGCAGCTTTGGTCCTTGATATGACGTTAAGGCTTTCGACGTTAGGTAAGCTGGGAAAGGGGGTAGGAAAGGCCTTGCGAGCTAAGGCTGGCTATTCGCTTCCTACTACTGCACTCGCTTCGCGATAGAAGGCGTTCGACCTCGAACTGGTTAAACTATTCTGACGCTTATGTAGGTGATGATGAGACATCGCCATTGTTCTGTTGGTTGATGATCCTATAATTTGTTCTTTATCAACGAAAGAAGGCTATTTGATTCTAAGACTTCAGTTGATTAGTCTCATTGTGTTACAGCACAGTATAGAAACATCCTTTACTCTCTTTTTGTGTGTTAAATGTTCCGCTTACCTGTTTAAGAAATATACGAGTAATAACTTCACTATGAAGTCATGTAGATGCTACCGTTTACGTGCTGAGCTAAATAAACATAGCAAGTATTATAATAGCAAAGTATATCGAAAACGATTTGTTGCCGAATGCATAATGGACAGTTCATTCAAAGCCTGGGGAGTGATTGCCAAAGCCCTTAGGGATGTGCCTCCGGGAAAGATTGGGTGTTCAGCAAGACATGTCAAATTCTGGGTCATGTTTTTTGACTCGCTGGCGCCTCAGGCTGTGAGTGGATGCCTTTGGGTCATAGGGTAGTGCTACGAGACGCCAACGCCTTTCTTGCCTGAACATAAGGATAGAGCTAGTTCCTCTACACGGTTTGGCCCAGTGCTCGACACACCCAGATCTAGTTCTTGCAAAAGTACTTCGCTACTAGCTCTCTAAAGGTCGTTTTCCAGGTGAGAACTAGGCCACCGACCCAGAAGGCCCGACTGGGCTAGCCTTTTCTCATTTCTTATAGCTGGACGTTGTCAACAGTTCACATATCTGAACAATCGTATAATAATATCAAACCTACGTATTTGGACAATTTTCCGCTAATACGAGACGAATGAGTGCAGGATTCGATACAAGCTATGCCCTAAGATAACACGCATGGGATAATCCTATGAACACTGGAATTTTATTAAAGAGAACGAAGCTAGGAAGAAAAAACAAACAAAAAAAAAAGATGTTGTTTTTGTTAAGCATAATACGTATGTTAAGCCGTGTTAGTTATGTATCTCTTAGGTAGGTTTAGGTATCCTTTAGGTTTCCTTCTATGAATTTCACTTTTACTACCGACTGTCCACTTTCGCTACGCTGTCAATAGAACATGCAAATGCGTATGACCCACTGAGCGGCTCTGCAGAGTGATTGAAACACTAAGATTCAGGAGTTGGCAGTAAAAAAACAACCGTTTAACTGCCTATAATATTTTCTACTGCCAAAACATCAAGCTTATTATAGAACATATTTAATACTATTATTAGTAATAATAATACTATTATTATCTATGTCATGGTATCGGTATAACCCTAATATTATCTTTGACGGTCACGTTTTTCACGCACTGGATATATTTTAAAACAGTCTTCAATTGATATCATCATTTTGCCGTTATTAGCGACTTTCAATATCTATGTGTAGGAGTTATACCACGATAAGCACGAAACACGTGACAATATTTGTGTCAGCCAGAATTTCTTCGCCGTTCCATTGCTTATTATTTCATTATATATAAAAATTAATGTTGATGACGTACGTATATATATATATATATACATATGCCCGGATACTTGTCATAGCAATCTTTTTAATGGTACTCGAACGAATACCGCTGACATGGAGCATCGACAAATAGATAACAATCGTACGGTAATAGGTACACTTTGCGTATCCGTATGCTAGTAATGTTCATGTGGGAACACCTTCAACTCGTTGAGCGTCGTAGCCAACCCGTACGTACAACAGCAATAGGGATATTTGAATGTCCGCACGTAGGGACAAACTTATACATACGATGTGTCATTTCAAGAAGAGATCGCTAGAAATCGAACAAGGTGGGAGGGTGATAGCGGTAGTAGCCGACCCACTATCGATAACATCACCAAATTCATATGGGTACGCTCTATCGACAATTAGTCAAATCAAATGTGATATATTCATGATAATAATAACAACACTATTGATTATAGATTATATTATTATCTATCAGTGCAAAATAGTGTATTTACGCCGTAACTAAATCACCCCAGTCTTGCTAGGTAGTAGCGTGTTTCTTTTTCAAGTCTCACAACAGTCTTCTATGCGCGCTCCGAACAGGACGCAATTACCTATCTACGATCCTATCTCATTTACTAGGATGATATGATGCTTATTTACTTATCAGTGAATTGTAGGAAGCAATTGTTTAGAAAATTTCCAGTTGGCACTTACTCAAATAGATACAATGGATTAGAGGAGAGAAAAAAAAACAGCTATTCGAGCACGATCGGTCACGCGATTGATGGGGATGCTACAGACCTGTTTCATACGGTAACCTAATGGTTGGCGTATGGCAGTCTCATTTGGCGGCTTGTTATAGCGCACTTCTTGGTTCACTCATTCCATTGACGTTTAGTTATCTCTTTGTCCTAATGCCTAATCCAGTATTTTTTTATCACGTACTAGATGTAGCGCCCTGTATCGACTTTTCCTTAATATACTAATTGGACTGGGCAAGGTGAGACTCGCGCAGGGATATATGGTAGTGATAAGAATCGACCAAGGGCTGTATCTTTCATATAAAGTAAAAGACAAAGTTATACATTAGATATCTAATTTCCTACACGTGTCTTTTTGTTCGGGAAGGGTGAATGAGCATAAATGCAGTTAGCTGCTTCGTGACGAGATACATTTTTAGAGACAGAATAGCTTTTGCCAGATTTCACCTATACGAGGGCAGTTGTTTTTACTTACCAACCCTTACATATATTTGTATATAGTCGTTGCAAGCGGATCCGGCGGGCTTTGAAACTTAGTAGCTTTTGAACTAAATCAGCTAGAATCATGGTTTCTATTCTTTCAATTTCTTCGTAATTGTCTTGGAGTGTTAGCGGTTTCTAGCAAGCTACAAATCTACATCTGCGTTTTCATACGTAATCTCTCTATCGATGGATTTTTAAAGTAAATCAATAGTGTGATATGCTTATCGGACAGTTCCTTGTTTTAGGGAAGGGAAGCCTTGTAACCACATAAGCCTAGATCCGAAGAACAAGCGGGTTGAAGTCAACGTTCTAGATTGCTTTGCTCAATCCAGGAAATAGTTGAGTCATAGCGATGAGATTCGGCGACTGGTCCGAGGACTGCATGCCTTCGATAGACGTGCTAGCAATCCATGAGTCTCTCGAGACAGCAAATTGTATTCATTGCTTCATTTTCGGCAAATATTTCATGGTTCCTACTGTCCATTACAAGTAGTACTATCATCTTCGTCCGAACGTAGTCGACACTGCCAATGAACTCGATACATCTATAGGACGACACGTAGCGACTGTATGCTCCGGGCAAGCTTTTTTTTTTTTTTATTGATTTAAGTACTTCAAATTGCACGTAGAATATGCTACACACATTTCCAGCTGATCTGGGGTCAATTTACGGAGAAGTCATTTTTTACTCAGTTTGCGCGTTTTCAGCATTTGGCTTATCATTCTGTAACCTATTACATGTGACACACCAGTTTCGACCGAGAGAACTTGTAAATTTCAGACTTCTCAAAGCCTCCTCGATTGCTCAACGCGTTCTTATCCTTCGGATTCCGACATCTAGTCACTTTCTCGCTGGTCTTCAACAGTCCAATTCGTTTGTGAAACGTTTACGCCATTCTGATATTGTGCTTTTGCTTAAGGTGTTTTTGTCCAATGTTTCCACCAGTCCTCGACAGGTTCTATGAGACTGGAGTATTTACAGGCTAAATCTCGTCTGCTAACGATGCCTAGTTCGAAAGATACTCAATTTGTAAGTCCGCCGGATTGGCCTACTTTATATATATATATATATATATATATATATATATATATATATATATATATATATATATTATTCTATCGCACGTCTAACTGTATTATGGCACCAATTTCACGCTAGTGAATGAATTAAATATTATACATAGATTTACACTATTGTACATAGTATTGAAACGGCATAATGCGGCAAAATTGAAACTCGTAAATACTTGTTGATAACGGACGCATTCACCTGATTTAAAATTTGATCATTTAATTTAATAAAGCGTTCCGCAGATCGCCTACTCAATATTTACAGTCAATGTTCTACTGCACACATATTTCCTGTATAGTTCAAATTCGTATCTCCGACTACTGCACTTTATGGGGACATTATGTATGAGGGATAGGAGGTAAATTTATCTTGAGATTTGGCACCATTCAACTTCGTGTAACTTCTGATCGTATTGCCCTCCTTTTTTGTTTCCCCAAAGACGTCAGCCATTGGCGGATCAGGTCGTCCTAAGGTATAACAGTATGTCCAATTTAAATTTGCAAAAAATCAGCTATGTAAGCCAGCTGCTCATGACGATTAGATAACGCCTAAGATATTCATGCGGTCTGCTTGAACATTCCCATCGAAGAACCTATACAGGAATTGGAGTTTCATTAGATCAATTCGCAGTTTTTCTTTGTCGGTTCAATTCAATCACGGTTAGTCAAAAAAAAAAAAAAAAAAGAAAAAAAAAAGAAAAAACACACTTGTAATCTCATTCCGGGTAAAGCGCTTTTGCACAATACTCCATATCTACGCGGCAGATGCCGATAATCGACAGATTTGATTACCTCGGTGATAACGAAAGCTGCTTATCAAATGAGCATAGCAATTAACAAAGATCCATTCTAGCCACTAGCGACACTCGGATCCATATAGCATTTTTCTTCCCCAGATGATTGGTCTCATCCATATGCTTTGAGGGAACAAAATTCTATTACTGAACAAGGCTAAATGATATGGTCCGACAGTACAATATCCGCTCAGTTATAAGTTGCCGACGACGCTATTCCTAGACGATTATAATTCGTCTATAACTTGTTATATAGATTAAGTTTATGTGTATATTTCAATCAATTGCCTCATGTTGAGTAACCGTTATAGTGACACTAAGTGTTGTGCTGATCCATTCTTCTGCGTTAAGAACGCTGGCTGTAGCATGAACAGTGTGCCAATATAAAAGAGCGTCTAATATTAATAATACTAACTGCTGCACTAATATAAGTTTGCTATAACTTATCCGTGTGACACAGACATAATGGTCACTCCATTTTACTTGTGGCACTTATTTGCATGGCGCACGCATCTGGCTAGCTATCTTCGTAAACACAAAATACCTGGCCACCCATGCCATATTCCTCTAGATTCTTGATGATGACTTGTTATTTCCGGCAAATACATACACAACTAAGATGCTAAATATTTTTGCATTAATTAACAATTACTGGGTTGATCGCTGGGTCATTTCGAATCGACAAATATGTAATAGTTGCAATGTATAAATCTAATAATTTATATTAATTAATGATAATAATTTCAATGACAATGTTTGCTGTCGGCGGTAATCTAAATATCACTTTCATTTAGGCTTGTGCTGCTCTCGGTGAAGATTCGGCCTATGATACTATATTGTCGTAAAACAACTGATGGCACATTGGCCGACCCATCCGATTTAGTTAAACTCTTGGTTATCCTGAGGATCGTGCCCAGTGGTTGTGATCGGAGTAGGCAGGATAGCATTCACTGTAGTCGCTGAGGTAGTCGTTTTACCTCGATTGTTACCACAGTTAATGCTAGTCCCTGACGCCTGATGCTGTTGCGGATATTGCAGATCTCGCCAGGGGGTTGTCAGTGCTTGAAGACGCTAGAAAACGGATCAATGAACGTAGAACATATTGTAGAGTCGAATATTTTCTACAAAATGGGATAAAAATCGCTCAAAAATTAGAGAAGAAATAAACTTCATGTTTCATTTGTTGATCGATTATAGCAAAGGAGGGGCAAATTTTGGCTCTAGAGAACAAATTTGTGAGTGGACTTATATTTTGTGATGGCCCTACAGCTGCAAGTGGCAGTTTTAAATTCTCGAGAAACTTTTGCTCCATTCAGTAGATGACAATTTAGTATAGACTGTTCTCATAGAGGAAGAGTTAATCAACGAAGTAAGTGTCAAAACCATATATTCGGCGTAAAAGTAAATCAAAATATCAAAAATGTATGAAAAGCGCGTTCCTTCGTTCACCTGTTGTAGGGTACCCCTCGTTGTTAAAAGACCTTTGATAGCGAGGATTGGTATGCACAATACCGAAGAACCGGCCAGAAGAAAGCCCACGGTTTCAGCCCATTGCGGATAGCTATATTGTTCCTGATCGGCAATTCCTGAGTAGCCGGCAAACGAGGAGACCACAATAATCTGCCACAAAAATGTGCGCTGTTAGAGACAGTGTACCTGAAATGTGCAGCCTGTACAGCGTACCTCGATTCCTAATATGTCTCCGTGTGGTACACAAGGATTTGCACAAATGCAAAACGTGGATACTGCCTTTGGTATAGACCTAATGTACGTTTATAACAGAAGCAGATAGATTAAATACATCAACCGACTGGAGTAGTTGTTCGGTTCCTTGTGTCATACCAAAATAAATATGGGTGCCATAAACATCCAACAAAATTTCCAGTATAGCCCTACATCGCGGCCGAGCATCTCTCGAATATCTTCTGAGAATCTCCGGATACCTACAAGCAGAAGGAACGTGAGCAAAAAGAATATGAAATAGGTTTCAGCAGAAAGCATTTTATGGTTAGTTTGGTTTACTCAATTGAAATAGGCGAGATCTAAGTTGCAATAAAAACTAGTGACCATTTGGCTCATGTAGGCGACGGCGACGCTCAACTAAAACATTCTTTTCTGGACCTTTTTGCCGAGTTCAGTTTGTAAATAGTTCGGAAGTTGCGAAATGGAACTACGTAGATAAACGGTAACAATGATCACACTCTGGCGTTTCATACTGAACTTATGAAATCTTTAAGAAGAGTCTCCGTTTGAATAGAACTATTTCTGAAATTGGCTTACCGAAATACAAACAATAATTCGGATTATATATATATATACACATACTGAGAAAAGTCATGGCTCAGCGTTTCCGAGTCACAACTTTTATGATCGGGAGTTGAAATCGAATTGACGGCTCACTGATTTACTCCAAATTTGTAGCCATATCTTCCTCAAAAACCTATTTTATCTCCAAATATTACATAAAGGTCCCACAATGATTCTTACCATATATCCAAGATACGGCAACCGCTTCGAAGAAAACAGCAATTAAAATTGAGTATGTTGCAGCAAATTGGTCCAATAGATTTACGACGTATAGACCCCCCTGAAGTGGTATCAGTGTACAGATAATAATAGCGTTAGTTTTTAAATTATTTAATCTATTCTTGGAATGACTAGCGTATTTCTTGTACGTTTAACTAAGGCGTGTAGTTATCATCATTATTATGAGAAGAAAACCTTTTTCCGGCTATAGACCTAAAACAGTGTTCTTTTTTTTTGGGTTTTTTGCGACCTTTGAGCTCACACTCAAAAAACGCTGACCGTCCACTTAATAAACCGTAATAAATTCGAATTAATACTTTTCCTTTTATGGATAATTGTCTTACATTCGTTTTTTTCTAGCTCAAAAATTATGAAGCTCACAGAAAGCTGGTCTTACGCTTTGGTAGAAGATTTGATTTAACCGTACATTCATTCGTTACAGTAAACGGTTACGAAAAAAAACAGATCTTCAGAAGATATACCTCGGTACAACTGAGAAGCCCAATACAATAATAGAATGAAAAGAGCACTGCAACAAACAGCTCGCGATGTTTCTTCAGGAGCGGAAACTCGTCTCCAATACCCGTTATAACTGCCTCGCTGCCGCCAAACTGAAAATGTTCGTCAAAGAAAAATCGAGAAATTCCTCAAAATGATAGGCGAGCGCTAGTGTTTTTGATGAAAAGTCATGCTAGCAGGATAATGATATTCATACGTGCGTGCAACGCATTTATGGTGTTTTTAGGATTTTTTTTTTTTGAACCGCTTAACTATTGCCTTAATGCAGAGAGATATATTTAATTATAACTAGAAAATTATATAAAAGATGCCATATAGAAAATGGAGTGTCTACGTGAAAATGCCGCTCAATGTGCGAAGTATCCAAGCGGTCGGATTTCACGGAACGCGTGAAAGAATAGAACTTAATTTTTTCTTTCGCAGTACTTTAGGTTACGGTAACGCATTGGTGCATCTGATTCTTGTTTGTAGCGTAAAAACTATGTCACAACTACGTATTCGCTATATTGCACGTCCTCGCTAACCTATATCGTGAAAGACTACAACTTACAGAACTGTCAAGCCCAATAGTGAGCAGCATCAGGAAAAATATCAAAGAGAAAAATGCTGGTGAACCGGGCATAGCGGCAATTGCTTCTGGATAAACTACAAAGACGAGGCCTGGTCCCTCGGTCGCAACGTCTTTAATATCCACACCGGCCCTGAAAACCCACAGCAGATAGCAAGTGTACATATATACGATGAGCAGATTTTTTTGCAAATAGTTGTAGCAACGCATTCCTTACAGGCGCAGCTCGTAGGTCAGACATAGACACGCGTCTAAAAACAAATGCGTAGAATCCTGCGAAAACTCAGATCAACCTGTCATTCTTTTTGCTGGATTAGGCTTTAAGTTACTAGAAATGGTTAGATATATTGCGGCCAATGAACCCATTCAAGTTTCTCCCAGTGGGTCAACTAGGCATTTTAAGAGACAAAATATCAGACAAAAAATCATTCAAAATTTTCTTACGCCAGAGAGAACATTACTCTAATAGTTAGTTGATTTAATGAGTCAGTCTGCTTCATAGCTTTTTTTTTTTTAGCTTTTTGTAGTGCAGTGGCAACCTGTAATGTTTGCCGGTGGATGCAAACTTAACAGCTCCGCGCCACCTGTAACGCCCTCCCCTCTTCCACACAAAAACACAAACACTCTCACTCTCTATCGTTCGAACAGATTAGTCAGCGTAAATGCTTGCTATAAAACGAATAGCGCCATTCGGATAAATTAAAATCAAAGGTTTACGAACCGACGGGCCATAAAGCCAAGAACAGCAAAAATGACGAATCCAGCTAGGAATGAAGTTGTTGAGTTGATCGCCGAAGTAACAATGGCATCACGTAGCACATTATTATGAAACTTGTTATAGGATGAGAACGCCAACAGAACTCCGAAACCGGGACCCAGAGAGAAAAATACCTGTTAAGTATACACATTAACTCGTTTTTATTTCTATGTCTTGTAATAGGTACAGAATTTTTAGTACACGTTCTGCCTTAGAAACAGCGTACGACCGTAGCGTACACACTGATACCACTTTCAAGTCAGAACATTTTTATAATAAGGGGTCATTTTAATTTAAGGCTAATTCAAAGATTCAGTGAAAAACCGGATAATATTTGTATTCTGGCGTAAAAATTTTTACAAAGCTAGAGGCCAGAGGTATATATAGGTAGCTAAATGAATATTACAATTAATCCTTAGCTTTAAACTTTTGCTTTGTCATCGACTCAGGAGGGACTGAATAGAGACTAGGTCCTTAATTACCTACCTGAGTAGCGGCGTCCACCCAAACCTCTGAGGTTTTTAAAACTGCAAACCTTGGCGTCAGGTAAAACATAATCCCTTCATAGGCCCCGGGCAGCGTCACGCCTCGAATGAATAGAACGAAGAGCACCACGTAGGGAAATAACGCCGTAAACCATACCACCTGTAATAGATAAACATTAAATAGAAACTAGGATTTTAGTACTTATGTGAAAAGAAGCAAAACATTGTTTTGCTTCTTGTTGCAATAACTTGCAACTAAGTTGCAATAACTTTGTTGTATTAGAACCTTCGGACAGGAACATTCATAAAAGTTCCGGGAGACGTTTGCACCTTCTCAAATAAAACCTGAGTCAATTTGTCGAGTGATATTTTTTACAGGTCAAGAGCCCTCTCTGTCTGCGTGTTCTCAAGAACAATACTGATCGGCTCTATATTCACACATGTCCTCCCGGCCAGCGGTGTTAGCCAGAAGCAGCGTTTGCCGCCGAAGAAAAAACCATGCCAGTGTCGGAAGTGGAACCGCTGGAGTACTTCCGTCATGCGAGTTACTCAGGACACAGTAGGACACCCGCTAAGAATCCCCTAGACCTACTGTTGTTCTCCAGCAGGCCACGGCAGATCATCTGGTTTAACGAAATCATCATCGAAGCGATGACGTTCATCTACGCTTCTCTCCACTCGCGTGTAATATAATTTTTCGCCGTCTGTCCAAGAATCGGCCTCGGCAAATCCTGGTGTCCCGCACCCGAATATCGCTTAGGTTCTTTTGTGTTATTTGACTTCTTGGCTTATTCGAGCCATCCCGCAGTCAGCGACATGATGCGAGCGCGAGCCAAATCTATGCCATATCATAGGGCCTCGGAAGACCCGTAGCCGACCACATCGCCCATCTGCCAATAGCTTATTCGGAGAAGATATGGGCTTTGGGTACTTCCGCTGCCGAAAAGTCACTGACATACTGTTTCGAGTTCTCCGTAACGCAACATTCGCTGGAACTTGTCTGGCCATTGGATGCTATGTTCGCTGGAATTGTTGGAAGTAGCGATGGGTCTATCTTTTTCAAACTACAATCACCCAGCCAGGTGGCACTTGACGGAGCGGAGCTCAGTGTCTATCGACTCGCGTACAAAAACTGGTAGCTACTCACAGTTATTAGAGGTCTTCGAGATTAAGGCATAAGCGTTATGATTGAACAAATGAGGCGATCGTGAACGCAAACACTGTCGAATTCCGTCACATGTCAACAACAGCCATTTTTCCTTAAATCTACCAACAGTGATAGCGTCTTAATGCCAACACTAATTGTCGTTCATCACCAATAAAAAGTAACCATTTAAACTTATCATTTCTGTTGTAAGATGTATCATACGCCTTATTAGGATATCACGTTGCTGATTCTAGAATCAATGACCTTACGTTCTTATCAGATTATTATTATTATCATCGGATTTTTTGAGGACGGTCCGAGCTTTACTAGCTACCTAGAGTATACCTTTCCTGAGGTAGATATTCCCTTCCAGAGTGAGAAATAGCAGATTAGATAGACGGCAAGGAGGCACAATGCGTTGTTCCATTTTATTGATCCAAGATGATCCAATCCAATGCCCTCATCCAGGTGGTAGAGCTCGTGCCTAGAAAAAAATTCAACATCGTCAGGAAATTTGTGTGTACATATATAGATATTCTATAAATCATATGTATAGAATAAGCGTTTGCGTTATCCGAAAAATTCAAGACACCGTGATTCATTTACTGGTAATCCGAATTAAACAACAGCAGCAATTTTGGGGTCTAATACCACAAATGTTTTTTTTTTCTATTCGAACACCCGCACAGTTAGAGTGGACCGGGGCTCCATACAGCGCAGCGCCAAACACTTAAGCCTAAAGAAAATGTAACGCATTTACTTTTTTATTTCTACTGTTTCAAGAGTTTCTCTTAATTAATTTTCACACTATTTAGGTTAATTTTTAAATTTACACATTTGCAGAAGGTCTATGTCGTGTATTAATCGAAATGAAGTAACTAAATAACATCGTACGTTCATTGAAGTTCGGCACTGGTTACTAATGAGCGTAACGGTGTATACTTATTGAGGTTATAATTTTTCGTGTTTTAAATAATAAATTTGTGTTTTTTAAGGTGTTAATGGGTGCTTCTATCACATTACGTTTATCGACAATGTAAATGTGGCATATTACAAGTTTAGAAAAAGTTCAAGTTGTGAACATCAGTATTTGAAATACTTATTCTAGCATTCGAATTTCCTATCAGAAGATATTATTGTACGTTTCTATGATTTTTAAGTCGTATTCTCCTTAATATCAGCCGTTAAAAGCCTATAGATTGCCACAAAGACCAATCGAGAGGCGAATAGCTAAAACGAAATTGAATAGACAGACAGGCTAATGTCTGTCTGTTTTCGTTTTAACTCAATTTTAGCACCATTTCATACAGAGCGAACCATTCGGATCAGCAAAAAATCGAAAAAAAACACCAAATGCAGGTAAACTGTCACTTGCTCAATTTATGTACCATTGACCTATTTTGCTACACCCACATGCACCACGATGCTTATAAAACCCTCTGAGAGATGACGGGTCTGTCCTGGGGCCAAATCAAATCTCTTATCTAACTTAGTACGTGTCTTATCAGTGAGCTTTGCCCCAGTAAGAGGTGAAGCATTGCTGCAATAACTCATTAGTTCACGTCAATTAGCTATCACTAGGCCCAAAATGGCGGAAGAGTAAAGCCGCTTATAATGGACTGTTGGGTGGCAAGGCGGCGAGCCAGCCAAACAGCAGATCCGTGCAAACAGATCTCTTTCGAGATCCTAGCATCACAGTGGTCCACTGAAAGAGTTCGACGTAATTGATCGCTTAGTCAGAGCGAAAAAGGTAGGATCTCGCTAAGGGCGAAAGTTTCAGTCAGTTAGCCAGAATAAATAGTCTCGGGCGTATTGTGTTAAAGACTAGCGTTCTAAGAAATACACTGGAGCACATAATTATGTGCCACACGTTCTCTGTGCTATACTTGCACCTGTCTACTCGAGATGCTTAATACCAACGTGAGGGCTATTTGTATTTATAGTAAAATCTAAGGATGGTAGGCGTCTTTGTCCGACGAAGCCTGCCGTGCATGTTCTGCTACATGTGCTGAAGCCAATAGCCGCAGGCGAAGTCGTCCATGTAGTCACAGACTCTTCGTAACAACGCGGCCTTCACGTAAGGGGTTTCAAGAATCCAACAGCGTCCAACCACAAATCGTAAATCAAAAGTTCTCGAATAAATGGACGTAGGAGACATAACTAATATCTCTCGTGTTTGTGTTCGGTCAAACGGTTCGACATTATTTTAGGCGACTGTCTGCTTTCAGGATGAGATAAAACGTGTCTACGCTCGAATTCGAACTTAGACCACCACGTGTTCGCAGGTTTGACAGGCAGATTCGTCATGTACTGCACGGCGACTAAGAAATATGACTAGGCGACAGAAGATAGCGTTCATTGAAGTACTTCGGATTGTTTTCGATAGTTTTTGGGTCATCCGTGATCAACTGCCACTACATATTAAATTCGCAGACTTTTTTCACGGTTTAAAAAAAAAAGTTTTTTAACTAGTCTACTTTAATTTCAGTTTACCTACATGGCAGCAAGATTTCACAGCATTTTATAGCTTTTTAAGAGAAAGTCGCTACGAATATAAAGGTACTGTAAAATCGCATTGGGCTGGTAAAAAACCTATGGTGAGGAGACGCATGAGTGGCAAAGTAGGTTAGTAAAGCTTGATTCGAAACTTATTTCTTCACAGACAAAGATGAGTTATGTATATTATAGCAAACTATTTCGTTGGAACAACGAATCGGAGTTTTTATTCATCAGTTAGTTAATTATATTTATGAAACACATGACATTATTGACATATGGACACACACACACGCGTATGAAATTTTATTTAATTTAAATCCCAGAATCTTTCGAGATGCGTGTATATATATAGTACTTTGTATTAAACAGTGTTCTCGCAGAAAGTTGGGCAGATGGGAAAGAGAGATGAAGGTATCTCCTCTTGAAGTGATCCTCACAATGATTGTTATTGTGAAACATTGCGAGATTTACCACGTAAATATAGTTCCCTTTGACATACAATTTCAGTCGAATAGGTTTCGCATGTAATAGTGGAAAAAGTACAAAATATTTTCTTCAGAAAACTTCGAGTAAAGCCCTAATATTACAGTAGGCAGTACGGCCGTAATAGAAAACAGCTGCAGTTATTACGACCTACTAGACTGAGTGTGTTTGGCAGTACGTGTTGACAGACTTGCCTCTTCTCCTGATCTCGCCATAGCCCGTTTTCGGTGACTGACTATATTTACCTATTAAGATCTTCGGCCAGGTGTAGTCCAAAGGCCCTCTCATTGTGCGACCGACGGAAGGCCGGCCTAACATGCCATAACCCGCTAACGAAGTAAATAGGACGAACAGGTTGTTGTGACATCACTCGGGTGTTCGGTGCTTCTTTGTACCCGATACATGCGTCGACAGGTACACGCTATCAGCTCTAAGAGGCACTTTCACAATAGACAAACCAGATAGAGATTGAATCCGATCTCACAAAATGATTTAATTGTATCAACCGAAGAGAAGGGTAGCGATAGACGTATGACTCGTATGACATGTGATGCATATGTATTGTTATTACCTGTAGCGGAGTTATGTGGGGGAAATCTGTCCTATGGATACGCGACAAACGGTAGACCAAAAGGAAGGATTAACTGTTATAATGTTTGAGTGAAGTAAGTGCTATAATACTATGCTATATAATAATAAAGTGATAAAATAAGAATATATTACACAAAGCTTTGGGAATTTCTCATTTAAGCTGAAAAGTGCCTGTTGAAGTATTAATATTTCAGAAGCAATTCTAGTATCATTGAGGCGCCACTTTTTCTTTGCTCCGGTGCTAACCTCAATACAATATCCTGTTGCCTTTAAAAATGAATTATTCTCGCAGGCCAACTGAGCACCGACCAGGCCCTGGCTGGTAAGCAACGACGGTGTGAGGACGGTCCAAGCCACATGCATTCACCTAGATAAACAGGGCCGCTTCTACAGCAATTCTGTTTCGCTTACTATCCATGATTGCTTCTAGACTCTGTTGTTTCCAATTCGGCCTATTTTTGCCATTAGCTACACACGAGACACAGTAACTTTCCACTCTCACCCAAGTATTTTAACGGATCTCCATTTGATCGGCTGACTTTCAGCTGGTTTTGCCCCGACGCCACGACCTCGACTAAGTTAGATTAGGTAGTCTTGCGGGACACCTTTGTCTGGGGCTTAACATTTCGTTAAGGCAAAGCCAATTTAAATGATCAACCCAGTGTTCCCTTTCAATTAGCAACAGGATGTAAAAGAGCAGCTTCAAAGAGCACTTTGAAGCCGGGCATGCGCGTCCCGGGCACCCTTTTTCTGCAGTAGTCAGTTGAAGCTAGCAAACGAGTTAACAACGCCAACAAGGAAGAGAGATGAGGAGCCCATCGTCCCAACCGTGCCAATCACCCATTGGTACTGGGTACTCAGGCTGCACGTGGCATTACCGAGTGGCTGTAGCAGCAGAAAAGGACAACCATTCGTAGTCCTTGCTTCTGATCTTAAGTACATAGCTAGGTAGGCAAAACGACATTGGGGCAATTGCTACAAAGAATTAGGTGGCATTTCGAATAGCTCTCGATTGCAAAAGCAAGAGTAGATTACAAGCGTGATCAGCGACACGATCACCAATGGGGAAGATTCACCTAAAATTAAACTCCGGCAATGCTATTACATGTCAATGTACCTTTTTGTTCTATTACAGTGAGGCTTTGCCACACGGGAATCTAGGCGAAAATCGTATGTTATTTGCCGCATTGCTTAGAATTCGTAAACGCAATCCACTTGAACAAATTTGAATTAATCTCGACCTTAACATCCAAAAAAACCTAAGGTTAGGTGTGTAGCCTAATGAAGCGTTTCAGGAATGTGTGTAGATATTTTCCATATGAAAGCAGCCATTTTTGTAGCACATACATTATGTACTGAAACAAACAAAGCTGAATCTCAAGAACTGTGTCTCAGCAGATTTTATAGACAGGCCATAATTCACATGAAAATTTCAGACGACCTAGCTCGATGCGCGAAACATATTTGTATTTAAAATATTTACACCCAATACAGATGTAGGCGTCTGTATGTTTGGCTTACACTCTAAATACCCCCTCCTACTAAAGTCACTAGCAAAAAATATTGCAAAAATTTCGAAATTGGCTTCTAATGTTAAAAGACGCGTAAAACATCCGGTGGTGCAACAGTTACCTGCAAGTCACCTCACAACGACTGGTTTACGCGCCACCTGACGCATCCAGTCGCTTACTACACGATTAATACCTGAAACGGTTTACCGCTATAATAGAATTCGAGCAACTGCCAATGGGGGCGTTCGTTAGATGTAAGTTATTGGAAGGCAAAAGTTAAAGATGTGCTGTGCATAGACCAAAGCAAGTAGTACTAGAGCTTAAGCGATCATCATGTGCCTCGATCGATCCGTTCCTACTAGCAGCTTCAAGATTACTTAAGCCACGTCGGCGCTGATGAAGATATCCGGTACATTTCTCTATGACAATAATAACTGGGGAAAAAAACAACTGACTGTCGTAACGAACCGGAGTTCTTCAATACGGTATCATTCTTCCTCCTGCCTTCTAAGATCTTCGATCATGAGCTCAATTGGTTCGCAATGTCGATTAATGATCCTCACGCATGAGTAAGATTAGACTGGTAGCTTGGCCTTCTGGGCCTATCTACCGATATAATTATAATCCAGGAGTTACTTTTCCAAACTAGTATAGCTATTACGTCATTCGGAACTCTCGTGTATAATTGCCTGCATTGGAGTAAAGTCTTAGGCGTCTGATGGAAAACTCAATAAGGATTACAGTATGATCAGGAATGCTGGAAATCTGAGTTCTGCTCCAAAATATTCAAAATTATTTTTCTGCAGCAAAAAAAAGCTCTCAATTTGGCGAGTTTATATGCAGGTAACGTTTGTTACTGTTTCTTACTTGTTTTATCCTAACTTGCATTTCCTTATATGCAAACATTATATATGGTTGCAAAAGTTTTCCTGTGTCCTACATACGGCTACCGCTTTTATCAAGTTACAACGTTTTATCGATACCTTGAACAACCTGGTTACGTCGAGTAGCAAGGAACAACATTTTCGACAGCTGATTTATTTAAAATTTTCTTCCAAGGCCGCTAATAGGCTGTGAAAGAAATTTCGAATATTCGTCTCGTGGAAAAACTAATCTAACTAACAATAATCCTTCTTTAATAGTGGCTCAAAGTTTTCCACAAAAAATTAAACAACTCAAATAGAGTGGGTTCTTTGGGTCGAAAATACCATATTTAGACTTGCAAACTTAATTTTGAGCGGTATCCTCAGCTGTAGAGTTCCCGTCGTCTACATCACACTAGTCCCAGGTCGTTTTAGCAGGTCCCTTATCTCACTAAAAAAAAGGATAGAAGTTGTCGAATATCCTGCGTTGCGTTATAAAACATATCCATCTTTGAAGTTCGGACGCAAACAAAAATTTATAATCTGAAAAATTTCTAATGAGGCTGACGAGAGCAAGTTTGTACAGCAAATGATTTTCTGAGAATAGGCAGCCATTGAAACACGTCTATTACTTATGCATCAACTTTATAAATAAACGTGCGTTCGTGCGTGACACCTATACGGAAACGCCGTCAAAATGAGATAGTCGTAATAGAATACACTTAAACTTGCAGGACGTCAAACAACGATACGTGACTTATTTAATACTACGACATATATTGGCTTTGTAGACTCGTAGGGGCTGATCCTTGTCCTTTGTCGAGGGCAAAACATCATTTACTTTGCCAATGGGTATTGTGACATCAAGGCTCTATGGTCAATTTTGTAAACAAAAATCCCGTTTTGAACATAGAAGCTCTTCAAGCATGATCTGACGCAAAAAGAATATCCCTCGTCTGCTGCGATCCGAGTGACAGTAACTCTTAAAGTTTCAAAGAGAATGCACCTCGACATGACGCCTTACGATCGATATTGAGCATAGACCACGCACGCCATCTTGGAACCACGAACATCTCTAGCTCTAGATAGAATACATATACTTTCAACGCACTTTCTATTGGTTTCACTGAAACATTATTTTCGAATCGAGTTGTAAGAAAGCAATGATGTCTGTTCAGCCTTAATTATGTCTAGGTCTAGAAAGGATTTTGATCAAATTATACATTTGACGATACTTTGGGCATTGTTTAATCAAGTCACGTCAGTAGGCAGGACTGCTTCTTATCGTTTCTCCTTTACTTCTACATGATCAGGTTCCTACAGATTATGAGATGGCTGACAACTCTCTGTATACAGGACGTCAACAAAATTCATGACAATATATTTATAGCATTTCATAGGCTAGATTCACAATAGGTAGAAGAACTACACATAAGCATATGAGCGCAGAGATACGATGACCGTGGGTAATAGGGTAAATAAAGTTTGATTTAGCGAAGTTCGGATCTGTGATAAGCACAATGAAAGGGACATTTTTTTTTTGCTTCTAACACGCATGAATACATATAACATTGGTATGCTATAGGTACCTCTAACCTTTGCGTTTAGCCATGATTCGCTATAGTCCCAGCAGGTCTGCGGAATCTCTGCTCAGTTTACGTAACAGACATTTTTCCTCAGGCTGGCCGAGGCATCAAAATGAGGCATACGTGTAACCTTTATTGCAGTTTTGGCATAGGAAGCCGTGGATGTTCGAGACTTCGAGTCATCAGCTACGGCACTAAATTTTTAGCAGCACACATTACTAACTGCAATACATTTTATGCAGGCCTACTACAAGCAATTGGCCATCTTATCTTACCATCTTCGTTAAGCACACTAGGTATATGAGGTTACTTCTACTTGTGTCGAAAATGGGGCTGCGTGGGCCCCACAGAGGAAACGCCTTCCCAAGCTGCAAAGCTGAATTTAATACGCTGCCAAGAAAATAGGTTAAGTTTGCCCCAGCTTCATTTTAGTCTATGTCACGAGATCTAACAGCTCAACAGATGGTCGTGTTGTCACGTCCAAGTTACCATACATTTGCCTCGTAACAATCCTCAATGATACTCAGATTTCTCTTTCGACATTTATATCTTCAAGAGAATGATATGTGCGTAAGGAGTTGTGTTTGAGATAATACGAGAAAAGTCGTTCTGGCTAAATCGCTTCTAAGGTTTTCTACCTGCAATTAGGTTTACAGTGTAGAATGGCGACAGAAGTAATTGGTACTTGAAGCTATGGGCTCCGCTCGGCAGAGCGCTACTGCATCAATTGCATTATAAGAAACAGAGAAAATCGAAAGTGATAAACAGCTACATGGTCACTACTAGTACCTTTCCCTTTATTTAAAAAAAATGTCGTACATCGGATTACATTGTTAACTTCCACCATCATTAACGTATGGAATCGTACATGAAAAACTAACTATGTACAATTCGAAGATGCATTAAGCCCTTCATAAGCAGACCCTGCTCACAGAATCACCCAATTATGCTAAAACTTCTGTTTATTACTGTTGATAAATGGAAGCTCTAATGCCGGTACGCTTTATTTTTTTTTTTTTTTCCATTAATAAGTGAGTATTTCAATTGTGAGTGAGCTTTCTTTTGCATATATTACCACTTTCTATTGACTGTGAAGTCAAATAGTCGTGTAGCAAAATTCTTAAACTTTTAGCAAAACAGATAAAATGAAGCCATTATCTATGTTGACGATAACCGTTTGCATTCTGAAAAGGTGCAACACGCATAAGTTGGTTACAACACTTGGAAATGTGTGTTTAAATTAAACACCCTTCGACTTACTTGAAGTACTCGTTGGCTGGACTAGTATAGCCATCCTCACTGCTACGAGCTTGCGATGAACAATTGGCTGTATTCCACCTTTGGCCACACCTCGTCCAGGGCAGATCCCCACCGGTTGCTGTGAGCGACATGAATGATACTAGGAAATAGTGCAATGCCCATGCAATGATCACGTTATAATAAAAATCGACGTAGAGAGCAATCAGCACGACTGTATAACCTACGCCTGAAAAAGGAAATTGCAAAAAAGCATCAGAAACAAAAATTTTCGATAAGTTTTTATTTTCTTTGCTTCACTTTCGCTTTTTCTGTCAGTCTGCAACTTGATTGTAATCATCTACGTGAAATCTTTTCGTTGATACAATATAAAACTTTTCCTCAGTTGGGTCTAGTATCGTGGACCCGTGTAAAGGCGCCCAACAAACTTCAGGGAAGGGTGATAGAATTTCGTAAATAAAGTATCCTCCAATGTCCTCCATTATTTTGGCGCCAAAAATTTAAAAATGCGACTGAATAGTTTTATCTGGTACAGTACTCCGTTATGTACGAAGTACTGTGTTGATCGAAAACCTTGTCAGGAAATACGCATCTAATCGAAGGTCTGATCTTTTTCGTTATCATTCACTCAAAGTCAATTAATCAAAAATAATCAGTCGCAGTGATACAACGCATTGTGACGTCGCTGAAGAAGAATAAGATGTTATGGACATTTTTCTTAGGTAGCGAATATTTCCGGCCGATGAAAATTTCCTCGGCGTATAAAAGTGTTCCGTACACATGCTCTGCGCTTATAAATAGAAGACGCTAAGCCGAACGTCGGCAATGGTGAAGTAACAGCTTTTCTGAACCCAATCAAACGATCCTCAACCCCCGCGTTCAAGTAAATATCCATCCGTAAATAACTTGAGTTGACAGCTTTAATTGAACTAATTCAGTGAATTAATTGCGAAAGTAGTCCCTAATCCACTCTGTATAGGGAAAAATATTGCTAGAGGATTCGCTTATCGACTGGTGGAATATATTACGCTATATTGGCTGGTGACATTTTAATGAAGGCAAATGAAAAAGCCGGGTCAAATCTCTACGTAGATTCTTCCCCTTAATCCCTGCCCATAATTGCAACCGCTGTAAGTTTATAAGTTAAACCGTGTTCAGTAAACTTTTTCCTTGCTTAATGGAACACTGTTAATAATTTTTATTTAGTCGTCTTCAAATGAATATAAAAGATAGGGCAATGAGCATTATTTGTTCCCAATCAAGGTAGCTTTCTTTACACAATCGCTCACTTTACATTTTCATAAATTTCCACCTTTAGCATAGTCCTATTAAGAATAGTACTATCCTTACTGAGATTTATCACCCGATAAGGTTCAACTTGAAGTTTCGATGCTAAGAGAAGATACGCTGTGAATTTAATGAGATCCAGTATACAAGATTAGAGCCTATAAAAATCAAATGCCACAGAAGTAGCTTATACCAGTGAAAATCTAAATATATACGACCTTGTCGCTGTTTCATCGTGACGCACATGATCCGACCTCGGAAAAAGGTTCGCCTTCGATGACTGATTTTTGACCTACATATAACAAAAGTACAATGATAAAGCTCTCATTACGAGAGACGTTCGGAAATGCGAAGATCCCTCAAGGAAAAAATGTTTCTCCCAATCGGCCTCAATGATAAGAGCTAGCCTAACTAAGATAAAACAGCTTAACACTGTTATATACTTTGTTGCATGTGAATTTTGTTACATGTTTCCCTTCCGATCCCCGCTCTTCATCTAAAGGCAGCGATGTGCTGACTGTAAACGTTGGAGTATGTTCACGCAGATCTAATTATCAGCCGCTCATCTATAACTAACGTTCTTTGCCGCTTCCCAAAGCCTTTTCTTTACTATGGTTGAATAACTTGAGTGCCCTGCAAGGATCTTGTTTGCTGTTCAAGCGTCAGTCTAATTGCAAATAATTAGTATTTATGAGACACAACGGCTAACGTCTTCGGCGAGTAAAGTCGAAATATTCGCACAAGAAGAACCTTCACCGATGTCCTTGTGTGCTGCCGGTAGGGACATCTCAAAGAGGTTAGCCTCAGCCAGTGGGATGAATATAGCTGCTCCACCAGTACAAGATGACTAAAATGTACTATTAGAGCCCCAATAGTAACAATAACGATTCACTGTGCGACAGTATTAGGACACGATGGGACAGCAGCCGCTTCAAGACACACTTACGGTGTTTATCTCTTTAGTACGAAAGAAGACTACAGATACAGCCAAAATATTTCACCGAGATGATGAAGGAGCTCACTTGCGCCAGGGCGGTAATTACATCAGTTTCACCGTGCAAAAAATGCTACTAAAATGTAAAATGTTTGGCTTTTCGGAAAACAACAATGGCCTAAAGGTAAAAATGTTTTTTGTTTTCTCAAATGTATAAAAATTTACATATTATTAATATTAAGCCCATGAGCTTGAAATTCGGCAGGGGTATTTGTTGTCCCGCGGTACACAAAGCAGCGACCTTCGACTTTGGAATTCGTCAAAACAACTTTAGGTTCGACTATTTATTCCCGACTTAGGGGCATACTAGCCTCAATTGTTTTAGATAAATACGTACATCACAGAATATAGGCGAGTCGTACCCTCATCTTTTACAGTAGAGTAGTATAAGAGCAGGTGTTTCATTGCAAGCATGAGACTGCTATTTGTATCGATAAAAACGATAATCTACTATCTCGCGTTGTCCGTGGCGATCAATATAGAACTAGAGGCGCTTACATTTGAATATCCTTAAGCTTACCATCGCTGGGAGTTGTCTTTAACGTCAAAGCTTTCTCTTTGATTAACCAGTCCGGACGATACTTCTGTTCTCTAGCCAGAACAACAATCTCTAGCCAGATAAAGCAATAACACAAGATGAAAGACGCGCCAGCTGCATAGTGAGACGATCATAGTACCAGACAATGATGCCTGCCCATTGTTTCCTTCGACGAGTCCCCCTTAGACTCCTCGGCAGGGTCCAGTCCAATTCGGCTGAATATGTACGTTTTTTTTAAATATGTTAATATATAATGCGAAGAAAGCGCAGTAAAAAATATCTTACGATGGGACAGAATAAACTATTCACTTGTTTTTAACTTTCGTTTGTTTTCAAATGATTTTCGTCATTCATAGTTGTGGCTATCGCTTTAATGCTGTTGGTTTTAGAAAAAAAATTGACCGCTGTCACTACTGCCGAAGAGGAAATCGTTTAGATTCATACTCTGCTTTGACCTTATGAAGAGCTGATAACACCTACACGCTATAAAGTTTCTGGCCAATTACAAAGGGTCCTATTTGCATGCCGTATAAACTAATTTAGAAAATATAAATACACTTCCTCCTAATGCGTCAAAATCCTAATCTAAGCTTCTATCGGTTTAAAAAGTTTCAAGTTATGTTTTTTTAGATATCCTTGGACTCGCAAATTGTATGCGCTATCAAGTTTTGCTTATATCTAATCTAAGTATATTCACTTCTTTTGATCTGGCTTAGCTCACACACCTTTTGAATAGCGTGGCACCACACTTATATTTGTACTGCCCAGGTCAAAAATCGATGGGGAATAAGTTATCTCGTGTGATAACACGACCACTGCACATTAAAAAGAAATGTTCCGTTTCATCAAATGGTTTTTGATAGCTCAGATGATCACGGTTTCAATTCCGGATCCGGTCCAAGAACTATTTGAGAGGTGACAGATACGTGATACTATGGGTGACACCCTTATCAGCGGCAGTAGCCGACCCAAAAGCACAAAAAAACTTCGTAGATTTTCTGCACGCTGAACTAGGATGGTTTAACGTGGGCTAAGCCCAAAGCTGCTCGCTTTGATCGACGACAATGACAATACAATGAAAGCAAGCTGAACATGGATAGCAATAGCGGCAGCGGGCTCATAGACGGTTTTTATTTGAGATAAGCTTACTGCTGCTTGAATCGGGGGAGCAGAGCGCCAGGGACGGATGGAAAAGGTATAAAGCGAGGAGAGGGGGGCGGCAGTGCCTGCCGGAACTACAGGCGAATAAAGGGTCAGGGAACGGATCAGGATTAAGGATGATGATGTCGTTCTAAAGAAGAGGTAGGGGAAGTAGTGAACGCGGTCAGAATGAAGCTATTACGCCAGCGGCTGGACCAGGATCAGAAGGGCTGACCAACGCTAAGAGGGCAGAGATGGGAGTCAGTATGTAAGTTAGTATCCTGAACCAACGTGGACTTCTCCAAGTTCGCTCATCGTGCTCCCTATCAAGGCCTGTTCCGTTTTTAACATGTTTATTCTATATATATCGACATTTTGGCCGATTTACAATTGATCTATGCACATATTGATGATGTGACAGTGATTATAGTTTTTTCTGTGTACGATTTATTCAACCACATTTTAGTGTTTGTATTTTCTATTTAGCTTTTTCTTATTTTTGAATTACTGCGGTTGCGTAAATTATTACCTTTAAGCAGTGGCACGAGACGACCCCAACAGGTAATTGCGCCTTTCCTGTGAAACTGGCCCAGCACGAGCTCCATAAAGAACAGCGGGATACCCCCAACGGCCAGCATGATACAATATGGAATTAAAAACGCTCCTGTAATCAAAAGATTCATGAGGGTTATAATAGCCCTAATGGGTCAGGCTTATCACGAATGCTCTCTATGCACTGAAACGTAATCTACGTAGTAAGTGGGACTATTCACGTCCTGGCTACCCAAAACGAGGACCGGTAACTGCTCCTTCCTACTGAATTAGTAGAAACTGTTGTTGTTGTTAGATTTCACTGACTAGAGAAACATTTAGCATGACTGCACTGTCTCATGATGTAGGAGGCCTCTAAAAGATTTTTTTTTCTCTCATACGAGCCGTGAAATTTGAATCCGGATCCTTATATAGTCGTAGTGCCTATTACAGAAAAGAAACACTAAATTTTTAGCACCTAATGCGTGAACTACATTGTTCGTAACAGATAAAGGGAGGCTGGTAATCAAGGACGGTAATACAAAATCACACAAAGCGTCGCTAAACGCTGAACTAGAAAATGTTTGTTGCTGGAATCTAGCGCCTGCACAGTAGCCACCAGAGTAATCCTTGTTAAGCCTAAAGAGGCATTTTTCCTGTTATAATTTTGTATCTGTCCTGCGATGAAGTGTAGACGGCCTATATGCTTGCTACAGATTTGAGTATCTGTATGATGCTTGCCCATGTTTAATTGTCTTTCGACCTTTTCGAATGTTGATCGTATCGTAGATTGTAGATCGTGTGCTATGCGTCATATCCATATTACATTCGATTTTATACCAATAAAGAAAACTGTGCGGTAAACAACGTAACATTGTATCATGCCGCGATGTCAACCCTTTCGGAACTTGGACTTTGCTAGCCTCTCGGCTAGCAGACATCTGTATGTAAAACCTTACTTTTTAACGATTGTCAAGGACCCATGTTCCGCTCAACCTGAAGATCTAAAAGTGGCTCCCTTTTTTTACCATACGTTCTTTTATTGGACAGAACGATATTCGACGAAGGTGTTCACAATTTGCTTCAACTAGTGGCTATAGAACATTGCGTGTGTGACCCTATCCATGCGATAACTACAACCAATAAAAGCTAATGAGGTCCATCATCAAACGTTTCTAGTGCAAGCAATTCACTATATCAATACAACATTTGTATGTACTTTTTATTGCGTCTAGGTAGCGTCTAGGTTCTTCACCGACGATCGTGTGTTATCCATCTGGACGACATCGATATTTTGGATCGGTTAAAAATCTCGTAATTTCTACAGTGAGTTAAGGGTCAAGAAGAAGCAACGTATGGTGGTTCAGGTATAGGAATAATCAGGCAAACTCTGTATTGGCCTGTCCTGCTTCTTTTAGTGTTCTACTGTGAACCACAATCGATGTTCCTAATGGGACTGCTTAATAGGAGTACTGCGTTCACCGTAAACTAACCAGATAGCCAGCGACAAAGCACGAGGACAATTCTAACCGTAGATATCATAAAAGACAATGCTATGTTCAACGGCTTTTCGCCAGAGCCGAAAATTCGTTTCGCTTTATGGATTTTAAAGACGTAACATCGAGTTGAACAGTAGATGAACTAGCACTAGAATTAGCCCCTTCAATTCAAGTTACTTGCTCAGGTTAGGTAAAGCCGTTTAGGACCAAAGGAGTTTTGCAGATTTTTAGCGACCATTTTTGCTGATCGCTAGCATTCTCAGTACCTGCTTTGTTGGACCAGCAATACGTCAGTTGACGGCGTTGCGTCTCATACGCCTCGAAGCCACTGACAAACATCAATGTAGACAAATTAAACGGAATACGGCGGCCGTCAAATAGTAGCTTTTGCCAGCGCGTGCAGATCGTACCGGCGCTCGGCTGCTCCCATCAACTCCTGCGACCGCTCTATCATTGTTGCGGGGCAAGCGAATTTTATCGTCCTTGCTACCGTGTCTGTAGCCCTATCGATTCTATCCAATTTGATCATTTGAAAAAGGAGCTCCACCGGTACGAATGGTGCGTGGATTCTTTCAAGAATATAGACAGCTTGCTTTAGTTGGGGAACTGGCCAATTAGTTGAGCGTCGAGCTTTGATCTTCGAAGAATTTCTCGATGCCTACTTCTGCTAAAACTACTGGCGTGACGGTTAAGAAGAGACCACCATCGTGAGGCTTCATTTAGCCTGCAACTAATGCTAATGCAAGAGACAATGTGCATTGCGTAATTCATGTTGCCTTAGGGGCAGGCCAAAAAATAAATATATTGCCTCTAAATATATTATTATTTTTTGCTCTTGTCCTCTTTTAAAAGCAAATAAGTGTTATTACTTAATGTAAAGTTATTTATTCACCACAAACTGCATGTACCTTCAACTATATTGTATTGCTCAGTCGCAGATTCTCATACCTAAACACATAGCCATATAAGCTATACTCCATGCAGCGGCGATATCCTAGACATTATCGGTACGAAACATTAATTAAATGGGAAAATAATAGATTGTGAATACAACACGTTAGGTCCGGCAACGAGGCGTTAGGCGGTACCTTGGATAATGTAAGAAACATAAGAGAAAAAAAAACAATCCAGCTAAAAGAAGAAAAAATGTCCAGCTAAAAAAAAAAATAGATAAGCTCTATATTACTAAACATAAACCTAAGGAAGATTTAAAATTTCATCAATCAAAGGGTCAATTTACATATCATATATTTTATGAGTTTTCCGAAATATCTTGTCGCTCGTATCGGTGCACTCACTCTAACGCAGTCCATTGACTTTGCATTGGAACATTTCAACGCACGACTCTTGCAGCCGTAAACTTCATCGGCAAATACGGAAAATGCTATGTACTGACGCTAAGTTTAGACAAGGCGGACAATGTGCGGGAAAAAATTCACGGTCTCGCCAACACTTCAATGCTACCGCTATCTCACTATAGCATATCTGTAATTTATTGTGGTAGTATCTATAGTAAGAGATAGTTATATTGCATATAACTTTTTCATATAAAAAAAAATGCCTAATTATTATGTATGGGATGTTATTTTTCTAAATCATTATTAACTGATCTTCAAGGTAACTCTGACTGTGACTATAACGTCATTGAATTCGCATCAAACAACGTAGATGTCACAAACAACATAGGTAGATGAGTCATCTTTTTTTTTTTGTTTAAATGACGCAGGCTTATTAGTCAGTTATGTACTTAGTCTACACACTTGGCCGATATCATCTATACGAATAGACAAACAAACGTGTATGTGTACATAGCGTAGACTTTGTCTGGCGCCACTTCGGTCTTAAATCTCGAATTGAAGCAGGCGTGATACTGTGCCGTGATACTTCATTGCTTCAGTGTATTTTCTGAGCTAAATAATGAATTCGACCCGCCTGTTTCAGACTTCCACCACTGCGACGTGCTTCTATCGCATACCTAGCGCTGTCTTCAAGGCCCGCGTTGATCGGGATCTCGAATCGATTACATTGCGCATGCCGGCTGACCGGCCAGCTCGCTCACTTGTCTCCTTACTGGCAGGGCCTTTTTGAGTAACAGCATCGCCACTCGTAGTCCCAGGATGACTTTTGAGGGGCCACAGTGGCACAAGCTGTGTCCGCGCTGCCGTTCGAACATCTGGCGATGCTTGTTTGAATAGAAGAATCCGTGACACTACTAATGAATGTCGGGGACCTCTGACGAGGGACATGGCCGCTTCGAAATTAAGGAACGGAAGACGGATTCTATTAGGCTGTGATGCTAATGACGGTAAACCAACATTTAACGTACGCCTTAGTGATGCAACGAGGTACGCGGATCGATTGCTTTTGGGATAGCAACCATTAAGTTGTTGTTGCTATTTTCATTGTTGCTTGTATAAAGATTGAAACCTTTACAAAAGCGCCTACGGCTTTGATGATTCAGATTATTCGAATGACATTGGGTGTTAAATAGTTCACTATGATATGTTCTACTTTGCAGTAATAAACTTTCAGGTGGTGAAGGTTTTTCTTCAGGCCGAAATTTCATAGCACCAACACTTCCGTATATAAACGTATAGGGCTAGACGGAAGCCGTATAACTGATTATAGTAGTTTGTCTATATTGCTATATTGAACTTGTGGTACATTAATAGTGCGTTAATTTTCGTTCCTTGTCAGAACAGGTACGGTCAAACTTTATATTGACATGTAATACAGGTGAGCGATCGTGATTCAAAGGTCAGATAAGCCTCTGCCGGCTGCATTACTCTTGAGCTAAAATAGGCTTATCGCCGCTAATTTTTGCGGTTCCTGCTACCCAGCATTAAGAGGTTTTGCATTTAGCTTCTGTGCATCTAAGTTAAACTGCAATCTGGGTGACTGGGTAAGTATTAACGAATACTTATAGTACTACCGGATATAAAATGAACTATGTCGTTTAGGTGTACTAGAAATATTGTAATCCCTGAATCTAAGACATTAAACAACTTATGTGTGCCTTCATTATCAATTAAATTAACAATGCCAATAGGATTAATAAAGGTTTTGTTCGATTTATCTGAAAAATCCAGAAATAGAAGATAAGTTTCATCCTAGGACATTTCGGCCGCTCCCTCTTTTAATCAGATATTAGACCCATTAAGTCGTATGACCGTCGCAACTATTCTGCTGTTTCCATCTACATGCCTCTCGTAGATCAGTTCCGCCAAATAGGAAACTGCGAGATCGGGCCATTACGGGAGTGCCGTTACGACCATGTGACAGTCGACGATGACGAAATGGCTCAAAGCACCAAATTCGAATAAAATTTGCAATCCACAATATAATGATTGACCTCTACATTTGAATTTGCCTAGCTCGAAGTTGAGCAAGTTGAAAGACAATTACATCTTGTAACTTATGCTCTTAGCCGCTACCCTCATAAACCACAACTGGAAGATTGTTAGGAGGCTAGAAAATCTCTGATATAAATGATACGTTAAATCTGTACTTGTAATGAATTTACTTAGCTAATTATAATTAGTAGTATAAGCATCAGGTATGCTACGACAAGCTGGCAACCTTCCGGAGCGTGGACAGTAACCACGGGAAACGACAACAAATAT